TCATAAAGACATTCGTTCGATCCAATGAAAATATTCCTTGAGCTTGTCCAGGAAGGTTCTAAAGTAAGCTACTATTGTTTGAAATCAATTATAAATAATATGACCATGTAATCATGAATATTAGCTACATACATGTGGGTGTGAGATACAAAATTTTTATAAATTATGTTAAATCCAACACCTCAAAATACTCGGGAAAACATAATCCTACACAAAGAATAAAGCCTGCAACGATTCTCTGATTATCAATCTCCAAGGAACTTCCTCTTCTTGGTTGTGTTCATGTATGGTCTGATCACCCATTCAATCTGGGCTTCACTCTGATCAACTGTTCCCAACTTTATCTGCAACATATGGAAAGAAAAATGAGGACCAAATAGATTAGTCAGTTATACAAAACTACACTATAAAAATACACCACTTCTGCTTGATGGCAACAAATTAGACAACCTATCATCAATGTAAACAGATAATAAATGAACCATTGAATCTATTAGGCCAACTTCTCAACAAAACCTGTTTCTCTATTCATACAAGCAACTAGAAAGTATACACAGGAATATCCAGAAAAAGAGTAGAAAATAAGAGAGAAGGGAAAAAGAATGTGAGCTACACTGAAAAATGAAGTGCCACCTAAATGACATGTTGTTACCTGATAAAGCCGCAATTCAAATCGAGGACCAATCTCCTTCAGCACAACTGATTTAGGACCTCCTGGCTTCTCATAGATATGATGCCTTCGTGTAAACAAGTTATTAACAAGAAACAAGTTGTCTGTTACTATCCATATTCACTTTAGCATTTACACAAATAAAGTTCAACAACCAAAATACAGTCAAGACAAACAACTTTTGAAATATGCTGCTACAAACCAACCTGAAAGAAACATAGTCAGACTGATTAGCAAAAGTGATAATGCGCTTAGTATCTGGCTTTGGCACTGGAAATAAATGCTTTAGAATGTTCGCTGTTCTTTCACCTAGCTGACAATGATTACAAAGATCCATAGATGCAATATAAGTTCAATATGTCAATAAAGATTGTCAAATTTACACAATAACACGAAATGAAACGAAATTCCTCAATGACATAACAATCAAGTATTAGTAAAATCCTTCTCACAAGTAACAATTATTTTTCCTACATATAATCAGTCATTTCTAGATGATTTCCAGAAAAAGAACAGGAAAAACTTGTTGTATTGCCAATACAGTATTTTCACAGTACTTCTTTGAGAAGCATAAACCATTATTATTATCACGTTGCATGCTATTACACATAAAGTGATACCAATGGGAAAGTGCAAAAAGTGGTAGCAATATGAACACAACCATAATATGTACAAAATCCAGTTGATTTTCCAGCAAACACTTTAATTCCCCAAGTGGGAAAGGGATACCTGTGTTTTGAAGTTATTAAGAATCAAATGTGGGTAAGCCTCAGGCATTGTCCCAATAGCGTTTTTGTCTTTAATATCATGTCTGGTAACCTACAGGCACAAAAAGATTAAAATACTTGAAGCAGAGAATATAGGTCAAAGAAAAGGTCCACAAAGCACAAGACTGATCAAATACTTGCCACGTTGAGTAATCCAAAGTAGGCAGTTGGGCCAAAAGGTAGATGACTTATAATTAAACCATCTGGCACACCACGATGTTCATGAACCAACACAACATCAGTAAAATCATGTGCACGGCAAGTTTCAATAATTTCAGATATAACCTGCGAGGAAAAAAATTTGAGAAATTTTCTCATATTTATATTTGTTTGCAGCCTAGCTAAAAGCTGAATGTTCAGGTGCTAATTTATGAAAAGCTCAGAAAAGGAGGAAAATCATAGGATTTAAACTTTAAGATGCCCCTTACCTTGCATGACCAAAATTAATGGACTTGTCACATGGATAAAAAAAATATGCATAGACAAATTCATAATCAAATTAATGTTATGAAGGGATTATGAAGATGGAATCTTGACTGTATTGGCTGGAATATCACATTGTGAAACTGAAACTATTAATTCCCAAAGCTTAAAAGCTCATAGGAAAGAGACCCACAGTAGTATTTTAATTTTCCCACATAGAAGGAAGAGTTGCTTTAATATTCTAACATACAAGGTATGCATTTGATGTATATGAATGAAAATTGTAATTAACCATGACTCGAATCAATAGGAACCAAAACAAAAAGATGAAGACTTGAAAACTACTATGCACATGTCAAAGAAGGGAAGAGTGGACAAGCATAAATTAAAGACCAACCTGGGAACCACGATTCATTCGCTGTGCATTAGGGAACACAAACTTCAATTCCTGCAGGAATAGTGGCAATTAAAAACACAGCCGATGATCAAGACAAACTTACATTTCTCAATACAAACAAAATAAACAAAAAGCATAGCTAGAGTCGGCATATATTAATGAAAGATAAAACACCACAAGACCAACCTTTACAAATTGTGTAAGAGGAGCACTTGGATTCCGGGACGTAGTCAGCAAAATTTTTGGATCTCTTTCCGTTGCATTTGCATATTCATCATCAATGTGACTCTTCGGCACTGAGTTTCAGCAATAAGAAAGAGAAACATATTATCATTTATGCCCAACCATGCAAACATCTCTGTAGCTGTGAAAAAAAATTGTTTATTCTACTCCATTCACGATTATTTGTAAACAAAAGAGTTCCTACATTTCTTCGAATTTGTTAAATTTCCTTTTAAAAGCTCCAAGTTATCTGAAGCTCATAAACACCAGGGATTGCATTGAGCTGAATATCTCTCTAAAGTAAATACTAAAGAACAGAACGCAAAGTTACAAGCTAAACTTCAACAAAACCACATAAACTGTAATGCCCATCTCCTCGCAACCAAAAAAGACGTAACCTAAAGTTTAGTTTTTATATTTAATTTAAACAAAAAAGAGTAAACTTACCAGCAGTATTTTCATCTTCGAGATCGATTTCTTGGCGAAGTGCCGCCTCCTCGTTTCTGAGCTCGGTAGGAATAGCTTTTCCCTCTGCAACAACACAAAATTATATCAACACTACAGCCTCGCAGAGATAGGTATTGAATTCCTTTCTTAAATAAATAAATAAGTAAGTAAACCTTGCAGGGCTTCTCTGATTTTGCGCTTCTTCTCAAAAAGCAACCGTTCTTTTCCTTCTAAGCTCTTTCTATACAAGTACTCCCTTCTCAATCGAATGTTACGACGCAACATCGTTGCTCAAATTAGGCTTACTGAAGAAAAATCAAGTATTATTAAGGTTTAAGGAATTACAGGGTTTTTAGGGTTTGGGACTACCAAAGGTGGTCTTTGAGAGACTGGCAGGGGTTTAGGTCTTTAGGATACTTAAAACGCCGCCGTTTTTTTGGCCCCCTCGCTCTATGTATGAATTTGTAATTGCCAGAAACGCACTGTTTGCTTTAATACGAGAAAAGTAACAGTGAATACTAATTTAGAGAGAAATACATTATCAACCCTGTAGTTTTAGTTAACCCCTCCTGATCCTGTAGTTTCAACTAATACGAAAGACCCCCCTGTACATAACAGACGTTAATGTCCTTACTAATTGAAGGTCCAAAGTACCCTAAAGTATTAACCTGAATAATTAAGAACAAGAAATATAAATTGGTTTGATTTATCGCAAAACTTTTCTTCTTCGTCCAACACCGCCTCCAAATTATCCCTACAGTTACAATCAATCACCCCACACGGTTTCAATTTTGATTTCAATTTCGAGTTCAAAACCAATAAAGAAATGAAAAATCCCATGCCAAAAACATTTCTGCAAATTTTCACCATAACCATTTGCATGTGTTCCATCAAAACCACCTTCACAAGTGCTTCCATCAGTCTATAAACTCAGACAAATTACACACAAAATACGCCCAAGCCATACAAGATTATAATACACATTTATTCGCATATTTGCTTATGCTTCAAATGAGAAGAAAAAAAATTCACAACCATCAACCACTCCTATAGCCAATTCAGATTCAAAGCAAACAAAACCGTGGTAAAAATTCACACAGAACTCAACAACCTCTAGCAGATTCAATTCTAGATCAAGTCACAAAAGAAAAAAATCTTAACCAGATCAAGAGAGTTGAAAAGTGACCTAGGAGAGGGAAAGGATCGGCTATTGATCTCCTTTAACAAAATGACCATTCTGCCGCCACACCATTAATCCTGCTCTAATGTCTGTTACCATCTGGGGCGTTAATTCTAGTATTCTGAACTTCCGGACCTGGAAAAGTAAACCCGAACCCAGAGGGATAAATAATTAACTCTCCCTTTTGCCTCTATCTAGTGGAAGTTATTTTGATGAACTAATTAAACCTAATTTGTGTAACTAAAATGGTTCAACAGAACAAAAGAGAAAATGGTGTTTGTGTTCAAGAATCAAGATTTTCGTATGTCAACATCTTTGGACAAGTAGAAACAATGACCTTTAATCAAGTAGGTGTTCATAATAGCATTCAAAACCCCAGACCTTATAGAAGCAAACCATAGGTTTAATCATCCCGGTTAAATCCTTATATGTATAAATACGGAATTAGAATGCATATTTAAGCAACCAAATTACTTGGCCTTTCCAACCACAGATTTTCATTGGAGTATATGTTCTTTAGTCATTTGTTTTCTTTATTCTGTCCTCCATGATGTATAAGCATATCAAAACTGAATAGCATCTAATCTGGCAGAGATGTTAAAGTTATATATGAAAGAGTTGTTACTGGTAAATACAACTCTTATAATTATTCTTTACTTAAGATGGTTTCCAATGATCAAATACAGGGAATTTCAGTATCACTTTATTCTAAAAGTTTCTTCACAGTATGATATTCTTCAAATAAAGTAAATTCTCTTTTTTTTTTTTTTTCAAACGAGAATGTATGGTTGCAATGTGCTGATTATTATCAGTGGTCTATGTGTTGATGGAGATTGGACTTCAGATTCTGCAAGCACTAGCATTACAAGCATAAGCTCAGCTGGCAAAACTTCTTCAGCTGTTTGGCCAAATATATATACGCGCATTGGCGGAGAGATTTTAGTAATACAGGGACAATTATATCACTGAGAATAGGTTGAGGGACTAACTGAACCATTGAGCATGCGCTGCGCTTGGTTTAATGTAGCAGCCAAAAAACAACGAGGTCAGAAAAGCCAGCCAGCACCAATCAGCTCTCTCATCTCTCTTGCCACCCGCACCTGCACACAGACATATCTTCAGTCCATGTTTTTTTTTTTTTTTTTATTTGATCAATGATATTCATGGAACTTTATTAACATGACTGGATCATGTGCAGGAAGGACGAAAGAATGCTGTTCGAATGAAGTGAAAAAAGAGGGTGGAAAGAATAGAAGTTGTATTGAACAATGGTTAGTGTATTCACTTCATTAAGGAAAAAGAATGATCTGATTTGTAATCATCTTTACATTATCACCATTATGTCTCATCTTTTAAACTTCACCAGCCAGATGAATTTTCATATGAAGTTCCTTGATAACCCTTAATAACTGGGTATAACGCAACAAAACTTAGAACTTCTCTTTCATTCCTAGTGAACATACATTTTTGTGCTAATATAGTTTGATTCCATCAAAACCCTTTTTTTTTTTTTTTGGTCATAAATCAACCCAGATTTTGTTATCTGAGAACTTAATCAAATTTTTTCTGCAGTCTGTCCATCTTGTGCTGCTGCTGGCTTTTTGATGTTTGCTTTGGTTTCAGCAGAGATTAAGAAACAACAAGATGGTACCTGCAGATCTGTTTCCAGTACACTATTCTTCAACTTCTACTCAATTTCACTAGCGATGAACCGTATCAGTTATGTAGTGTAGAAGCAGTTGTTCATCATGTATGCTCTACAATAATAAAAATTGTATGCTTCTTTGCAGAACCAAATAATTGTATGCCTTTTATCAGAAAAAAAGAACTGAATTAGGTTAGGACACATCATGAAAACACAGTTCAAAGCAAACAAATTCTCTTGCCTTGGCGAAAAAGCACAGAAGAAAGGTACGGCTCGTTTGGTTCACATATCTAGTTTTCCTAAAAGTTTTCCAAAAAAAGTAAAAATTTCACCTATTTTCAAAATAGTTTTCTAAATTATTCAATTTCTTTTAATCCTCCTAAATTTATTAATTGAACCAAACAACTCCCAAAAAAAAATTTAAAAATTGACAAAAACACCCCAATAACCCAAATTTACCAGATTCTGACCACCACTACCGGAAGCTGGCCGGAATCTGGTGTAATGACGCACTACCGGCTGAATCTGGCCGGTAGTGCGCCTATCTAGCATTTTTCGACCAGATCTATAGGCAAAGATCTTTGGCCGTAGACAGTCGTCAACAACGGCCAAGATATGATCGTCGTTGACCATCAACGACAGCCAAGATATGGTCGTCGTTGACCATCAACGAAAACTATATCTTTAGCTGTCATTGACGACCAAATGCGGCCAGATTTAGCCGTCAATGGCCAGATCTAGCCGCAGATTTGGCCTTTTCTGGCCAGATCCACGGTGGATCTAGTTGGAAAATGCCATATCAGGGCACGACCGACAAGATCGAATCGGTCATGCGCCGATAAGGTAACTCCGGCCACCCTCCGGCGGTGGTGGCTGACTGTCCATATTTATGAGTGGATTAGGGGTGTTTTTGTTTACTTTGAATATTTTATTATAGGGGTGTTTAGTAAATAAATAAACATAGGGGTATTTATGTTAATTTTCAAAATTCTACATCGTAATACCCACCAAATTTAACTTTTTTCAAAAGATTATTCTAAAAACTATCCAATAATGAACCAAACGGAGAAAACTCATGGAAGATTTATCATTTTGTAGTTAAAAGGCATTTACATCCTAATCAATTTTCTTTCTCTATTTTTTTTTTTTTTTTTCCATCGGTCATAAACCTTCACAAGGACAACTTTTAGCATTTCCTCAACTATTTTCATTTGGAATGCAAAATGTTTCTTAATTACACAATAAACAAAGAATCAAGATGAAAATGAAAGATGCAAACAAAGAATATTTTTACATTAAAATATAAGAAAATATTAAGAATCACAATGTTGCTTACACAGCGTGAATTGTCTCAGAAGTAACTTGATTGACCTTGCAAGAGTTCAAGCTGTGCCAATATTGGTGCAATTGTTGATTTCAATCTGGAATCACCATTCTGGGCAAGGTCAATGAGCACCACCTGTGCTGACTCTCCATAGTTTACTCTGTGTTCCTGAATTCTAAATATCCTCTCCAATATCCACAATGCTTTCTCTTGAGCCTTCACAATCCCGGATTCTAAAACTTTAATAATGGCTTGAATGCCTGAACTTTTTGCTATGTAATTACTTCCACTTTCACAAATTTCATCCTGCAAGAGAGTCGCAAGTGCAGCAAGAGCAGCTTCATCAGCTTCTCTCTCTTTACCTTCCAGTACTTGGACCAATGGAGGGATAGCCCCAGCCTTGACCAAACAAAATGTGCTTTTGACAAAGCAGTAACCATCATGAACTTCACAAAATGCATCTGCAGAAGGAGGGACACACAACCACCTTGATGTTTTGGACTTTCTAAGAGAGAGTGAATTCTGGGATAGCTGAGCCAGTGAGGACGCGGCTCTGCTTCTAGCAATAACTGACCCACTTGACAGCAACTTCACAAGCAATGGAATCACCCCATGTTCTACTGAAAACTGCTGCAGTTTCTTATCAGAGGACACTGTAAACCGAACCAACACACCAGCAACACTCTCTGCTAACCACTGGGTTGTTGGAGTTGAAGTTGTAGTGCTTGAATTCATTATGGAGATCAGAATAGGCAGTAAACCTATCTTCTTAAGTAATTCTGTAGCTTTCTTATCATTAACAGGTAAATTGCTCAGTATGGCAACTGCAGCAGCTTTTTCACTTTCAGATGTTGATGACGATACAATGTTTACAAACATGTTAATATGGCCTTCTCCCAGCTGTTCTGTTAATTCTCCTGACATATCTTTAGAGAGAGTGGAAATCAAATTCAATGCAGCTGTCCTGATTTTTGCGTTGGTTTCTGTCAAGAAGGGCAGTAGCAATTGAATTGCACCATTTTCTTTCATTTTTCTTCTAACATTTGATGCACTAGAATGGGCAGAAATGCTATTGAGTGCTTGTAAGAGGTGATACTGAATTGTTGGACTAGAAAGATTTAGAAGGGAAAGCATCTGCTGAGCCACATCTTGGTTGACAAGAATAGATTCTGACTGAGCAACTCTTGCAAGAATCGCCGATGCAGGCTCCCGAAGAGTCATGAGCACAGATGTTACAGAGAAGAGAAGCTGAAGCAGTAGTGCCACAATTCCTGAACTGATCAGACGTGGTATGTTCTCTTCCAACATAGACAAATTTTTCAATGCACTTAATGCAGATAGCTTGGCTTCGAGCTTCCCAACTTTAAACATTTTAACAAGAGGTTCAATTGCCCCATCCTCTGCAAGGGAAGATCTACTTTGGTCTGTAAGCTCCATCCTGGAAAGTGCTGTTGCCATAAGGATCTTACACATGTCAGAACCTGCAAGGACCAGGTATTGTATAATTTCATTATGCAATAAGGACATTGCCATTCACAAATCTTCAGGAATCAAGAAAATGTTAGATTTTAGCTCTAATAAATATTCATATTACCAAAATGAAAAGATAGAGAAGTTAAGACCCTTTTGCTTGTCCAGTCAATTAGTCAAACAAGGTCTCACTGTTTCATTTCTACAAACAGTTTAAACTACAGATAGATAGTCATGCTAATGAAACTTTATCCTACCTATTCTGGTCGTACAGCTTAAACTACTGAAATTTAAAATCAGAATCTTACGCAATTCAAATAAAAAGGAGAGATCTTCATTTTCTTAAAAATCAAATCAAGCAGATAAACAGCTAGAGAGGAGGGATAAGGAACATAAATGTCAGACAACTAGTGAAAGAAGACTGTATTATTACCGTCCTGCAGATACTTCACCAATGGCTTAAAATAACCAGCTTCTGCCATATGAAGTGCATTCTGAGTATTGCTAGACAATGCATCTAACAACTTCCCTGCATCATGTGAAGCAACTAGGTCATCCCCAAGTAGCATTGCAACTAACATAACAATGCACCCTTGAATTCTGCCTAGCCGCCGCCAAACTGCAGGAAGATCTGAAAGATCCAGCAACAGCCCTACAGCTTCCCTTCGCTCTTCTACATCTCGCGTCAAAGATTTCACCAATGCTGATAATGACCCAACATCGGCCATCTCCTCCTGCAAACTACTACACAATGTGAGATAACTAACAACTTCCCATTCTGACATTTCAAACCAAATCAAAATAAATAATAATGATTAAGAACTCATATATGATATACCTTGCTGTCAGCATTATATGATGCAAGGCCTCTTAAGACTCGAATAATACTTAACCGATTGTTTGGCTTGCTGGTACCTAAACGATTTAACAGAATTGAAACAATTTCTCCCTCTTTAATCCACTCTCTGTCAACTGACTTAGCAGTAATCATTTCATTTAAATTCAAAATAGCAAATCTCAGTCCTTCATCATCACCATACTTAAGCTGCAACACAACATCGTCTATTCCAAGACTAATTGTTTCCTCCTCAATTTCTTGTATTTCCTCCTCAATTTCTGTTTCTTTTTCAGAATCCAAGTTACTAGCGAACCCTGATTCATAACTTGGATTTGCGCTTGGACTAGCGTACCCTGATTCACAACTTGGATTTGCGCTTGGACTAGCGTACCCTGATTCACAACTTGGATTTGCGCTTGGACTAGCGTACCCTGATCCACAACTTGGATTTGCACTTGCACTTTGGCTAGGGGTAGGGCTAGGACTTAAACTCTTATCAAATTTGGCATTCATCAATTCTTTATGCAATTCTCCAATTTTTCCCTTGATATCTAACTTCAAATCAATACTTGCAAAGAGCACAAGGCCTAAAGATCGCCCAATATCTCGAGTTAAATCCTCCATTTGCTTACTAAGTAATCTTGAACTGGAATTTTTTATCGAAGACTTGGCTCGCCTAAGCTCTTTTTCAAGGGATTCAACTGCTTTTCGAATTGGAGGTATGTCCATGACCTTGCTATTGTCTTTTATACCATCAAAAATCGGGGTGAATTTCTCAAGAATAAGTGTAAATTCATTGAAGATTTCTATCTCAGATTCTGAGCTTCTTGCAAGTGATGCCACCTCTTCACTTAAGGCTTGTAGCTCTGTCACAACCACCAAAAAGCTTCTACAATCTGTGTCTTGCATTCTATGAAGATTGTCAATTGTCTGGGAGAGGTATTGATATAACAATTACACCAAAATAAGAACTCCCAGAAAAGAGAAATTTCTGCCACAGATAGAGAAAATAGAGAGTATTAAGAGAAATTATACACCAAAACAAGACTGACAGGAGAGATTAAATAGTCAGACGTTGAAAGAACTGAGAAAGTTGAGACAGAAAATGAGAATAGCCTAAAAATTCAAAGCAATTAAAGATGAAGAAGAAATTAACAGCAGAAACTACGAACACACATATATAAAGAACAGAGATAAACATGACAGATAGAGAGAATTCAAAGCACTAAAAATTGAAGAGATGAAGAAACGAGAAGGAACTGAACCTGGTGAAGAAATGCAGACTGCGCCAGCGAGACAAAGAATAGTCTCAACCCACTAACTATTTCGTCTTGGACGGGAAATAAAAGAAGAGAAACAAAGAATATGAAAACAAAAGACTATGACTTGTTTTCTTTTGTATCCTTCTATCTGTCTACCCGTCCACTTCTCCTTCTTCTTCAACTCCAACAAGAAACATACAAGTTAAGGGTAGCTAATTTCTTAAGCTTTTCAAAGAAGTTATTTTTTAATAAATTTAGAAGCTTTCGTATATGGGGCTGTAAGTAAACTGGAGGTTTGTGATTGGAATTATTCGAAGAAGAGATCAAAGTATAATCATGTTGTTGTCAGTCGGCTCTGACTTGTAATCATCTTCAGTAAAGAAAAAGAAGACTGAGTCAAAAACTCTAAATTAATCTACCCCATCTCTGGCCTTGTTTCTCTACCCCATTTGCTTTGAATGTTACGCACATCTAGCCGGTGATGACAAGTTTATTGTGTCGGTGAAATGGGAATTCTTCTGTTTCTTCATGGTAACTGCTTTGAGCTGTCTCCTTCTTTACCATGCACATGAATATACCGCGTTATTACTTCAATTTTCAGCACGTTTGACTTCAGATTAAGTGCTTCATACACCTGCAAATTTTGACCTCACAATGGTTAGTGCTTTTTACAGTGTGTTTTAAGTCTTGAGAGATTCTGTTTCTGACTTTCTTCTATAAAATTCCAAATATCAAAACCCAGTAAATATAAACAAATAAAACCTAGGCCGGCGCATTGACAATGAAAGCAATCTTCAACCATCAAGTTATTTTTTTATTTCTAATTTGTAAGTTTCTGGTTAGGCTGAGGTGAGCCATACACGTGAAATCAGGTCCACTGAAAACGAAAAGCAGAGCAGGATACTGCCCGTCCGTGTACGGTGAAAATAAATTTAATAAATACACATACAGAATACGAGCCCAAAGTCATCTGACAATTTCAAACACATTAAATGAGTCTGCGACATTATAGTCCATGAAGGCCCACCAATTTTTACTGTGATTTTGATTTACAAATGTATAGGCTTCGCCGTTTGGCCCAAGTTTGGGAATTTTAGTATTTCCAATAAAGTTAAATAATAAAATATCTAAAAATTAATATTATTTAATATTATTTAATTATTTAAATTTTTTAATTTAATTAAATATTTTTAAATATTTTTTTTTAATTATAAAAATACCCTTAAACTCATATTATACCAGATTCCGGTCATCATTGTCAAAAGTTGATTAGAATCTGATAAGATGACATACTACCGATTGGATATTATCAGTAGTACGTCGATCTAGTCTTTTCTGGTCAGATCCACGGTGGATTTGGCTAGAAAAGGTCAGATCTAAGGCTAAAGATCTAGCCGTCTCTTTGACTGTAACCAATCGTCAACGACAGCCAACATATGGTGGTCGTTGACCATCAACGACGGCTGTATCTTTGGCTGTCGTTGACGAAGATATACGGCCAAATCTAGCCATAGATCTGGCCTTTGCCGGTCAGATCCACCGTAGATCTGGTCGGAAAAGGCTATATCGTGCGCCGATACGGCGACTTCGGCCATCCTCCGGCGGTAGTGACCGACTGTCCGTATTTGATGGGTGGGTTAGGGATATTTTTGTTAACTTTTAATGTTTTTATTATAGGGGTGTTTTGTAAAAAAATAAACATATAGGGTATTTTATTAATTTATAAATCTTACATCGTAATACCCGCCAAATTCAACTTTTTTTAACTTTTTTAAAAAAAAATTATGGCTTCGTCGTTTGGCTCAAGTTTTGGAATTTTAGCGTTTAAAAAAAATAAACATTAAAATATCTAAAAATTAATATTATTTAATACTATTTAATTTTTTTTTAAACCTTTTAAATTTATTAATTTAATTAAATATTTCTAAATATTTTTTTAATTACAAAAATACCCCTAAACCCATATTATATCATATTCCGACCACCACTGTCAAAAGTTGATCAGAATCTGGTAGGATGGCACACTACCAGTTAGATATTGCCGGTAGTATATCGATCTAGCCTTTTCCAGTTAGATCCACAATAGATCTGGTCAGAAAAGGTCAGATCTAAGGTTAAAGATCTAGCCGTCTCTTTGGCTGTAACCAATTGTCAATGACGACTAACATATGGTCGTCGTCAACGACGGTCGTATCTTTGGCTGTCATTGACGAAGATCTACGGTCAGATCTAGCCATAGATCTAGCCTTTGCCGACCAGATCCACCGTGGATCTGGCCAGAAAAGGTCATATCGTGCGTCGATACGGCGACTCGGACCACCCTCTGGCGGTAGTGACCGGTTGTCCGTATTTGATGGGTGGATTAGGGGTGTTTTTGTTAACTTTTAATGTTTTTATTATACGGGTGTTTTATAAAAAAGCAAATATAGGAGGTATTTTATTAATTTGTAAATCCTACATCGTAATACCCACCCAATTCAACTTTTTTTTAACTTTTTAAAAAAAAAATTTCTCAAAAACGTAAAAATGTGAACCAAACGTAGTGTTTGACTTCCAAATTCCAATCATGTGTGAATGAATAATGCAACACCAACTCTATAGACATAAAGTGAAAACACCCCAGCTGTAGTACATAGTTTCATGAGGAGAACCATCGTGTTTTCCACTGATTCAACCCTTGATCGCCGGCAAATTACATGCATTATTGATGTTCGACACGAAAAACTTGATTGAAAATTGTGGTTTAAACCTAACAATCAGGTAAACCCTCTATTGACGATTTCTATTAGTTAACAATTATGGAGAATCAAAATCAAGAACTTCTGAATAATATATCCAAGAATCTCTATCTCTTCTTTTTTTACGAAAGTATTAAAGAGTTAGCTTGTTGAATTATTGATGTTTGGGGTTTGGTATATACTGAATTTAGTGAGACAGCGGTTAAATGTAACCCAATGAACTTGATGATCGATACAAGGTGAGGATTTATTAAGATATTGTATCTGATATATATATCAGAAAGTAAGGATCAAACTTATCCTGATGATAAGGATGGAAGAAGATTTGCGTCTTGGAAAGTTGGAATTAGAACAAACAAAACCTGAGACTTAACACTGTTATATATTTGTATAACACGTGTTGATCTAAGAATTTGACGTTTCGAAACAGGTGTTTATAGATCATTCACGGATCACCAAATTCTTATAGGTTTCAACGGCTTCTGTACTATCACCTCCTCTTTTGCTCATTACACTGTGTTTACATATGGGATTTTTTTTCTTTTATTATTATTTTCCTTTTTTTTTATTTTTAATTCGCTTATGTTAAGTCAATCGTCTGAAGCGAGGAAAATCTGCAGATACCATTACTTGTATGGCAATTAATTATGCGTTCATTAGTCAAATATAATACCTAATTACAGCTGTTATAATCAATGTTTATACACTTTTGAAGGGTAATAATTTAACTGATTCATCGTTTATTCTCAGAGTAGGAGATTAAATTTATGGCTGAAGAGGAACAATCACAGGATCAGCAGCAACGAGTTGATGCTCAACAATCTTCGAATTCGGAAGATATGATCGCTTGTTTGAATGCATTAGAGGCTGCGTTGCTTCCATGCTTGCCGTCCATAGATCATAAAGAACCTGTACCGGATTTTGAAGCACACTTAGCAGATTTTGATGAATCCATGACAGAGCTCCTTGAACCGCCCACAATGGAGCCGGAAAAGATCGCTGATCGCCCTCTTCTTCCTCATCAGAGTTTGTATCCATTATCTCTCATAATTATATTATATTGATTTCTTCAGAAATATTTCTTTCACTGATAGTGCAATGTAGCATATATACGTACGTACAAGTTTAGATTTGAAAAGAAATAGATTTTAAAAAACAAAAATGGATGACTATGGTTAAAGAGTGATGGTGATATATACCAAAGTCAGTTCATGAAAATGAACATGGCGTCGAAAAAGTCAAATTTTGGTCCATTAGAAGGGTAATTCATTATCCTTAATTAACCATTTATGAGGGTTTGTCCTTTCAATCTGGACTTGTATTTGGAGATTATTATGATAGATTTAGATCTTGATAGCAAGTTGAAACAGTGACATGGTGACACAGTGCATCATTGGCTCTGCAATTTAAGATCATTTACCTTCTGCAGGTCAAAGTAAAAATTTTGATCATCCCAGTTCAACTAAATCTCCATTGTTTTAAATAATTTCTGGTTCTTCATCAAACAATTACACTCCGGTAAGGCGTTTTATTGTCTTGTTTCAGCTGATGTGGAGAAGCACGCTAAAGCTTTTATGGAGGCCGCAAAAAAACTTCAGCGATATTTCATTTGTCTGCAACGTGCAGAGGACAAGCCAACAAAGGCTGAAACACTAAGAAAGGTATAAAATATCAGTAAGAAAAAATAGCTGCATTAATCAAGTAGTCCTCATATTCAATATTCAATGAGCGTGTTATGTATCTGACGTCAAAATTTTGGCAGGAGATTGCTGCCATGGAAGAAGAGTCAAAGCTAAAAGATGAGCTCATTCAGAAGCAAGAGAATCGGATTCAAGACTGGAAAAATGAGTTCAAAGACCTATTGGATAAACACAAGGCTGAATTAGAGAGGGTTTAGCATAAATATTGTATTGTTGCAGCTGTTTCCACTGTTGGTATTCTCACTGTTCTGCTTGTAAACTTCAACAAAATTTTCTTATTCAGCGATTTCTCACATCTCTTCCTTCTGGCTGTGTTTGCCTCCAGAGAAAATAAATATCAAAGTCAGCGATTAAAGTCTATAATATCAACTCACAATTAAAGTTTGTATTAAAATAACTTGACCCTTTAATTAATTGTATGTGATAATGTTAATCATCAGAAACCATTTCTATTTAACTACAAATTTGTAGCTAAAATGTTATAAGATAAATCACAATGATCATTGATAAATACTCCTGTTTGTATTATCGTCATATATAATCTTTTTCTTATATATGAATGTGTTATGCTATAATTCGAAAAACAACCAAGAACAAACACACATAATAATCAAAGGAAAAACAGTCACACAAATATCAGAATTACCGTGGTTCACTTGTTTTAGATTCGAGCAAGCTACATCTACGTTGAGCTCTGGAAATAGAGAACTCGCTGTACTACTATTAAAATTGAATTAACAGTTTATAGCCCTATTCAAGAACAAGCTCAAGATCCTCCTTTCATAGTCCTGAAATACAACTCGTAACCTGACCCTAGGGAGACTCTAACCCACCGAATCCCTAGAACAAGAGTTATCCTCCTCTTCTCCAAATGAGCTGTCAGAATTGCAAACCCTAACAGCGAACACAAAAACAAAGGAGAATGCTTCGAAAGAGGACTTCGGGTGTTCCTAATATTTGTCGCCCTTTTTTTTCTGTTGACTTGAAGTAGGAATTCCAACCGTTGGATTGGTGTTGAATCAACGGTCAGAATCCAACTCAAAAACTGACCCAAACGGTGACGTTTCACTAATCCTCGATGCGAAGACCTTTTTAGCACTCACTTCAACCGAAAGCAACAGCTTTTAAATTGAATATCTACCAGAAGCTCTCTTATTGATGATCGATACAAGGTGAGGATTTATTAAGATATTGTGTCTGATATATATATCAGAAAGTAAGGATCAAACTTATCCTGATGATAAGGATGGAAGAAGATTTGCGTCTTGGAAAGTTGGAATTAAAACAAACAAAACCTGAGACTTAAAACTGTTATATATTTGTATAACACGTGTCGATCTAAGAATTTGACGTTTCGGAACAGGTGTTTATAGATCATTCACGGATCACCAAATTCACATAGTTTTCAACGGCTTCTGTACTATCACCTCCTCTTTTGCTCATTACACCGTGTTTACATATCGGATTTTTTTTCTTTTATTATTATTTTCCTTTTTTTTTATTTTTAATTCGCTTATGTTAAGTCAATCGTCTGAAGCGAGGAAAATCTGCAGATACCATTACTTGTATGGCAATTAATTATGCGTTCATTAGTCAAATATAATACCTAATTACAGCTGTTATAATCAATGTTTATACACTTTTGAAGGGTAATAATTTAAGTGATTCATCGTTTATTCTCAGAGTAGGAGATTAAATTTATGGCTGAAGAGGAACAATCACAGGATCAGCAGCAACGAGTTGATGCTCAACAATCTTCGAATTCGGAAGATATGATCGCTTGTTTGAATGCATTAGAGGCTGCGTTGCTTCGATGCTTGCCGTCCATAGATCATAAAGAACCTGTACCGGATTTTGAAGCACACTTAGCAGATTTTGATGAATCCATGACAGAGCTCCTTGAGCCGCCCACAATGGAGCCGGAAAAGATCGCTGATCGCCCTCTTCTTCCTCATCAGAGTTTGTATCCATTCTCTCTCATAATTATATTATATTGATTTCTTCAGAAATATTTCTTCACTGATAGTGCAATGTAGCATATATACGTACGTACAAGTTTAGATTTGAAAAGAAATAGATTTTAAAAAACAAAAATGGATGACTATGGTTAAAGAGTGATGGTGAGGGTGTGTCCTTTCAATCTGGACTTGTATTTGGAGATTATTATGATCGATTTAGATCTTGATAGAAAGTTGAAACAGTGACATAGTGACACAGTGCATCATTGGCTCTGCAATTTAAGATCATCTGCCTTATGCAGGTCAAAGTAAATAATTTGATCATCCCAGTTCAACTAAATCTCCATTGTTTTAAATAATTTCTGGTTCTTCATCAAACAATTACACTCCGGTAAGGCGTTTTATTGTCTTGTTTCAGCTGATGTGGAGAAGCACGCTAAAGCTTTTATGGAGGCCGCCAAAAAACTTCAGCGATATTTCATTTGTCTGCAATGTGCAGAGGACAAGCCAACAAAGGCTGAAACACTAAGAAAGGTATAAAATATCAATAAGAAAAAATAGCTGCATTAGTCAAGTAGTCCTCATATTCAATATTCAATGAGCGTGTTATGTATCTGACGTCAAAATTTTGGCAGGAGATTGCTGCCATGGAAGAAGAGTCAAAGCTAAAAGATGAGCTCGTTCAGAAGCAAGAGAATCGGATTCAAGACTGGAAAAATGAGTTCAAAGACCTATTGGATAAACACAAGGCTGAATTAGAGAGGGTTTAGCATAAATATTGTATTGTTGCAGCTGTTTCCACTGTTGGTATTCTCACTGTTCTGCTTGTAAACTTCAACAAAATTTTCTTATTCAGCGATTTCTCACATCTCTTCCTTCTGGCTGTGTTTGCCCCCAGAGAAAATAAATATCAAAGTCAGTGATTGAAGTCTATAATATCAACTCACAATTAAAGTTTGTATTAAAATAACTTGTCCCTTTAATTGATTGTATGTGATAATGTTAATCATCAGAAACCATTTCTATTTAACTACAAATTTGTAGCTAAAATGTTATAAGATAAATCACTATGATCATTGATAAATACTCCTATTTGTATTATGGTCATATATAATCTTTTTGTTATATATGAATGTGTTATGCTATAATCCGAAAAACAACCAAGAACAAACACACACAATAATAAAAGAAAAAACAGTCACACAAACACTAGAATTACTGTAGTTCACTTGCTCTAGACTCGAGCAAGCTACATCCACGTTGAGCTTGGGAAATGGGGAGCTCGCTGCACTACTATTAAAATTAAATCAACAATTTACAACCTTATTCAAGAACAAGCTTAAGATCCTCCTCTCACAGTCCTGAAATATAACTCGTAACCTGACCCTAGGGAGACGCTAACCCACGAAATCCCTAGAACAGGAGCTATCCCACTCTTCTCCAAATGATTAACACAAATCACTCAAGAATCACACAAGTTACACTCAAATCTCATATCAGAATTGCAAACCCTAACAGCGAACACAAAAACAAAAAGGAATGCTTCGAAAGAGGACTTCGGGTGTTCCTGAAATTTGTCGCCCTTCTATACCGTTGACTTCGAAGTAGGAATTCTAGCCGTTGGATTGGTGTTGAATCAACAGTCAGGATCCAACTCAAAACCTGACCCAAACGGTGACGTTTCACTGATCCTCCGATACGAAGACGTTTTTAGCATTCACTTCAACAGAAAGCAACAGCTTTTAAATTGAATATCTACCAGAAGCTCTCTGATGATGTATATGAAAGTTTACATGCAAGATGGAAGCGCGCCACGTATCCCAAAGCTGGCAGCTTCTCAATCGATCTTCATAATATTTTCTACAGCCGAGCACAGTCTGTTTGGGAGTGAGTGAAAATGAACCCACTGAGCCTTCTTGCATCTGCGGTGATTAACATTAGCTTGGCTGTCATTGTTCTTTCACTCTTTTCCATCTACAAGAAACAGCCCTCAAATGCTTCCATATACTACGCTCGTCGTCTCTCTCAAAACCACCATATTTCCTTTGATCATTCTTTCACCATATCCAGATTTCTCCCCTCGCTTTCTTGGATCCCTCTCGCTGCACGTGTCACCGAAGACGAAATCCTTCAATCCAGTGGTCTCGATGCGCTCATCGTCATCAGACTCCTTAAATTTGGGTCAGTATATGCAGAGCTTTCATGTATCAACTAGTTTATCTAATTAACCGGATCTCGGAATGTACTAGGATAATGCATTTTGCTTGAGAATAATTCTCTTAAGGAAGGTTCTGTTTTGAACAGTTTTCTTGTTTTGCAGTACCAATTTCTTTTCAGTTTGCTCTCTCGTTGGGTTGGTGGTACTTCTTCCAGTTAATTTCCACGGCCAGGATGAGCCATGGAGCTTTAATTCCATGGATTCTTTTACAATATCTAACATCAGTAAAGGTTCCAACTGGTGAGACTTTCTTAATTTTCAAAGTAAGATTGGTTCAATAAGTGTCATATCAGTTTTAATAGTTTACATAGAAATTCTTAAGAATGGACTTAAAAATATGAACTCAATATGAACCTGGGTTTGAATTTAATGGATGTTCTGCAGAAAAGGACTGTTAATTTATACATCTAATAAGTATTTTTTTTCTTTTTCATGTTTTATTTCATAGGCTTTGGATGCATTTTACATGCCTGTGGTTTATATCTTTCTATGGATTATACCTATTGTATAAGGTGAGTTTCACTATGGTATACTCCTGCATGATAAGAAGTTTTCCTTGAGAAACACTTATGGCATGTTATGTTTTTATCATAGGTACAAGTTGTAACGGGTGATTATTTTGCCTCATGTTTCTTCTTGGACTTTTACATTCATATAAGTTGGTCTTAGAGGGTGACTTCCTGCATCATTTCATCTCCAGGAGTATAACGAGATTCTGATTAAAAGGATCCAACAGCTACGAAACATCAGGCATCGGCCTGATCAGTTCACTATTCTAGTTCGGCAAATTCCCCTCTGCATTGAACACCAGATTCGCGGGTGTTCTGTTGATCACTTCTTCTCTAAGCATTATCCAAACAGTTATTATTCTTGTCAAATGTTATATGAGGGAAAAGCTCTTCAAGATTTGTTGGTAAGGTTAATCTAAGATTAATCTTCTCCTATGCATTTGTTGTATTAAATTTGCAACGATTGCTCTGCTACACAATGAGCCTTTTAAATGCTTCCATAATAGCAAAGTTGATTATCATGGCTCCACATAGAGTACATTCTAGTTCATATTTCATTTCAAACAGTCGCCTCTTACAGATGTTGTTACATGTAGAACCAGGCAAAACATATTGCAAGGAAGATAGAAGAATTAAGAAAGCAGTGCTCATCAATCAAGAAGCATAGCAGCGAACACTTACTCTTGGGTACATCTCGAGAAAATAACACAAAAATAGCCATGCATGAGGAAAAGCTCCTAGAACTTACTCATAAGATTCGTCAATTGCAAGATGAAAATATGCTGAAGGATAAGGTAATTTCTAATTGTGGCACTGATTTTATTTTGTAATAGCAGAACTGATGTTCTGGCATGAATAATAAAATGACTACAACATGAATATTAATATGGAAACATGGCTGTCTTTATACACATTGCCACATTGGTCTATAAATGCAGATTGTGAGATTATGCAAATTATTGTTGTTCTTGTTTGTTGTAGGAGTTGCCAATTGCCTTCGTCACATTCAAGTCTCGGTGGGGTGCTGCACTAGCTGCCCAATCTCAGCAACATTCTAACCCACTTCAGTGGATCACAGAAAGGGCTCCACAACCAAGGGATATATACTGGAGGAATCTGGCAATTTCATTTAAATTTTTGCCAATTTACAAAATTGGAGTTATTCTTGCAGCATCACTTCTTACAATTTTCTTCACTATTCCAGTCACAGCTGTTCAAGGAATTGCCAAATTTGAGAAGTTAAAGAAATGGTTCCCTCCAGCCATGGCCATACAGTTGATGTAAGGAATCTTGTCCTTGTGCAGCAGCTCTGGGAATTTGTTGTGCTGGCCTTTATACCTTAGTATTCTACTTTAATGGTCAGTTAACTAATTATTTCTTATTGAATATTGCATAATCTTATCATTATTTGGCATATTAAATGTGCAACAGACCTGGATTAAGCTCTATTGTGATGGGTTATCTTCCAAGTGTCATTCTTAATGGATTTATATACGTTGTTCCCTTCGCAATGTTTGGCATTGCTAAAGTTGGTGGTTCTATATCAAGGAGCAAGGTGGAGATCAAAACTTGCAACATGGTTTTCTATTTTTTAGTGGGAAATGTATTCTTTTTGAGCTTGATATCAGGGTCCTTACTGGAGGAAATTGGAGAATCTTTCAGGCATCCTAAAAACTTTCCGAGTCATCTTGCTCGTGCAGTCTCCGCTCAAGTAAGCCTTTGACATAAATTTTCTGTGTTATCAAAATCAACAGATGAAGTTACATGATTTGTCTCTGTTAAACTCCAATTTTCGCTAAGCAAACTGTCTTACACGTTTGAATGTTAACATTCTGTTCTCAAGGCAGATTTCTTTATGACATACATCTTAGCAGATGGGCTGTCAGGATTCTCTTTGGAGGCTCTTCAGGCTGGAATGCTGTTGTTGGACTTTATAAAATCGCATACTTTTGGCCGAGGAAAGGAGAAAAATCCATATCTTTATCCACTACCCTACTTTAGAGTTATCCCTTTAGTCTCCCTATCAATTCTGATCGGCCTTGTATACGCATTGGTTGCTCCATTGCTGCTTCCTTTTCTTCTTGGCTACTTCATGCTGGGCTACGTCGTGTACATCAACCAGGTTAACTTTCTGGCTTTCCCATGCTCATTTTTTATACACAGTTCTGCAATACTTTTAACATATGGATATGATTTTATTACCAATATATTGCAGATTCAAGATGTATATGAAACTATATATGATACGTGTGGACAGTATTGGCCGTACATTCATCATTATATATTTGTTGGATTCATTCTCATGCAAATCACCATGATTGGCCTTTTCGGACTAAAGTCGAAACCAGCTGCTTCCATAGCAACAATTCCTCTCTTGATCCTCACTATAATGTTCAATGAATACTGCAAGAACCGTTTCCTTCCTACGTTCCGGCTTTACTCCATCCAGGTATCTTTGATCTTCTACAGTAGTTCATAAGCGCCACTGAAATTGAAGCACTACAAGCTTATTACTTTCAGATCGTAAACTTAATAGAAAAAATAATGATTTTTATGGGGCAGAATGCTGTGCAGAATGATGAAATGGATGAGAAGAATGGTGAGATGGAAGTGAATTACAAAAGAGCAAGCAATGCATACTGCCAGCCTTCTCTAAGGCCTATCAATAACATTACATCCGAGTCAAGCTTACGACAGCCCTTAGCTTCTTCAGTATGATTATGATCTCATAGAGATTGATTTTGTGTGGTATTAAAATGTGAGAGAATTCGATTGGTTCTGTCAATTACAGAAGAGAAGCATTGCACAAAACTGGGATTCTTATGTTATTCATAAGTAAATAATCTTCTTATTTGTATGTTTTCACTTTTCATTGGATGATGTATCCTTTGGAAAATTCAATCATTAACCACCACTAGGTGGTCTGGCTATAGTAAAGGCGCAGAGGAAAATCTAATTTTACAATAATTTCCCGAGTTTGAATCCCTATAACTTTTAATAGGGTTAATTATTAAAGTTAATATCCAATTAATAATTTAGAGTTTCAAGGGAATAATCGAGATATGTATGAACATTTTTGGTCTTTATTTAAATATTTATCCTTAGATAGTTCAAGTTATAAGCAAATGAACATTTTTGGTCTTTATTTAAATATTTATCCTTAGATAGTTCAAGTTATAAGCAAGCGTTGAGATGTATGGTTAAAAAGCACGATCCCAAAGTTACTATTTTAATTGAATTTATTATTTAATAACTTTTTTAACCTATAAAAAAAAATCCCAAATCAACACTCTTAATTTGTAACATTATCTTAAAATAATTGACATGATAAAAAATAAAAAAATAAAAAATTTAATAAATAAAATAAAAACAGGCGTAGACTATATATATGGAAGGGATGTTGAAAAACCCTGATTCCCTAAAACCCCACAGCAAATCAACTATTTTACACAAATCCGGGAACGATTCTTAACGGAAGAACGATTCAAATCCAAACCCGTGAAATTTCATTCTAATTTTCTTCATTATTAGAGCAATTTAATCTTCAAAACGCAGAAATTAAGGCCTAATTAATGTTTCCTAATTCCTATTACGCATAACTCTTTTAATCAAACGACCACCACCTTCCGCTACTGCGTACGTCTCAACGCCCCCCTCACGCCGCCTTGCAGAAGGTGGATGCCGCCCAGTGCCGCTTGCTTTCAAGAAGAACACTGCAGAGGTGAGTAGTTTGTTGGTCGGATGCTATTGCGATGACATTTAGGGATAGTTGTGTACACTTGACGGTAGGGGAAGCATTTTCTGGGCTTTCTAAACAGCCGGGTATCGTTGATGGTTGGCCAAACCTGAGGGAGGTGGACCTTGACTTAAACGCTTTATTAGTTCTTTTAACTATTTATTTAATCAAAGATTTCATTTTGCTATTAAATTGAGTTAGCATTTGGTCATAACTGTTTGAAAGTTTCAATTCTTATGTCCCTTTTCCTTATTTTAAGCCGGTTCCTGCTATATGCATGTCCCAGCATGTTTCTATCATTACCATTATCATAAACTTTGTCCTTCATAATTTGTGATCACTTAAACTTCAATGAAAGCATATTGGTATTGTATTTTCTTTTTTTTTTCAATGCATTTGACATGCTATCACTTTAATCATATGGGGTTATGAATCTTTTTTGTAGGTCGGCTACCTGTTATAGACTACAAATATTCTTCTGTTTGGTTCATGTTCATGAAGTTTGTAAGTCTCTATCCCTCACTGCCACAAGAAATGTGGTCTTGTTTTAAAATTCTGGTATTGAGCTTAATAAGTGATTTTTTCTCTTCAATTATATGCAGACATGTTTGAGCAAAGGTGGGGGTAGCCACTTTCCACCGTGTCATATACTAGATGTATGTGGGTTCAGGGTCTTACTTGAGTGCCCATTGGACCTTTCTGCTCTCGCAATCTTTGCTCCTTTTCTAAATGATCGTCACTCCATAGTACCTGAAGAAACTTCGGATTATGCAACTCATAAGTCCTTGGATGCAGAATATGTAGCTCAAAAGAGGCAGAAAGTTGAGAAACCCCTTGATGCTAATGATTTAATACATGCAGAGCCATGGTACAAAACTGTTAACAACTTGCACCTGTGGAATGTTTCTTTCATTGATGTTGTGTTGATTTCCAGCCCAATGGGTATGGTTGGATTGCCATTTCTTACTCGAATGAAGGGATTTTCTGCTAAGGTAACTGAAAAGTTAGGCTGGTATCTTTTCATTACAGAATTGATTGTATATTAAGTTGATTTGTTCAGAAGTGGAGATGGTTTTGATTTGCTGAGTCTGGTTTCCAACTGATCAGATATATGTAACTGAAGCAACAGCTAGACTTGGGCAGCTTATGATGGAGGATCTTGTTTCAATGCATATGGAATATAAACAATACTATGGATCTGAGGGTTCAAGTGACCCTCAATGGATGAAGTGGCAAGAGATTGAACTCCTTCCATCTTCTCTCAGGAAGATAGCTTGTGGTGAAGATGGGGCAGAACTAGGAGGCTGGATGCCCCTGTACAGGTAATTAATGCTTATTTGTTAAAATGGAAAAATCCCATTGTTAACATTTTATAGCATGGTAGACAATAGTTGTAGAATAGAGACACTATTCTTCTGCGTCTATTTTGCTATCTATATTGAACTTGGAAGGTTTGCATTCATGTAGCATTTAACCTTTTATTTTTGTCTTGTCTTGTCTTGTCTTGTAGGCTTTAAATTTAGTTTGGGGGGATGTAGTTTTTTGGTTCCATCTGCCGATCCTATGTTATTTTCATGATTGAAGTTGTTAAAAGACAAAATAACAGCCAATCTTAACGGCTTTTCTTGAGCATGTTTTATCAAGTTGCATATCTCTTTTCTTTTAATTGGATATTACTGATGACAAACTTAAACATTTATGATAGAGGGTTTTTCTCAGTGCAGCTGATGTGAAGGACTGCTTGACAAAGGTTCAAACAGTTAGATATACTGAAGAAGCATGCTACAATGGGGAGTTGATCATAAAGGCATTCAGCTCTGGTTCAGAAATAGGTGCATGCAATTGGATAATAAATGGTCCAAAAGGAAACATAGCATACGTTTCTGGTTCCATTTTTGCTTCAGATCATGCAATGAATTTTGATTACAGTGCTCTTCAAGGGAGAGATCTGATATTATATTCAGACTTCTTCTCCCTCGACACGACAGAAGAAATGGATGAGTCAGCTTTCAGGTACTTTTGAACTTAACTTAATTGTGTGTTTGGATGCAACGTTTCTTTGTGGAATTTGATGCGGGAGTGGAATTTAAATTCCACTCTTGATAAGTGTATATGACTGTGTTATGGATGAATTTGACTCACACTCAAAAGAGACAGAATATGAGCCCATCAAATGCCATATCAAATCTTGTCTTCTGTAAAATCCAATGGAATCTAATGCATAGTCCTTCAAGACAGAGCTACAGTGACAGGAAGAATCCGTCTTACCGGGACATCAAATTAACAGTTTTCTCCTCACTCTTTTAAATCTTGTTTCAGCACTCCTTCTAAGTTCTTTCTTAAATTGGGTGTGTTTTGATTTTAGATTGGTGATGGACTTTAAACATTATATTGGGTGATTGATGGCAAATAGTGGCTAGATTTTGAATTCAGTGATTATATTAGAAATGTGATTTGGGCTTCCATGGTATGCTACAAGTAAGCATATTTGCCATTCCAAAGTTAAACTCCTAATTAAAATGTTCACCTAATTTAGAGATCTTGGTAACTCTGCGATTTGAATTCCCTTCTTCTCAATTGTTGGGAAATTTTAAAATGATCATCCAAGTGTACCCAACTACAGTTTAGATTTTGTTCAGGTATTATTTGAATTCCTGATTTTATTTATTTATTTATTTTTTTTTTTTTTTTGGGTTTAGGTAATTTTTTTTTTTTTTTTTTTGGGTTTAGGTAATATCTTTGTTAAATGTGTACCCATCTTTTCTAATTCCTAATGCATTGATTGAAAAATTACGCTGCTGTAAACTATGTGTAGTGATGATAATGACAAATGGGAAGCTCTGACCAAATCGTTGCGTAGAGGTGATGAGAATTTAGAGGAAAGGGAGAAACTAGCTTTTATTTGCTCCTGTGCCATTGATTCTGTTAAAGCTGGTGGTTCAGTCCTTATTCCTATTAATGGGCTTGGAGTTGTTCTGCAGTTTTTGGAGCAGATTTCAATGTTCCTGGAATCCTCAAGCCTGCAGGTATATACTCGACCTTTTATTGTTGTTATTGTATATACATTTGTATGTATGGTTAAATGAACACTTAAGAAACTCTATAGGTACAAGTCTATAATTATTGCATAGATAAGGATATATGCAAATTTTTAAACACAAAACTTTTCATGTGCGGCATGCCCAAGTGGAATGCTTAAGGATCCATGTAATGGGAAGTGGGAGGGTAGACTACTGCATTTGACCTATCAACTTAACCATTCTGCAGGTTCCAATATACATTATCTCTTCTGTAGCAGAAGAATTGTTGGCATACACCAGCATCATACCAGAGTGGCTATGTGATAAACGGCAAGAGAAGGTACATCTTTTTTAAGGTTTACTGGTTCTCATTGTGTTAAAATTATGCTTGATTTATTGCCTAAACTCATAAATAGATATTGCTTTCTCTTTTATTGTGACAGCTTTTTTCTGGTGAGCCATTGTTTGCTCATGTCGAGCTTCTAAAAGCAAAGAAGATTCAAGTATTTCCTGCAGTTCATTCACCTAAACTACTGTAAGATAAAGACCTGTCTTTGAGTTATAATTTTTCTTATAGTGCAATGTTTTTAAAGGCAATACCAAAACATAAATAGTAGTAATATGTGTTCACCCAAGTAACTGACATTATGTATATAGAACAAATTGGCAGGAACCATGCATCGTATTTTCTCCTCACTGGAGTTTGCGGCTTGGTCCCGCCATGCATTTGCTCCGGCGGTGGTGTGGGGATCAAAACTCTTTGCTTGTTCTGGAGGTACAAATTTGCTCCCTGATATATCTTTTTTTTTTTTTTTTTCCCCTTTCCTTTTTTTTTCTGTTTTGGCTGATATCAAAGTCCATTAACCTTTCTTACATATTCACCACATTCTAGACTGGAAATTACTGTCAGACCTTGCAACCTTGATAGTCCAAAAATTTGTGGGATGTAAAATGCCAAGTAGGTGATCCCAAGGGGGCTCTCACTCATAAAGTACATTTGTGTCTTTTTTTGCTTCCTTAAATTATGGTCTGTGTAATTGTTTCAGGAATATTTTATTGGATGACTTAGTGAATGCACTCTTATGCAGGACAAAGTGGATGCCAATATAGCCCTCTTGCCTTTCAAGCCAATGTCAATGAAGGTTCTTCAATGTTCATTTATCCCTGGAATAAAGTATGGTTTACTTCTTTCTCTCCCTCCCTCTGTATCTAGTGTTCTACTTTTAAAATGGCGTGATTTTCTTTTTTTTTACCCAATCTGTCTCATGTGTGTCCTGTCCATATCATAAAATTACTTTGAGTATAAAACAAAACCTCTATAAACACCCATTCTGTCTATCTGATGCTTTTTCTGTAAAGGATTTGAAATTCTGAACTGATAGTCCCTTTAAAACCATCTACTCAGCGTAAGATCTGGATGGTAGAGGTTGTGTTTCTTTTCTTTGATTTAAATTTAAGTATGGGCGTGTTGAATTCTTTATAAAATGTATGGTAGGTCCTCAGATTTGAGTGCTTTAGGGTTGATAAATTTCTGGTGGAGTCATTTGTTGGGTTATGCACTGAAATGTCTTGCTAACTTTACACTTCTAGTGAACTTTCCAGACATTTTTAAAATGGTTAGGGGTAAAAACCTTTTTGAGTGGTTTAATAACTCCAACAAACAAGTAGTCTCAATGTTTTGATTTCTGACTATTTTTGCTATAAATTCTTTCTCCTGTGTAGGTTGCAGAAAGTTCAACTTATGCTGAAGGCACTTCAGCCAAAATTTGTTCTGGTATCCATCCAGCTCAACTATATATTTAATTTTTAAGTTTGTTGTATTCATAGCAAGCCGAGATCTCATCTGTGTAACTAATCAGTTTCTTTCCTTTTCTGTTGTGCTCAACACAGTTCCCTGAGGAATTGAGGAGTCATTTTATTACTTCAAATATAAATTCATTCTCAGTTTCTCACTATTCGGAAAATGAAACAGTATGCATACCAAGTTTGAAAGAAAGTGTAGAGGTAGAGATTGAAGCCAACTTAGGTTCCCAGTTCCAGTGGAGAATTTCGAAACACAAAAACCTGAATATCACGAGATTAAAGGGAGAGCTATTGGTGGCTCACAACAAGCATCAGTTACTCTCCAGAAAGGAACTGGCAGGCTCCTCAAAGAATATGTCCTTGCTACATTGGGGTTCTCCAGATCCAGAAAATCTTTTGGCAGCATTGTCCAAGATGGGTATTAATGGAAATCTAGAACGAAGCATGTCAGATGCTGAATCAGGCGAGGCTTTTATTGTACATATTAAAGATCCAAAACGAGCTACAATTGAAGTCGGAGCTGCTGGTACTGTTATAAGTGCTGCTGATGAGAATTTAGCCTCCCAAGTTTTTGAAGCTTTAGGAAGCATCCTGGACGGCATTTAGTTTGGCGATTCTCATATGTATTTCTATGTATTATATCTGATATACAAATAGTGATACTTTATAATCAGGTGTGTTTGTTCACTGAGTTGTTTAAGTGATGCTAATTGGGTATCTTCAAAACACTGCAGTTGATTTCTTAAATTTTGACCATTCAAAGAGATTCTGTTATAGAAATGCAAAAATGTCATCTTGCAACTGCTGAAATCTCTTACAGCAACAAACTCATACATTTTTTATTCAAAGAGGGCAATATGAGCAATTCAAGGTCATCTGAACTGAGAAATAAAAATGCAACATGGGTATGAGCTGAATGAATTAGTATTTATCTCCAGTCAAGGTGAGTAAGAAATTCTTATAGCTTCCTGATGTATCACCAACTACATCATCTTCCACGGTGCATTTGTACATGTGAGGGTACACTTCTTTGATATTCTTCATGTCAATTTCAGCTCTAGTCACAATGACTCTGTTTAGCGCTTCCTCATCTGTCCCAATACCCAGAATGGAATCTCTGATTACCTGTTCAGATGCAATTAACACAATAAATAACTTGAAAGTAATCTTTTTCTTGAGCTTGCCTCTACTGTTCAATATTCGCCTCATAATTCATATATTGACACCAAAGGGTAGTGGATTACCTCTGCAAAGTGCATCTCTGGGGTGTCAATGCATAAGATGGCCATTTTCAATAGAGATACCAAATCACCCTTCCCACCGTTCTTGATATCCTGCCATAAAAACAAATATCAAAAACAGATGCTCAAGGAGGGAAAAAAATGGTAAATAAAATATCTACAATTAACTGCAGAAGGTGAACCTCCTCAATAGAATTAGCATGTTTGTATCCGTAGCACTCAAAGGTTAATCTGAGCTGATAGAAGTTCCGAGTGCTAATTAAATGAACAACTTTATCATCATCGAATCGCTTTGATGTGATGGCATGATGTAATACATCAGCTTCTGATTTGGCTAACTCTATATCCACCAGTTCCTTATCATACCTGAATGAGCTCACTAGACCCAGTAGAAGCTGTGCAATGCCACATATTGAGATTTATCAATTGAGCATATGGAATCAATCCACGTTCAAACAAAACAATAAGACAAGTCCATATTGATGAATGCCGGTATCTTATTTTTCTTGAGTAGATTTTTGTTACCTTTCTTAGTGCGAAAGGAACTACAGACACAATTTCTTCCTCAAGTGAGCAATCAAAAAGAGAACAATACGCCTTCCTCACCTCGATGAGATGGTAAGGGGATGAGGCACATGCTATCTCAACTATCACTTGTAGGTGTTTAACACTGAATTTTTTCTTCAATGATTCCTTTGCTAGTCTTGCATGCCTTTCTGCAGGATCATATGTCCAAAAAATCAATGCATCCTGTTCCACAGAAAAAACTTAAATTGTCACACCCTAATAGCAGATGCCAGATGGGTAAATTTATGTTGCAACCGGCAGTTCAAAGAATTCAAGATCCATTTCCAGGACTCAAAAGTAATTTAAAACGAATAATTTCAATTACTTATTCAAAAGGGCACTCTATAAGAGCAGAGATGGATCCCAAAATTTCAATAACTTCATATTAACAATCCTGATAAACCTCCCAAGATTTGTTTTCTAGAAATATAATATGAAAATACCTAGAAATTACAAATATGAGGAAGGAAACTTTTCTTCCTCGAATTAAAAAAAAAAAAAAAACATACTTTAAAATCACCAGCGATTTCAGAATTGATACGATCAATGAGATCTTCATTGTAAAGCTGATGATAAATTTCTCTGATTTGCTTCCTTTGAGTTGCATTTCTATGTCCTAATATCCGTATCACCGACTTCTCATCCACTCCATATCCTACAAACAAATCTCACAAAAACTCATAACGCTTATCATCAAAAATTCAAAATAAAAATATTGAATAATTTATAGCTGGAACAGGAAAAACCTTTCCATAAAGATGTAGAAGAAGAGGGACACCTTGGAGAGCTCCCTGAGTTTCTGAGCGTCTTGTTCAGGAGTAGGAACCATATCTGGCACTCTTAGAGTTGCCATTTTTTTTCTCTGGAAGTAGAAAATATCAAAGTGTTGTTTGTTCTTTCTTGCTCTTCTGCTTTCAGTTTCTGTTGTTTTCCATACACAGCTTGGATTGAGCACACCTAAATCTATTTTTCTGATTAGACTTCATTGCCCCTCTTCCGAATTGGATAGTTTTCTTCAGGGGCCATTTGAGAATTTTCATAAACTTCTCTTATTTTATGATTCTTACATTATTACCTCTGGTTTTTGCATTTTTCATGAACTTCCATGAGCTTTTGTATTTTATAAAAGACCACATAACTTCTCTTCATTAATTTTTAAGATATTATTTTTTATATGAATAATGAGTCACTTTAGCTGGAGTCTTGCCAATAATTTGAGCATCGGACATAGCTCTCATATCAACAACTAAATAATTAAGATAGAAACGACAATCCCATGTAGGGGTGTTCAAAACCTGTTGGAATCAGAACGACGGTATCCGGGTTTGGTTGCAGTTCCTACCCAGAATCGACCGTCAATGGATAGGTTCCGGTTCCAAATTTTTGGAACCGTTACTATGCGATTCCAGTTCTGGTTCCTATAGTTAGGAACCGGAACCAGGAACCAACCGAACTATATAAACAAAATTAAAGATTAGAGGGTTAAACTTTTGTAGAAAAAGTAACGTGAATACATTTATATTTTTATTTCATAACATTTAAAGTAAGTTGGTTTGACTTTTGAGAATCTACCTTTATAAGTATGGAGTTTGTAATTTTGAATTTTTGAATTTATATTTATAATTTGTAATTTTATTTTTATTTTTATTAACAAGTGCCAAGTGGGGGGGGGGGTATTTGTAAGTTTTTAAGGGTTTTTTTGCTATTTTAAAAACTTTTGGGGAGTCATGAATATTACAGGGTACCTAGAATTGGAACTGGAACCGTTGTTACAAGTTATGGTTCTGGGTACCTAGGAACCGAAATCGTCAGTTCCGGTTCTGGTTCCAAATTTTAAGAAACTGTCGATTCCGATTCCAGTTCCTTCAAAAAATATAGGGTACCTGGAACCGAACACCCCTAATTCCATGTGATTTAAGTGTTACATTTTAAAAGAAAAAGAATTCAAGTATGAAAAGATAAATTAAAAGAGGGATATATAAATATTCATGCATGATAGAATCAAGAGAAAAGCAAGAGTACCCCGGTGGTACCACCTCAGCATTGGTACCATTAACAAATAAAAAAAATTAAAGTTCTAAAATGCCAAAGAAAGTAAGAAACCCTATATCGGCGGGGTGGAGAATCAAAACAAAAGCATCTTTTTCTCACCAAAATTAAAAGAGACACGTTCCAATATCATAATTTAACAAAATCAATTGAATAATATCGTTCAGATTGATCTTATAATATAATACATTCAAGTTACAAAAGGATTATATTTACAACTTAATCTCACAACCTTCTCTTATAATTAACTAAAGATGAACGATCATTCCTTGAAGACGAACGATATCGTTTATTTATAAGAAATAACTTTATAAGAAATAGTCATTCTTTATGTTTCTTCATAAGAAACACAAATTCCTTGTTCAAGAACGATTGTTGAAGGAACACTCATTCAGAATTGGCAATATGATCATTCGTGTAAAGTCATTTAGAGCCTCGGGTGTGATGAAAGCTGATATGACAGTTTCCAACTTAACTGTCACGTTGAAATTGTAAGAGAAAGTTATGAGATTGGGTTATGGATGTAGTAATACTCTTCAAGTTATGCCTCTAATTTCACAACATTTTAGTTTGATATATATATTCATCTGATGTGTATCTATCTACGGCTTGTAAAATCAATGAGTTCTTTTTTTTCAAGCTTCGGGTAATTCATCAGTCAAATACAAGTTTAGTCTTCTCCTTGTTGATTTATTATACTGCTAAAAGCTACCCAGAAAAGATTGAAATATCTACTGCCTGAGAAGATTTTCATTATTGTTTTACTGTCTAATAAGTTTATATGATGTGAACTTGATATTTCGTTCAGTGAAGCATCTAAAAAAAAATGTTCATGGGGGTGGTTCCCATTACCAACATAGAATCCACACTTCTGTCATCAAACAATTCATATATATCAGGCTTATCTGTAAAGATACAACTAAGTTTATTTATAATAAATTCGGAAGAATTAATCACGAGCACCGCCAGAACTTTCAGAATTTTATTTTAAGATCAGTCAACATGTGTTGTGTTACACGAGATGCTGAAGATTGATGAATGCCACCCTCACCCTGTGATGGATAAGGTTAAATAAAATATTATCTCAAGAGGTTTTGAGTTTAAGTCCTTTCTCAGTTGCTAATAGGGATAACCATCAAAGCTTTTATCTGAACGATAGTTACAGAATCCTGAAAGATTAGTTGAGGTGCGCATAAATTAGCCCAGACACTCCCGATAAAAAAAGAAGGATAAAGTTTGTTAACTATAGGTGACAATATGAACGTAGATTCTACCGTGTAATACACAATTATAAAAGGGGAATATCTAAAATAAAGTAGTCAAAGGTCCAAACTTAAATTACATAAAAAAAGAGGGGTTCAGTGGAATATCTCAAAATGTGTGGACTATTCAGCCAAAAAGAAGTCTCATAATTAATAAATTAAATAACAAGGAATATTAACTCTTTATGCTTTTACTTCTGGGCGTTATCTTTTGATTATTCATTCATTAATATATTAATAACAATTAATAAATGGTCAGTTGTTAGTGTAAACAGTTAAATATTTAAAGGCCCCTTTCTAAATGACCAAAAAACCCTTTCAGGATTTATATAAATTTGGGTTGGAGCTGAAGATCTTCAACTTACAACTTCAAACACAAATGGCACTTCCTGATGGCCTGGATTCTCTCGTCAAGGCTTTCTCAGGTTCTTACTTATCCTGTCGTTGTCCTCTTCATTTTCTTCACTCACTCTCTACCTCCATTTCAAATTCTAACGCTTCATCAAATATCTTACAGTTTTAATTTGGCTTTAACTATCAGTTCCAGGCACAAGCCAAGTTCCATTCTGTAGCTAATTTCGTTGAATAAGAAGCATTATAATTCCGATATCTTTGCTATTATTTTGATGGAAATTTACCTGGTTTTGTATAATTCAATCAGGGCATGGAATTGATGAAAAGTCAATAATTTCTTTGCTGGGAAGATCGCGACCTGAGCATAGACAATCTTTGAGGAAGGAATGTACGGAATTCTTCATAGAGGATAACGAACGTGGTTTTGAGCGATGGGATGATCATAGTATAAAGCTTCTCAAGCATGAATTCATGAGATTTAAGGTGCTTTTTTTTGTTTTTCTTTGGTTTTCAGCTCTTGTTTTTAGTTAATTGGGAACTAAACCAAGTTTAATATATAGAAAAATTGCTGGTGTGTGTGTACTTGCTAAAATGTGACAGTACGAATTTAACAATTCTCAACATTACATTATGGAAAAAAGTTGTTTTCATTTATGGGATTAATTAGTTGTGGGTTGTATGGTTGATAGAATGCTGTGGTGCTTCGGGCCATGCATCCTTGGGAAAGAGATGCTCGTTTGATTAGGGAGGCTTTGAAAAAGGGACCAGAATCATATGGTATGATCGTAGAGGTTTCATGTACCAGATCATCAGAGGAGCTATTGGGAGCAAGGAAGGCTTATCATTCTCTTTTTGACCATTCGATTGAGGAAAATATTGCAACCCAGGTTGAAGGAAGCGAGCTAAAGGTGTGTAGCATTAATTTTTGTGTTTCTTTCTCAGATTATGTACTAATGTGCGTTGTATGAGTACAATCTATTTGTTGGCTGCTAGAAGTCCTGACAGAGAGTGATTAAAATTGGTCTAATTGCATCTCTAGAGGTTGTTTTTATTCATTTTGTATCTCATTAATTGATTTGGTTATTTGTACTTTGGGCAGCTCTTGGTAGCACTTGTGAGTGCCTACAGGTATGAAGGGCCGAAGGTCAAAGAGGACACGGCGAAATCAGAGGCCAAAATACTAGCTGAAGCTATGAAGAATGCTGAGCAGAAGCCCATTGAGGATGCAGAGTTAATAAGAATACTTTCAACCAGGAGCAAGCCCCACCTCAAGGCAGTATACAAGTACTACAAGGATATTTTTGGCAAGAACATCGATGAGGTATGCCGAACGAACACGCCATATCCTAACATGTTGAGGAAATTAATATAAACCAGCTCCATTGCAATAACTGACAGACATTTAAAAGTGCTTAGAAAACAATTTTTTATCCAGCAAATCTAGTTCTTTGAGCACATAAATGGACCTGAAAGCAATTTTGTTGTTGAAGCAATCTGTTTTCATTTAACCTGCATGCTTGATTCAGGATCTTGATGATGACTCGATCTTGAAAGCGGTTGTGCAATGCTTATTTACACCTCATAAGTACTTCTGCCGAGTAAGATTACAAATTATTCAACTCCTAAGGTTTAATTACTTTCTTATTTCTAATATACCAAATGATTAATTCTTTGTTTCTCTTGTTCTCTTTTCAGGTCTTGGATGCAGCATTGAGAGACAATGCTCATAAGCGTACCAAAAAAGCACTGACGCGAGTAATTGTGACCCGGGCTGATACAGATATTGAGGAAATCAATGCAGAATACCAGAAACAATATGGAGTTTCTCTGACTGAAAAAATTGTTGAAACTGCCAACGGGAACTATAAGGATTTCTTGCTTACTTTGATATCAAGAGAAAACTAATTGAGAAACACAGTACTTAAATTTGTGTTTAGCTATTTGTATTGAATTTGGGTCGTTTTGTTATTTTCTTTATCCTGGTCTTGCGGTTTGTACAATAATTGTGTTGCCCTAACGAGAGGCTTAATAAATCAGACATGCTTCCATTTGTTGGCTTTTCTATTTCCCATTCTTTAACATGAAGCTGAGGAGTTACTGTACTGGTTTTTTAAGAACTGAAGAAATGAAATAAGCTGTTACTTGGAAACTGATGGAATTTTCTTTTTTCTGGATGGTTATGCTCTTGTTAGCTTCTAGTTAGAACTTTCAACCACTAAGGCACACTTCTTTTTACAAAATTAATAATAGTAAAAACGAAATGATAATTTAGGCCCCATAACTGCATATAATTTGCAGGATATATAATAAAATTTCAAGTATCAATGTAGTTATGAATAAGAGCAATGAATGTAATTTGAGAGAAGCAGAATCCTCTACAATATTCTTAGTCAAATAAACACAGTTTTTAGTTCCAGTTCAACTTAAAGTTATACCGTTTCTACTTCCATTTCAAGGATGAGGCCGCCTTCCGCTCAGTTTTAGCAAATGGCCCCTGGATCTTTGGGGGGAAACACATCATCCTCCTTCAATGGCAACCCTATGGATCTCTTGGATCTTCCCGGATCACTAAAGTCCCGGTCTGGATTCGATTGTCAAGATTGTCTTTTGCTCTATGGACGCATGAGGGCTTGGGCTATGCATCCAGTGTAGTTGGTCACGCGTTATTGTGCGACCAATCGACCTATGAGTTCACTTAGCTTGATTATACCTGCGTGTTTGTGGAGATCGATGCCGCCAAGCCTATCCTGCATTGGTTTACTTTCAAGATTGAGAGCGAATCAATCCCAATTGAGGTCGAGTATGAATGGAAGCCGAAGCAGTGTACAAAAAGTTGTGAGTTTGGCCATGTTTGCCACCTGTCAAAGGCGGCTCCTGAGCCTCCTAAGGCCCCTAAGGAGGCCCCTTTGAGTATTCCTCATCCGAGCCTTTCTAGGGCCTCAGAGATCCCCCTCGTGAGCACCAAGCTCTTGGACAACTTTCGGACAAAGACCGCCTCAACTTCAAACCCGAAGGATGTTTACCTAACGGGTGATCTGATGATCGAGGCTCGTGACCATTTGCTCTCCAAAGCCCTAAAAAGGGCGGCGAGGGATCATTCGGGTGATGACTCCTCTGTGGACAGCCGAGAAGGGTCGTTAGCCTTGGTTCCTGTTGCCCCCTACAACACGAATGCTAACACAACTTTATCCAACAACTGGAACAGTTGTTTCCCTTCCTCTGTCGACGGCGTCGAGGTGGACCTCCACTCTGACATGGAGTGGCCCATGCTCCAATCCTAATCCCCTCGCCCTTCAGATCAGTCGACATCCAAGGGTAAGAAGAGTAAGAAGAAAGGGCGGAGATCCTAATTGCCCTTTTCCCTTTGTTGAGCCTGCATTCTCGTTTCTGGGGCGTATGTACCTTTTTTTTTCTAAGCTTGTGTGCTTTTTTCAGGGCATCTGTGACTTTTTGAGCCTGTGTGCTCTTTTCCGAGCATTTGTGCCTTTGTTTGAGCATGCGTGCCCTCTTGCCAATTAAGGCGTTTATGCCTGTGTTTTGTTTGCCTTTGAAGCTTTTTGGTTCGGCGGATCGTGTTATTTTGTAACCATTTTCTTTTCTTTTGGATATAAAACTTACATACCCTAAAAATAAATAAATAAATAAAATTAATATTCCCTAACATTACTTCCATAGCAAGTTACTTTGTCTATGATGGCACAAAAATTTATTGATAGCACTTAGAAAATACTGATTCTCACTGAAGTAAAGCAAACTGAAAATACAGAAATAGATAGGGACATAACTGGGCAACACAAACCACATAAGGAAACACACAACACAAATTTTAAAGACCAGAGTGCCAATCAAGAGCAAGCAACAAAGTCCAACCACCCACCCTTATTTCAAGTTTTAAGCATCTGAACAGTGCCCATAAAAGAAGAATTTTAATCTTCTTTTCCTAGCAGAGTTAAAAGGAAGGCCTTGTAATCCCCTGAAGTGTCCTTGGCCACAACATGATCAAGAGAGACACTGTTCCTGTTGTAATAAATCTCTTTGATCTCCTTCAAGTCCTTCTCTGCCCTGGTAATGATCACGCGAGTGAGTGCATCCTCATCAGTCCCAAGCCTTTTGATTGCATTGCGGATAACCTTAAGCACATAAACCCAATTGAGAATGAGTAAACTGAGATTATACAATGCTTAAAGAAAGAGGGTTGTTCTTTAATTGCACATAAATCACACAACCTTTTCAAAGTACTTATTTGAGTTGTTGATGCAGCGAATGGTTGTACGCAGAGCAGCCGGAAACTCATTATTTTGATCGCCTTCGCCAAACAGATTCTGCGAAAAGACAATGAACGAAAATTAACAATTCATGCCGGCCAGTTTTACTTACAGAACCATTTTTTTTATGTATTACCTTAGTGATGGAAGTGTTATGTTCATCTCTGTAACGATTAAAAGTTGCCATGAGCTGTGCCTTACTCCTTGTGGATAATATCCTGATGATTTCATCATGATTAAGTGCCTTATCCTTGATAGCATCATGAAGAATATCAGCCTCAGACTTAGCCAATCTCTCGTTAATCTCACCACCAGCATACCTAAATGCACTCACTAAGGCAACCAAGAGCTGTAACAAAGACCACAAAAAAAAAAAAAAAAAAAAATTACCACTTATTAGTTGTTGTTCACCTCTGTGTTGGTTTAACTCCCGTTAAAAACTTAAAATGATAAATCAATGTGAAGTTACAGACCTTGCGAAAATCGCCAGTGGTATGAGCAGCCACATCTTCTTCCAGGGAACGCTTGTAGCGAGCCTGGTAAGCCCTCCTCACAGCCAAGAGTTCTTCAGGAGATCGGACGCATGCGATTTCGATGATCACATGATAATCAGGGCTTAGTTTCTTGATGGCCACGTGGGCTAGCACAGCATCGCGATCGGCTGGTTCCAATATCCATCGGTACACAGCTTTCTGTGTTCACAAAACAACCCCGACCCACCCGAAGAAAAACAAAAATTAGTTCACCCACTAATCACTTAATTATGTATAAAATAAAATAAACGAGAATATGACAAAAGAAACCTCAAAGTCTCCGCTGAGTTCAGACTCGAGGCGTTTAACAAGGTCTTCTTGGTGAAGATCCTGATAAGCTATCCTGATTTGTTGCCTTTGTTCTGCAGTTCTATGACCCAGTATTGAAATTATTCCCTTCTCATCAGTCCCCCATCCTGACAAATCATGCAAAAAAGGATTGACTTTTTATCAGAAAAATAACTTAAACATTTCTAAAACAAACTGAACATGATTTTGGCATTTACCTTTACAAGCCTTGTAGAGAGCTTCAGCATCCTCAACAGGAGAATGTTGGGGAGGAGCGACAAGGGTAGCCATTCTTTTCTATGAATTTTCCTTAGTTTGTGTGAATAGAGATGAGAAATGCGCAAAGTATAAACTTCTGAGAAAACACCTTCCAATATATAACAGTCCAGTTTTTAACACTAATTAATGTTTAGTATTAAATATTATTCCAAATATTGGAAATTACGCCAGCTCACTTCTGTAATTCATGCATTGGTCGGTTGAAACGTTACCTTATTTGTGAAGAAATTGGTGAGGAAAAAGACAAAACAGCTCATTGTTTTCTCACATTCATTATTAAGCTGCACAAAACTGGTTTTCTGATAACAAGTATTTCGTGTTTGGTTATGGCGTTTTGTGTTTGGATGTTGCCCATGTTATCAGATTTTAAGATTCTCTGACTAGAAAGTTACTGCTAATTTCTCTTTGCCGCTGTTATCTTTTCTTCTTTGTCTTTCTTGCTTTTGCTTTTGCTTACTAAAATATATAATTAAGATTTTTACGAAAAATTCTGCAGTATTAAATCTAAGTGCTTTTGTTCTTTTTTATTTTGTTGATTTTTTTTTTATTAGAATCACAACTAATAATAATATTGTATTGTATCATTTACGACTCATTACATAATCAACATCATCTCTGGGTCGTCTTTTTTCTTTTTATTTTAATCTAAGCTAACGATTAAGCATCTGTTTCTTTTCCTTTTTTCTTTTTAATCAAGGTGTAAGAACCAATTTCCGCACAACTCCTCAACTAATCTTCAAGAGAGACTAGCATAACAATCCATCATCACGACTCCACACTTAAATTACGGATATTCAGATAGAAAATTAAACCTGAGACCGTACGTCTACCCCCAATTTGTCGTGTTTCTCTATATTCTCAATCACTATTTTTTTTAAATTTATTTATTATCAAATAATATAATAAACAATGTCATAAAGATAAGCTTAAAATGATGTAAATAACGTCCAATAATCTCTTCCATTTGTCATGATTTTAAGCTTTAATTTGTATCAAGTCTATGTTGAATATGTATTTACATTTGTATTTTTATCAATCTATCTCTTGATATTTGATCTTGACACTAAGAAATCTTAGTAATTACACTTGAATTGATTATGAGAGTTGATTATGGGGCACTGTTCTCACAATAGCATGCAAAGACGTAAAAGTAATTGAAGCAGCAAAAGTTTTTACAGTAGTTTGAATGCTTAAAGCGAATCTTACATCCACTATTTTCTTTTATATTAGTGTGTTCCTGGTTATTAGTCAAGATTACAAGAGGGTCGATAATTACTATTTGGGTTATAGGTACTTGGTGTTGTAAGTGTTTTTAGAGAATATCAAGCTAGTCTCTTTCTTATGATGTGTCTTTGTTATTTTCTTTGTTGAATTCAAAGGGTTTGATCCCGATTTTGTGAGGGGTAGCTGCTTATTTATACCCGCTGAGCTCAAGGTAATGATTACATGTCTACAAGTGGGTTGGTGTCGTGCAAAACTCTTATATCTTCCCATTGGTTGAGAACTTAAGAAATATCCTTTAATTAAATAGGGCATAGACAAGTGTACGAACCAAATTCATTCACAAACAAAGCTTGAGTTGACTGGGTTGTTGACAGCTATATTATTTCTATCTTGAGCAATGTGACAAACTCTAGACGATGCAAAACCTCCCTGAATTCTAATTGATGCTCGTTGACATCAGCTTATGTCAGTCTTGATTATTAGGCATAACATTGTCCTTAATCTGTATCGTGTTATTTCGAGTCAGGTAATCAAAGTCAATAGAATCGTTCAAGTTTATAGCCCTTCATTATTATTATTATTATTATTAGGAAGCAAACAAATTTAAGGCCACACTAATGAAAATAGCAGGTACACTAATAATCCAATTCTAAACCGCCATTATTATCAAAACTATAAGCATCGGCTGATTAATTCCCGTAAAACAAGTTTAATCTTCTTTCCCTGACAGAGTTAAAAGGAAGTCCTTGTAATCTCCTGAAGTGTTGTTGGCCACAGCTTGATCAAAACTAACACTGTTCCTGTTGTAGTAAAGCTCCTTGATCTCCTTCAAGTCCTTCTCTGCCCTCGTAACCATCAGACGAGTTAGTGAATCCTCATCAGTTATAGCTCCTCTCATTGCGTTGTGGACAACCTTAATTAACCATATTAAACTCAGAGTGATCAGTCAAGTGAAATATTAATTTCTGAAATTAAAGAAGAGGATTGATCTCCATACCTTTACAAAGTACTTGTTTGAGTTTTTCATGCAGCGCATAGCTGTACGCAAAGCTGCTGCAAAATCATTGCCCTGATTACCTTCACCTTTTAGATTCTGGAAAAAGAACAATTTACGCAAGTTAAAAAAAACAGTGGTTTACTCATAGACTAATAATGGAATGGTTATATATTATTGGAGTTGTCGACTACTTTAACATTAATGGGTTATACAGACGCATTGTCAGTGGACGGAGGCCCCACTCCACGGTGAGCCCTTGCACCCCTAGCCCGTAAGCAATTTGGGCTTTTTCCATATATAACTGTCCGCTGAAGAATTTCTTTAAATTATTAATTCTTTATTGAGTTGGGTTTAAAAATAAGAATTTTTATAATACTAGGTTCTAATCATTTAAACCTAATATATAAATATATATTTTTCTTATAATATAATAGCAAATCATAGAACAAATTATTTCATTGTAAACGAGAGAGGTGAGATAGTATTAAAATAATATTGACTTTGTTGAACATAACCTGTTAATTGGGTGAACCAGGATAAATAATACGTATCTCTTCGGTTGTTTTACTGTTTATGATTTGTGTGCTTTTGGTTTGGTTTTGCATATCTCTAATTCGTTCATATATATATATATATATATATACCTATACCTTAGTGATGCGAGTGCCATGGTGCTCATCTCTGTAGCGATTGAAAGTCGCCTTCAGCTGTGCCTTACTTCTTGTACATATAATCCTCATAACTTCTTCATGATTAAATGTCTTATCCTTGATAGCATCATCAAGAATACCAGCCTCTGACTCAGCCAATCCCTCGTTTATCTCATCACCAGCATACCTAAATGCGCTGACTAAAGCAACCAGGAGCTGTAACAATGACCACAAAAAGAATAATAATAATAATAATACTGTTAAGTTACATGGTTTTTGTTATAATATCGAATTATTCAATGTTAAGTTTAATGTTACATGCCGTGCGGATATCGCCGGTGGTATGAGCCGCCACATCTTCTTCCAGAGAACGCTTGTAGCGCACCTGGTAAGCTTGTCTCACCGCAAAGAGTTCTTCAGGAGAACGAACGCAAGCAATCTCGATGATCACATGATAGTCCGGGATTGCTTTCTTTATGGCCTCATTCGCTAACAATGCATCACGATCTGCTGGTTCAAATATCCATTGATGCACAGCTTTCTATGTTCAGATAACAAAAGATCAGCTTATAACATTGAAAGAGTTGACAAAACAAAATTCAATAAAAATAAATATCCTCATGTCAGTCCCCCATCTGACAATCATGCAAAAATGGATTGATCACTTTTTATCAGAAAAATAACTTAAACATTTCTAAAACAACAGAACATGATTTTGCATTTACCTTTACAAGCCTTGTGAGAGCTTCAGCATCTTCAACAGGAGAATGTTGGGAGGAGCACAAGGGTAGCCATTCTTTTCTATGAATTTTCCTTAGTTTGTGTGAATAGAGATAGAAATGCGCAAAGCATAAACTTCTGAGAAAACACCTTCCAATATATAACAGTCCAGTTTTTAACCTAATTAATGTTTAGATTAAATATTTTCCAAATATTGGAAATTACGCCAGCTCACTTCTGTAATTCAGCATTGGTCGGTTGAAACGTACCTTATTTGTGAAGAAATTGGTGAGGAAAAGACAAACAGCTCATTGTTTTCTCACATTCATTATTAAGCTGCACAAAACTGGTTTTCTGATAACAAGTATTTCGTGTTGGTTATGGCGTTTTGTGTTGATTTGCCCATGTTATCAGATTTTAAGATTCTCTGACTAGAAGTTACTGCTATTTCTCTTTGCCGCTGTTATCTTTTTTCTTTGTCTTTCTTGCTTTTGCTTTTGCTTACTAAAATTATAATTAAGATTTTTAACAAAATTCTGCAGATTAAATCTAAGTGCTTTTGTTCTTTTTTATTTTGTTAATTTTTTTTATAAATCACAACTAATAATAATATTGTATTTATCTTTACAACTCATTACATAATCACATCATCTCTGGTCGTCTTTTTTCTTTTTTTTTTTTAATCTAAGCTAAGATTAAGCATTTGTTTCTTTTCCTTTTTTTTTTTAATCAAGGTGTGAACCAATTTACGAAACTCTTCAACTAATCTTCGGAAAGACTAGCAACAACCCACTCACGACTCCACACTTAATCGGGATATCAAATAAGAATAACCTGAGACGTACGCCTACCAATTGCCGTGTTTCTCTATATTCTCAATCACTATTTTTTAAAATTTATTTATTATCAAATAATATAATAAACAAGTCATAAAGATAACTTAAAATGATGTAAGTAACGTCCAATAATCTCTTCCATTTGTCAGATTTTAAGCTTTAATTGTGTATCAGTTATGTTGAATATTATATAGTTATTGTGCTACCAATCGACCTATGAGTTCACTTAGCTTGATTATACCCACGTGTTTGTGAGATTGATGCCGCCAAGCCTATCCTACATCGGTTTACTTTCAAGATTGAGAGCGAATCAATCCTAGTTGAGGTCGAGTATGAATGGAATCTGAAGCAATGTCCAAAATGCTGTGAGTTTGGCCATGTTTGCCACCCGCCAAGGGCGGCTCCTGAGCCTCCTAAGGCCCCTGAGGAGGCCCTTTTGAGTATTCCTCATCCGACCCCTTCTAGGGCCTCAGAGATCCCTCTCGTGAGCACCAAGCTCTTGGACAACTTTTGGACAAAGACCGCCTCGACTTCATACCCGAAGGATGTTTACCTAACAGGTGATCTGATAATCGGGGCTTGTGGCCGAGAAGGGCTTTTAGCCTTTGTTCCTGTTGCCCCTTGCAACACGAATGCTAACACAACTTTATCCAACGACTGGAACAGTTGTTTCCCTTCCTCTGTCAAAGACATCGAGGACTCTAACATGGAGTGGCCCATGCTCCAGTCCCAATCCCCTCACCCTTCGGATCAATTGACATCCAAGGGTAAGAAGAGTAAGAAGAAAGGGTGGAGATCCTAATTGCCCTTTTCCCTTTGTTGAGCCTGCTTGCTCGTTTCTGGGGCGTATGTACCTTTTTTTTTTCTAAGCTTGCGTGCTCTTTTCTAGGCATCTGTGACTTTTTGAGCTTGTGTGCTCTTTTCCGAGCATTTGTGCCCTTTTTTGAGCCTGCGTGCTCCTTTTGCTTTCGAGCATGCATGCTCTCTTGCTAATTAATGCATTTATGCCTGTGTTTTGTTTGCCTTTTGAGCTTTTTGGTTCGGCGGATCGTGTTATTTTGTAACCATTTTCTTTTGGATACAAAACTTACTTACCCAAAAAAAAAAAAAAATAATTAATCCCTAACATTACTTCCATAGCAAGTTACTTTGTCTATGATGGCACAAAAATTTATTGATAGCACATAGAAAATACTGATTCTCACTGAAGTAAAGCAAACTGAAAATACAGAAATAGATAGGGACATAACTGAGCAACACAAACCACATAAAGAAACACACAACACAAATTTTAAAGACCAGAGTGCCAATCAAGAGTAAGCAACAAAGTCCAACCACCCACCCTTATTTCAAGTTTTAAGCATCTGAACAGTGCCCATAAAAGAAGAATTTTAATCTTCTTTTCCTAGCAGAGTTAAAAGGAAGGCCTTGTAATCCCCTGAAGTGTCCTTGGCCACAACATGATCAAGAGAGACACTGTTCCTGTTGTAATAAATCTCTTTGATCTCCTTCAAGTCCTTCTCTGCCCTGGTAACGATCACGCGAGTGAGTGCATCCTCATCAGTCCCAAGCCTTTTGATTGCATTGCGGATAACCTTAAGCACATAAACCCAATTGAGAATGAGTAAACTGAGATTATAAAATGCTTAAAGAAAGAGGGTTGTTCTTTAATTGCACATAAATCACACAACCTTTTCAAAGTACTTATTTGAGTTGTTGATGCAGCGAATGGTTGTACGCAGAGCAGCCGGAAACTCATTATTTTGATCGCCTTCGCCAAACAGATTCTGCGAAAAGACAATGAACGAAAATTAACAATTCATGCCGGCCAGTTTTACTTACAGAACCATTTTTTTTATGTATTACCTTAGTGATGGAAGCGTTATGTTCATCTCTGTAACGATTAAAAGTTGCCATGAGCTGTGCCTTACTCCTTGTGGATAATATCCTGATGATTTCATCATGATTAAGTGCCTTATCCTTGATAGCATCATGAAGAATATCAGCCTCAGACTTAGCCAATCTCTCGTTAATCTCACCACCAGCATACCTAAATGCACTCACTAAGGCAACCAAGAGCTGTAACAAAGACCACAAAAAAAAAAAAAAAAAAAAATTACCACTTATTAGTTGTTGTTCACCTCTGTGTTGGTTTAACTCCCGTTAAAAACTTAAAATGATAAATCAATGTGAAGTTACAGACCTTGCGAAAATCGCCAGTGGTATGAGCAGCCACATCTTCTTCCAGGGAACGCTTGTAGCGAGCCTGGTAAGCCCTCCTCACAGCCAAGAGTTCTTCAGGAGATCGGACGCATGCGATTTCGATGATCACATGATAATCAGGGCTTAGTTTCTTGATGGCCACGTGGGCTAGCACAGCATCGCGATCGGCTGGTTCCAATATCCATCGGTACACAGCTTTCTGTGTTCACAAAACAACCCCGACCCACCCGAAGAAAAACAAAAATTAGTTCACCCACTAATCACTTAATTATGTATAAAATAAAATAAACGAGAATATGACAAAAGAAACCTCAAAGTCTCCGCTGAGTTCAGACTCGAGGCGTTTAACAAGGTCTTCTTGGTGAAGATCCTGATAAGCTATCCTGATTTGTTGCCTTTGTTCTGCAGTTCTATGACCCAGTATTGAAATTATTCCCTTCTCATCAGTCCCCCATCCTGACAAATCATGCAAAAAAGGATTGACTTTTTATCAGAAAAATAACTTAAACATTTCTAAAACAAACTGAACATGATTTTGGCATTTACCTTTACAAGCCTTGTAGAGAGCTTCAGCATCATCAACAGGAGAATGTTGGGGAGGAGCAACAAGGGTAGCCATTCTTTTCTATGAATGTTCCTTAGTTTGTGTGAATAGAGATGAGAAATGCGCAAAGCATAAACTTCTGAGAAAACACCTTCCAATATATAACAGTCCAGTTTTTAACACTAATTAATGTTTAGCATTAAATATTGTTCCAAATATTGGAAATTACGCCAGCTCACTTCTGTAATTCATGCATTGGTCGGTTGAAACGTTACCTTATTTGTGAAGAAATTGGTGAGGAAAAAGACAAAACAGCTCATTGTTTTCTCACATTCATTATTAAGCTGCACAAAACTGGTTTTCTGATGACAAGTATTTCGTGTTTGGTTATGGCGTTTTGTGTTTGCATCTTGCCCATGTTATCAGATTTTAAGATTCTCTGACTAGAAAGTTACTGCTAATTTCTCTTTGCCGCTGTTATCTTTTCTTCTTTGTCTTTCTTGCTTTTGCTTTTGCTTACTAAAATATATAATTAAGATTTTTACAAAAAATTCTGCAGTATTAAATCTAAGTGCTTTTGTTCTTTTTTATTTTGTTGATTTTTTTTTTATTAGAATCACAACTAATAATAATATTGTATTGTATCATTTACGACTCATTACATAATCAACATCATCTCTGGGTCGTCTTTTTTCTTTTTATTTTAATCTAAGCTAACGATTAAGCATCTGTTTCTTTTCCTTTTTTCTTTTTAATCAAGGTGTAAGAACCAATTTCCGCACAACTCCTCAACTAATCTTCAAGAGAGACTAGCATAACAATCCATCATCACGACTCCACACTTAAATTACGGATATTCAGATAGAAAATTAAACCTGAGACCGTACGTCTACCCCCAATTTGTCGTGTTTCTCTATATTCTCAATCACACTATTTTTTAAAATTTATTTATTATCAAATAATATAATAAACAATGTCATAAAGATAACCTTAAAATGATGTAAGTGACGTCCAATAATCTCTTCCATTTGTCGTAATTTTAAGCTTTAATTTGTATCAAGTGTATGTTGAATATGTATTTAAATTTGTATTTTTATCAATCTGTCTATTGATATTTGATCTTGATACTGATGACTTCGCACGTGCAAAGTGCTAAGAAAATCTTAAAAATTACACTTGAATTGATTATGAGAGTTAATTATGGGGTATGAGAGTTGATTATAGGGTACTGTTCTCACAGTAACATACAAAGACGTAAAAGTAAATGAAATTGCAAAAGTTTTTATAGTGGTTTGGATACTTAAAGCGAATCATGTATCCACTATTTTCTTTTATATTAGTGTGTTCCTAATTATTAGCCAAGATTACAAAAGAGTTGCGAATTGCGATCTAGGTTATAGGTACTTGGTGTTGTAAGTGTTCTTAGAGAATATCAAGTTAGTCTCTTTCTTGTAGTGTGTCTTTGCTATTTTCTTTGTTAAATTCAAAGGGTTTAATCCCGATTTTGTGAGAGGGAGCTGCCTATTTATACCCGTTGAGCTCAAGGTAATGAATACATGCCTACAAATAGGTTGGTGTCGTGCAAATCTCTTATGTCTTCCCATTGGTTAAGAACTTAAGAAATATCTTTTAATTAAATAGGGCTTGGATAGATGTGCGAACCAAATTCATTCACAGACAAAGCTTGAGTATGCTGGATTATCAACAGTTATATTTTTTTTATCTTGAGCGACGTGACAGACTCTAAACAATGCAAAACCTTCTTGATTCTGATTAGTGCTCGTTGATATCAGCTTATGTCAGCCCTGATTTTCAGGCATAACATTGTCCTTAATCTGCATTGTGTTATTTCTAGTCAGGTAATCAAAGTCAATAGAATCGTTCAAGTTTATAGCCCTTCATTACTATTATTATTATTATTATTATTATTATTATTATTATTAGGAAGCAAACAAATTTAAGGCCACACTAATGAAAATAGCGGGTACACTAATAATCCAATTCTAAACCGCCATTATTATCAAAACTATAAGCATCGGCTGATTAATTCCCGTAAAACAAGTTTAATCTTCTTTCCCTGACAGAGTTAAAAGGAAGTCCTTGTAATCTCCTGAAGTGTTGTTGGCCACAGCTTGATCAAAACTAACACTGTTCCTGTTGTAGTAAAGCTCCTTGATCTCCTTTAAGTCCTTCTCTGCCCTCGTAACCATCACACGAGTTAGTGAATCCTCATCAGTTATAGCTCCTTTCATTGCGTTGTGGACAACCTTAATTAACCATATTAAACTCAGAGTGATCAGTCAAGTGAAATATTAATTTCTGAAATTAAAGAAGAGGAATGATCTCCATACCTTTACAAAGTACTTGTTTGAGTTTTTGATGCAGCGCATAGCTGTACGCAAAGCTGCTGCAAAATCATCGCCCTGATTACCTTCACCTTTCAGATTCTGGAAAAAGAACAATTTACGAAAGTTAAAAAACATTGGTATAATTGAGCATTTTACAGACACAAAAAATTTTACTCATAGACTAATAATGGAATGATTATATATTGATAGAGTTGTTGACTACTTTAGTATTAATGAGCCATACAGACGCATTGTCAATGGACGGGGTTCCCGTTCTCCAGTGACCCTTGCACCCCCCGACCCGTAAGCAGTTTGGGTTTTTTCCATATATAACTGTCCGCTGAAGGATTTCTTTAAATTATTAATTTCTTATTGAGTTTGGACTTAGGAATAAAAATCCTTGTAATACTAGGTTCTAATCATTTAAACCTAGTATATAAATATACTTTTCTCTTGTAATAAGTAATAACAAATCATAGGACAAATTATTTTATTGTACGAAAAAGGTGAAACAGTATTGAAATAATATTGACTCTGTTAGACGTAGTTTAGCCTGTTAACTGGGTGAACCAAGATAAATAGTGCGTATCTCTTTTGTTGTTTTCCCGTTTGTGATTTGTGTGCTTTTGGTTTGGTTTCTCATATATATATATATACCTACCTTAGTGATGCGAGTGCCATGGTGCTCATCTCTGTAGCGATTGAAAGTCGCCTTCAGCTGTGCCTTACTTCTTGTACATATAATCCTCATAACTTCTTCATGATTAAATGTCTTATCCTTGATAGCATCATCAAGAATACCAGCCTCTGACTCAGCCAATCTCTCGTTTATCTCATCACCAGCATACCTAAATGCGCTGACTAAAGCAACCAGGAGCTGTAACAATGACCACAAAAAGAATAATAATAATAATAATACTGTTAAGTTACATGGTTTTTGTTATAATATCGAATTATTCAATGTTAAGTTTAATGTTACATGCCGTGCGGATATCGCCGGTGGTATGAGCCGCCACATCTTCTTCCAGAGAACGCTTGTAGCGCACCTGGTAAGCTTGTCTCACCGCAAAGAGTTCTTCAGGAGAACGAACGCAAGCAATCTCGATGATCACATGATAGTCCGGGACTGCTTTCTTTATGGCCTCATTCGCTAACAATGCATCACGATCTGCTGGTTCAAATATCCATTGATGCACAGCTTTCTATGTTCAGATAACAAAACATCAGCTTATAACATTGAAAGAGTTGACAAAACAAAATTCAATAAAAATAAATAAATAAATAATTAACAAAGAAAAAACCTTAAAGTCTCCGCTGAGTTCAGAGTCAAGGCAGCTGACAAGATCTTCATGGTAAAGCTTTTGATAAGCGATTATGACTTGCTGCCTCTGTTGTGCAGTTCTATGACCCAGTATCGAAATTATTGCCTTCTCATCAGTCCCAAATCCTAACAAAATTCACGCAAAAATGGACTGAATAATTAACAAACTGATGAATTTGGCCATTGTCATATTATGAACATATATATAGAGAATGAAATGTTAATAAATTACCTTTACATGCACTGTAGATAGTTTCAGCATCCTCAACAGGAGAATGTTTGGTGGGGGCAATAAGAGTAGCCATTGTTGACTGTTTCTTGATTTCTCAAGTACACTTCTCAAACACCTTCCTATTTATAACACCAAATTTAATGTTTTGTATTAAATATTTTTACCAAAATTAGATTAATTGACGACAACTGACGTTCCTATATCTATGCATGTATATGTTACCAGATTCTGGACGTTACTTTGCGAACCAGTTAAAGAGAAAAGAAACGGAAAAGAATAAAATTCTTCATTACTGTGCTGTCACTTACTGTTTTCTGATAACATGTAACTCATGCGTACTTAATTTATTAACTATTAGTTTTTAATCAATGGCGAAATTTACAAAACATTTTCATCAATAATGATTACTGAACTTAAATATGAAAAATTGAATAAAAGATTAAATATTTTTTTATTTTGCAGAGAACAGGGACTCCATGGCCCAATGGATAAGGCGCTGGTCTACGGAACCAGAGATTCTGGGTTCGATCCCCAGTGGAGTCGTACAAAAAGTTTTCTACATTTTCCTTTTTTGTCCTTGGGCTTCAAAGTAAATAGATCTTGATGGACTCAGCCTGTCTGTGGGACTTTTTGTTCTTCAATTATGAAGCTAATTCAGCTACTAATTAGTAATTCCCCATAATTTAACAAGATAAAATAATTTAATTAGTCATCGATTTATGTATGATTATCTATTTAGTCCTATAATAATATATTGAATTGAAAATTAATAATAATTCAAAAGAATAATCTATCATATCGAGATTTAAACAAAGCTCAAATTCTCTATCAAAAATGATGACAAAAATAATTTTAGTCGCGCGTAAAAATTTGACAAAACATTATCGTGTCAAAGTAAAAAACTCGTGGATTGTGAACATGAAAATTTTGTATCGAGAAAAAACAAAAAAAAAAATGATCATAAAGATTAGTAATCATCGAGTGCTGATTTAGATGTTGAAATCATATTAAGAAACGAGACACACGCTAGAAACATCGTACTTAGTGTAAACACTAATCCATGAAATGACCTGAAGGGACCAAATTTAGGGTGAAAAAATAGGAAGAGGAAATGAAAGAAAATAACTGGATCCATTGTCTCGATCACTTTGTCAAATATTGAGCTAATAAAACCTGTTGAAACACAAGAAAAATGTGCCAATTTTAACTAAATCTCAATGCTTCAATTCAAAAGCAGTTGACAAGGGTGAATATAAACGTGGAAAAAATCATATCCGGAGACAAAAGTAAAAGGTTTAGTTGATTAATTAATCTAAGAAATCGATTAATAAATTTTGATTAATTCAAATCAACGGCGTGTCGGGCTGATTATGTGAAGAAACTTCATTAATCATGTTGATTAAATTGCTTAATAAAAACTAAAAAGTCATAGCCTGCTGCAGGCTCAAATCCAGTTCCCACGTGATGAAACGTACAAATGAAATTAATTTTTAATTTGTTCTGTTAATAATAAGGAACTGATGCTCTTATCTCAGAGTCAGGCATATCTGTCTAAATATCTTTTGGGTTTAAAGAAATAATTAATTAATTAATTAATTAACTTAAAGCACGGTCAAGTTTAATAAAAAAGCTTATCTTTCCAGGTGAAGGAAGCTGCAGATTCCTACATTATGTGGACTTTTATAAACAAGACAATGTCAATTGTCAAATAAATAAATAATTAAATTAAAATAAAATAATAAAAATTTATAGGAGACAATAAAACACCGACAATTAATCTGTCTGAGCAAGAAGGCGTTGAAGCCTTAAACTATGTTAAGTTGTTGTCCACAAACTATAAAAGCAAATTGGAGACCATGACACCTAGTTTCATCTATTGGTGGCCCTTCTCTTAATAACATTTTATTTTTAAATTAGTTTTATATTAATTGATTCCACAAATAACAAGTAGAGATTAAATAACTCTTTAATTAGCATCTTAAAAAGTAGTTATAATCCTAATATGATCTTTGTATTTTATGTATACGTGGCTGGTTGTCCATACAAGAAATCGAACACAAGATGTTCAACGCAATCCGAAAAATCTTCAATGTGTCTATTACCATTGAAATTCAAAACAACCTACTAGTAGATAATATATATATATTTTGTAATATACAGATAATTATTATTATATGGAGACAAATTTTTTAAAACGAGATTTAGAAAAATTATAACTTATTGCAATGTGAAGTTTATTCTTATTTATAACTGGTCTAAGTTGAGAATAATTTTTTTTTATGACTATATAAAGGTTATTTTTATATATAATATCACTATAGAGATGTTACGACTTATGGAGTATACAATTATTTTTAAGAAAAATAATAATAAATTCATGATATCTCAAGATCGATATCATTAATAAGATGGGATTTTTTTAGTTTAAAAAAATTATAAAAAAGGAACAATTAATTAAGGTTAGTTAAGGTCAAATTTTAGGTTTAACTATATAAGGGTATTAAAGTAATATTTTATAAATTAAAAATAGGAAAGCCGAATATTAAAAAAATTATTCCCCGAACAAAAAAGATATTTAACTTTGACTCTATTATATCTTTTAGATTATGGTAATATTCCTTGTAAGTATGAATCAAAATAGTGTAAAATTTATGGTGGACTCATATTCATATTCGAAAATAAAGGCAAAAGAAGGTAAAATAAAAATAAATAACAAAATATATCTGAAAATTAATAATATTCGAATAAATAAAAAATATGGGTTGATTTGTATTATATTGGGTAAGCATAACATAACTACGTGTCCAAAACAATGGTCACAGAAACCCCCGATTCCTAGTTTGTTTGATAAAGACATAACAGTGATGAGTGATAACGATAAGACCAGCTTTTATTTTAGTGGAACTCAACCCTTTCTACTTTACAATCTTTTTATTTTATTTATTCAATGCACTTTCTATCATTCACCAATCACTTTAATTAACTCTATTCATTCCATTATGTCCTACTATATCATATTCTATGGTCGGGTACAACAAATAAATATATTTATAAATTAGATGTTTAAATTTCAAAAATCTTTTATTTTTGATGGAAGATGAAAGAGAATTAACCAAAACTTAATGAATTTATTATAAAAGGGCAAAATAGGATTTTATGAACTTCTAAGTTCGAGTTCTAGGCATTAATAGAGGTGGTTACTAAAACTCTTATCCGAACGTCAGTTTCAGGACTCGAACTCCTCCTAAGTACTAATAAGAGTGGTCACTGGAGCTTTTATTTGAACGGTAATTTCAGAACTCGAACTCTCCCCAGACTCTAATAGGGGTGGTTATTGAAGTTCTTACTCGATTGATAGTTTTAGGATCAAAGCTCTTCCTAGGTATTAATAGGAGTGATTACTGAAGTTCTTACCTAACCTACAGTTTGGAAACTAAACTCCTCCTAGGTACTAATAAAAGTTGTTACTGAAACTCTTATCCAACTGATAATTCCGTGATGTAATAACAAGTTGAGTTAAATGAGAACTAGCTAACCATCTCAGCGATTTAAAAGCAAAAAAAAAAAAAAATGTACTGAATTTATTCGGTACGTTTCAAAACAGGTGGTGGTCACGTGACCCCGGCAGTGATATTTTTAACATTTGTACAACCCCACCCACAAGAAAGGCATCGTAGCCTAAATCTCCGACACGTGTCCTTTCCATGAAGCTCAAGTGAGTAACGCCAACTACACAAAGCACTGATTGATTAATTCACCTTCCATCAACCACACGTGCGTAGAACTTTCTTTCCGTACTCGAGTCCTCATTGGTCTGTCATTTAACTCCTGTGGCTTTATCATCTCTCCTTTATCCGATCGTACTCATGCCTGTTAATAACAGGACAAAATCTCATCCCCGTATCAGAAACAACTTTCCGTTTGCAAGACAAACGCCGTCTATTTTTACCAATCTGTCAGCAACATGTACACTATGCTGATTATAACTCCGTTAAAGTTACCCGTCAACGCGCGTAATTAAATCCTCACCTTGCCGGTTAAGCAGTGGACAGGTGCAGCAAGCAGGCACAATAATTTATACTTAATTAAAAAACAAAATAAAAAAAATGAAAAAAATAATTTATATATCATTGTTAAGGGGAAGATTAAATTGTGTGACTGTAAGAGAGAGAAAGCTGACTGTACGAATAGCGAATAGTAAGTAAATGGCAGTAGAGATTAGTGGCGAGATGGTAACAGACGAGACAGAAAAAAATGATTCAGATGATGAAACCAAGCCGATCCAAAAAGTTATTGCAGCTGTTGTTCGTGAATCGAGGAGAACTTTTCTTATTGCTTCCTGTTTCAGTTACAGAGTGGCACAGTGTTTCGAGTCTCGTAGCCAGGATTAGCTTTTCAGAGGTCTTCAATTATATATTATTATTACTCCTATTAATTATTTATTAAGGTTTTGGTTTAGTTCAAGTTTTAGGTCACAGTGAACGGAAGTGATTGTAATTTTGTGTCAATGGAGAGATGTGGGGATTTGGAAGGAGGAGAAGGAGGAGATCGTGCGTTGTATAAGGAGTTATGGCATGCGTGTGCGGGTCCACTTGTGACGGTGCCTCGTCAAGGCGACATCGTTTTTTACTTTCCTCAAGGTCATATAGAGCAGGTTGAAGCGTCGATGAATCAAGTGTCTGATCAACAGATGCCTGCTTATGATCTTAATGCCAAGATACTTTGTCGTGTTGTCAATGTTCAATTGAAGGTTCAACTGCTATCTTCACTTTCATCGCCTTCAACTTCAAATATTTGGTTTCTTTGAAATTAGGTTCAAATGTTTTGTCTTGCTGCAGGCTGAACCGGACACTGATGAAGTTTTTGCTCAAATAACTTTGCATCCGTTATATAAAGTATGCTTCTCTCTTTTGAAATTTCAAGAATAGTAATTAGTTAATTAATCAATTGGCTTAATCGATAACGAGATAAGAAATGCGTGGCATGGCAGCATGAGGAGGATACGGTGGAGAAGGAAGTGGGGCCTCCGCCTCCACGTCCTCGAGTCTATTCCTTCTGTAAGACTTTAACGGCGTCTGATACAAGCACTCACGGTGGATTTTCAGTGTTGAGACGGCACGCTGAGGAATGCCTGCCTTCTCTGGTTTGCTTTGTTCCCCTCTGCCCTGCCCTGTTGCTTAATTTTTTAATTGTTGAGGAGGATTGAATCGCCTTTTTTTTTTGCAGGACATGTCCAAACAGCCTCCTACTCAGGAGTTGGTGACCAAGGACTTGCATGGAAATGAGTGGCGTTTTCGCCACATCTTTCGGGGTAATTATTGTTCTTTGTTTAGTCATTTGTTAATGTTGAGTTAAAATGACCTGTACTGGATATGATATTTGTTTGTGTTGAATGGCTTCTTGAAATTTAGTGAAACTATGACTGTTGGAATTGGATAAAGTTAATTGGACCGAAAGTAGTTGTAATTTGTCCGTAGAATGAGATGGAGATCTTGCATTGCATAAACCTCTAATCTTTAACAAGGTCTTGGTGTTTTTGGCATATCTTCAGGCATGAGATTACAGTTTATGTATAGTATTTATTATCGTGTATACATTATCTGTTGATGTTTGCTCATATCTAAGAAATTTTGAAATCTTAGATTGGCCGTTTGACATTTGTGTAACTGTTGATTGATTACTCAGTATCTTTATGGTGGCAGGAATGCCTCTTGCGAAGTGATCAATAAGTTTCTGACTTCAATCTCCAAAAAGTTTTGTCAATTTGACAACATCATGACTTTTAGAATTGTTATCAAGAAAAATTTAATGTTTCCCAGATACTTGTTTAATCTGTTGTCATTGTAGGCAGTAGGTTTTAGCACATTTGCTCACCGTACATGAATTGAAAATGCCAGGTCAACCGAGGAGGCATCTTCTTCAAAGCGGTTGGAGTCTTTTTGTCAGCTCAAAGAAGCTTGTAGCTGGAGATGCTTTTATTTTCCTCAGGTTTTACTTTCATTGTGCTCTCAATGTATTAGGAGGGTGACTGTTGTGTAGTGATTGTAGCCAGAGACGCTTTCATTATCCTTGGGTTTACTATCATCTTGATTTGTCAGTATATTGGTACATTTGATTCAATGATGAATCAATCATTCTGATCATTTTCTAAATTCTTATTTCCAGGGGTGAAACTGGGGACCTTCGTGTTGGGGTACGACGTGCTATGAGGCAACCCAGTACAGTTTCTTCTTCAGTCATATCAAGCCACAGTATGCATATTGGTGTTCTTGCAACAGCATGGCATGCTGTTAAAACAGGCACAATGTTTTCTGTCTACTACAAACCCAGGACTAGCCCTGCTGAGTTCATGGTTCCTTATGACAAATATACGGAGTCTGTGAAGAACAACTACACCATAGGAATGAGATTCAAGATGAGGTTTGAAGGTGAAGAGTCTCCAGAACAGAGGTATCATTATTTTTGAACCCTGCAAAAAAATCCGGATGGTTTCAAACTTTCTATTTATGGGTGTATTATTTAGAGTTGGCAAAAGAAAAAAAGATTCTATTCCCTTCACTGATCTATTCATTTTCTGAATTATATTAGATTCTCAGGCACTGTAATTGGAGTTGAAGATGCAGATCCAGTTAAGTGGCCTGGTTCAAAATGGAGATGTCTTAAGGTATTCTATAGTAGCATGCTTTGTATTGGAGTCACAATATTTATATAATCAGCTAAAACCCTCTTATGTTGTTTTAGGTGCGTTGGGATGAAAATTCTCCTCATCATCGACCAGAGAGGATTTCTCCATGGGAAGCAGAGTTTTCTCTGGCTTCTCCCCAGGATGCCCTTCCACTCTGCCGAATGAAAAGATCTCGTCCAAACATCGCATCATCATCTACTAGTTCCTCCATGCTCACAAAGGAAGGTATAATAATCGCATTACACTGTTTAGAAGGCTTTATTCTGTCCTGTTGATCCATTACTATGTTTTAAAATGTGGTCTGTCAATACAAGTGATGAACATCTTACTGATCAGGTTCATCAAAAATCACTGTAGACCCTTCTTCAGATTTTGAAACTTCAAGAGCCTTGAGAGGCAGATTTCCTGGGAACAATGAATCATCCATTTCTCAAAGTGCTGCTGTACGAACTCCATCACAAGGTAAGGATCAAACTGAACAGCTTCCTGTAAGAGCAGATTTGGACCAGAGGATAGAATTCCTGAATTAATGCATTGAATTATGTTTATATCCAATATCAGGTTCTCAGAGCTTGCACGAATCCTGCAAAATTTTTCAGTCCTTTGTTGAGCGGAATGCTGAAGATGTTGACCAAGTGAAAATACATGATTTAGATCAGGAAAGCATATTCAAGTTGCTTCCAAGGTCCATGATGCACATAAAGTCCCCATTTAACATGGTGGAGCCCAGCAGAAAAATTCGTGCAGTGGAAGATAAAGAGATGCAATGCCAGGATGCTTTAAATATTAGACCTGTCCCACTCCGAGGGTATGATAGACTTCAGGGCCCCGAAATCGACCAGCAGCCAGGAAGCTGGGTTTTGCCTTTTCTTTCATCATATGCTGAGGGCTCTTCTCATCAAATGGTGTCGGATGCACAACCTCAATCTTCGAAACAACAGGAGGTGGTGAAGTCTAAGGGAGATGGCAGTTGCAAACTTTTTGGTTTCTCTCTCATGAGTAATCCTGTGGCAACAGATCAAGCCATGCTACATACAAACTCTGTGCACGGGCCACAAGGGCAACGTAATATTGATGCACAAGATTTGAGCACTGACCCACTGTTGGAGCAACTGAAGGGTACAAGGTCAGGCGAGATTGCCATAGGAGGTGATGAACAGGGCAGTCTTTTTCAAACTTCAGAACAGCTTCCTAGAGATGTTGTGGGAAAGCAGTTGAGTGGTTCAGTCAGAAGTTGCGTTAAGGTATGTTGTAATGTGTTGGTCTTGGATGCAAAGGGTGTTTTCCTTTTGGATTTGGAAATGCTAATATTTTGCCTTTTTTTTTTTTTTTTGATTGATTCAGGTGCACAAGCAGGGGATTGCTGTGGGGAGGTCTTTGGACCTTAACAAATTTAATGGCTATGATGAATTGATTGCAGAACTGGATCGTATTTTTGAATTTAATGGTGAATTAATTGCTCCTAACAAAAACTGGATGATTGTTTTTACTGATGATGAGGGTGATATGATGCTTGTAGGAGATGATCCCTGGCTGTAAGTATATAAATTTAGTCTTCATGCATATCACAGCGTCTTCACTTTTTAATTTATTGTAATCTAAGCTGGTTGCTGTTTCTGTATGTTGTAGGGAATTCTGTAGTGTGGTCCGTAGGATCTTTGTTTACACTCGCGAGGAGGTTAAGCGAATGGATCCACGACCCTTGAATGTTAAAATCAAGGAAAATTCACTCACTGCAGATCCAGATGTTGGTTCGAAAGAGGACAAAAGATTGACACATCCTCCAGTAGCAAGTCCTTCGGAGGTTTAGTTGTGAGTTACATGGATGTGAATAAGGTTAGAGGTGCTACTAAGTTCTGCAGACGTTAGTTCGAGATTAAATTGTTTGGTCTGTTTTTTTCTTTTTTTACTCGTTAAATGAATCTAAGATGCAAAATAGAGATGGTATTCTAAGTGCCCAACTAATATCCAATCTCGTGTGGAATGATATTGAATTGACAAAGTATTTAGTTGGTATTGTCTATCTTTCGAATTTCTTATGGAATTGTTCTATCAGGCTTCATTTCACATGTTGATTTTGGTTTGCTATCGGGTAAGGTATTAAATCTTCATATTCTGCTTCTTGTTTAGGCTGTAAAACGGGAAACAGGTTAAAAGTGTGGTCTTCAGGTTTGGGATATGGTGGTTGCATTTAGTTTTGTTGCGCGTTTGTGTATACTTACTCATTGATGTATATGCTTGTGGCCAGTAGGAGTTGCACATATCACATTGTATTAAATTCTCAACTGCTACATAAACAATAAGGAAAGATTTCATCTAAATTGGAATGAAGAGATTATTTACAAAAGGCACCAATGTGGAAAGTTAACTACCTCCAAAGATACAAATGATTAAATCCTGATCGTAAAATCAGAGTTGAATATTTCAAACCACCTTCTACCCACTCTTCATGGTGGGAACTGAAGACTGCACAGTGCACATCAGATCCGATTCACGAACCCAATTGATTGTATTTTGATTCGACTTAACAATTTCACAAATAGGGCAACAAGTAATATTATATTCACTAATTTTTTCTTATAAACGTGACATGTCAATTCATAATTAGTCAGTTTGTAATGGTTTCTGTCCAACCAAATACGAACTAACCAATTGCGAGTTATCACGTTAACATTTGTGAAAGAAAATTATAAGAAGTGTTTGTTAACTTATCTTTATTCATAGAGCAACAAAGTGTGTTTTAATCTGCACGAGTGGCTTCATTTGGGTTCTGGAAGAGCTATGACAAACCAGATAAGTCAACTCTGTACCAAACACAACAGACAAGTCCGCTTTATGTTATTCACTTAAGAAACTCGTATACATATTACATAATATCACTTGGTAAGATTACACTTATAAAATCTTCGTAAACAAATTAATATAAAGTGATCTGTCATTATTTAGTAAATAACATATCAATTAATGAATAAACAATACTACACGTACAATCCAATCTCATAAATTTTTTCTTATAATCCCGACGTGATAGTTCGTAATTGGTCAATTCGTAATGGATTTTAATGAGTCTCACTTACTCAATTACGAATTATCACATCGAAGTTGTGAGAGAAAATTTTTTAAAATTGGGTTATAAGCTAATCTTTATTGTTAACGAATTGATTTTATATATTACTCTACTATTTATATATTGTCATAGGAAAATACTATATTTATCAATTTTGTATACCAACTTCTCAACCCGATTGATGTGGAGAGCGTGCGACATGGGGAGTTCCCATGCTGATCATGTTGCACTCTATGTCAGTTGGAAAGAATAGTCGGTATGCAGAATCGGGAAGTATATTCTTCCTCTTTCTCGGTTTGTATATATATTTTTGTAGAGTAATGTTAGTTTAACAAAGATACATACAAATGAGACATATAAAGGTAATCTCTATCTTTGATTTTCATGATTTCTCTCTTTCTCTCTCTTTTTCTATTTTTTTTTTTTTCTTTTTAATGATGTCACTTTGTAGGGTTTTTTTTTTTTTTTTAGGAATAACATTTTTCATTTGTAAATACAGTATTATTGATTTATAAAGTAAAAGCATAGAAAAACCAGGTCTTATGGGTGCCACGTGGCCCAGTCGTTTTTTGCGGGGGCTTGACAAAGTCAAATAGGGAGAATATTGAGAACAGTCGCCAAGAATCCTGCGATCAAGTGCTGTGAGTGAAACAACTCAACTGTCTGGACCAAGATTATCTTCATGGTAGTGTACTGTACAAACAACTGCATGTCTTCAATCACTTTCCAGCATCACTTGCCTCTATTACCTTCCAATACTTCACTTATAATAGCGGCGGCTTCAGACAATGCGCCAACCATAAAGCCTCCCAACTTTGGTCAAATCCCTTCATGGCTCTCTCTCAAAACCGCTCCTTCTTCCCTGAAAACCCCGCAACAAAACCAGCCTGGCAAAGTCGAGAATCTACACCTAGTTTCTTTGTCCAAACAGGAGAAGCTCAAAGAAGCTCGTGCTTTTCTCGAGCAAATGGGCGACGCTGGCGTTTCCGTCCGCCCGTACTCCTTCGAATGCCTCCTTCAAGCATGTAGTAATTTAAAATCAGTGTCAGATGGAAGATACTTTTACCATAGATTACGAGAAACAGTGAAGAATCCCTCTGGGTTTCTTCAGAATTCCGTGCTTCGTATGTATTGTGATTGTGGTAGTCTAGTTGAGGCGCAGAAGGTGTTTGATGAAATGATTGAAAGAACTTTGGTTTCTTGGTTGATTATCATATCTGCTTATGCGGAGGCAGGGTTTTTTAATAAGTCTTTTCGGTTATTTTCAGATATGATCGAATCGGGAATTGAACCGAATTCGTTGGTATACAATGGTCTGTTAAAGTATTTAGTTAGTCCTTGTTTTTTGGAACTTGGTAAACAGTTGCATTCTCATGTTGTAAGAAGTGGATTGAGTTCCAGTGTTTCTATTAATACAGCAATCTGTAACATGTATGTGAAATGTGGCTGTTTAGATGATGCTAAGCGTGTTTTTGGTCAGATGGATGAAAAAGATTCTGTAGCTTCGACAGCATTGATGGTGGGGTTCACTCAAGCTGAGAAATTGAAGGATGCTTTGAATTTGTTTGAGAAGATGGTAGTTGAAGGTAATGAATTGGATGAATTTGTATTCTCAATTGTTCTCAAAGCCTGTGCTGGGTTGAAGGACTTGAACTTGGGAAGACAAATTCATGGTTTTGTTGTTAAACTTGGGTTGGAATCTGATGTTTCGGTGGGAACTCCTCTTGTGGATTTTTACATCAAATGTTCGAGTTTTGAACCTGCTTGTCGAGCATTTGAGAGGATAAGAGAACCAAGTGATGTTTCATGGAGTGCTATGATATGTGGTTATTGCCAAAATGGAAAATTTGAGGATTCTGTCAAAATTTTCAAATCTTTAAGGAGTAAAGGTCCGGTTCTTAATTCATGGATATATACTAACATTTTTCAAGCATGCTCTGCACTTGCAGACTTCAATTTGGGTGGCCAAGCTCATGCAGATGCTATGAAAAATGGTGTAATCTCGTACCTATATGGAGAGAGTGCTTTGGTTAGTATGTATTCCAGATGTGGAAGGTTAGACTATGCCACTCAAGCATTTGAATTGATAGATGCACCTGATACTGTTGCTTGGACTGCTATAATATCTGGTAATTCTTATCATGGCAATGCCTCTGAAGCTCTAAGGCTTTTTAGGAGGATGCAGTACTGTGGTGTGAGGCCAAATGCAGTTACATTTATTGCAGTTTTAACTGCTTGTAGTCATTCAGGATTAATTACAGAGGCCAAGCATTTTATGGATACAATGCTTAGTGAGTATGGTGTGAACCCAACTATTGATCATTATAATTGTATGATTGATATTTACTCTCGTGCTGGGCTATTGAAGGAAGCAAATGAGCTGATAAAGAGCATGCCATTTGATCCTGACACAATGAGCTGGAAGTGTTTATTGGGTGGTTGTTGGGTCCATAAGAATTTTGAGCTTGGAAAAATCGGAGCAGAAAACCTCCTTCAGCTGGACCCCGAGGATACTTCCAGCTATATTCTCTTATTTAACCTGCATACTTCATCTGGGAAATGGGAAGAAGCAGCTAATATTAGGAAAATGATGACTGAAAGAAATTTGAGGAAGGAACTTAGTTGCAGTTGGATTACTGTCAAGGGAAAAGTACACCGGTTTGTGGTGGGTGATAAACACCATCCTCAGACAGAGGAGATTTACTCAAAGTTAAAGGAGTTTAATGATTCCATGTTAAACCATGAACATGGCCTTCTAACTGAAGAAGATTTATCAGCTAGTTTGCCTGAGCGAAAAGAACAACTTCTTGATCATAGTGAGAGACTTGCTATATCATTTGGGCTCATGTCAACCCCAACTAATGCTCCTATTGTAATTTTCAAAAACCTTCGGGCGTGTAAGGACTGCCATGACTTTGCAAAACATGTGTCCGCGGTCACTGGGCGTAAGATTGTGGTTAGAGATGCCAGCAGGTTCCATCATTTCCACTCAGGGCAATGTTCTTGCAACGATTACTGGTGATATCTCCAAATAGAACAGAAGGTATCCTAGAATGTACAGCAGGCAAGCTTTTTCACATCACTGTTTCTCAGTTACATAAGATGCCATTACGGCATTCTTTTCTTTAAAATGATGGGCAAGTGGGGTAGGATTTTGGTGTCCTAGCCACCGGTGGCTGTTTGCACGCGTGAGGCGTGAATTTGCAGCAGGGTTTATCACTAAATCTTCCCTGCACTGTAGAGAAGAAATCTACAGTCAACACCTACAAGTGGAAGTGGGGTGAATAAACCAATCTTGGTTCGACAAGATTCATTGAAATATTGAATTATGTTATTGGATTGAGCGCCTTCAAGTGATCACAGCCACAGACTTAGTAGCCCACCTAAAGTACAAATGTAATATCATATGCGAAAGCGATGCTCTACAAGCTGATTAGCTGACACGTTGTTGCATTGTATCTTCCAATGAAACCAAAATTTCATGCTTGGTCTTCTAAAGTCTTTGTTCATCTTGGATTGCTACGCTAGTCTGCCATTCGCGATCTCCTCCACTCTCAGTCTATCACTTTTCATCTTGGTTGTAGTTGCTACTGCCATTTGAGATCTCCTACACACTCAGTCTAGTCCTCTCTTCGTGTCCCTATTGCGATCTCGAACTCAAAAGTCAGTCTCCTTCAAGCTTTCAGCTAAGCTTTAGCGATTACGCCTCACGTCTTCACTCTTCACTTCAGTCTTCAAGTCTCGGTCTGCAGTCTGCTCTACTTGCTTCAGCGCTTCTTCCTTGTCGTGGCTAGTCTGCTGCCTGCAACCTTCATTCTTCAAACTTCCAGTCTTCAACTTCCAGTCTTCAACGTGAACTCTTCAATCATCACCATCGCCATGATATTACTTTACTTTGGGGGTGTTTGTTTCAGCTATGAGAATTAGCTATTGTTACTTATAAGCTAATATTTGAAATTTTAAGCAATTACATGTTTGGTTAAAATATTGATAAGTAGTTGATATGTTTGATAAATATGGCTTTAAGTATATTTTTATCAAAAATAACTAAAAAAGTACTACATTAAAGAAGGATATTAAGAAATTTTAAAATAACAAAGATAATATGGTAATATACTGATCAAACTAGTTTATAAGCAGAGTGCTTATAAGCAAAAAAAAAAAAAGACCTCCCCCTTAACTTATTATTATTATTTTTTTTTTTTTTTTTTTTTGCTTATAAGCTTAAAAATGTTATAAACAAACAGGTCAGTTAATTTTAGAGTTATAAGCTAGTTTGACCAGCTTATAAGCTAGACCAACACCCATTTTGTAATGTCTTTAACGTTGTTCGAAAACTTCGAGTTTACTTTAGACTTGAGGATTGAATTTGTAAACTTTAACTGTGAAACTTTGATGGTTTTATTATGTTTGTAGGGTTGGTTTGATGGTTTTTAAACTTTAATTAGATGGGAGAAAATTATTTTGTAGGGTTACTTTTGATGGTTTTTTTTTAACTTTAATAGATGGGGAATCTGAATTTTTTGCCTTTTTTACGTTTTTGCTTATTTCAACATGCTGATGTCAGTATGACTTTATGCTAACATCAGCATATTGACGTCACCGATCGGACCGGTCGGTCGACCGGTCAAACCGTTGGAATCGGGAACCGGCCATTGGCGGGTTGGCCCAGTCCGGTTTTCAGAACATTAATTTTTATCCAGGCCAAGGAGAAAAAAAAAAGCAAAAAAGACCCAAATTTATTATAAATTTTTTACATATATTCCCACCCAAAGTTTGATAAAATAGTAAGTTTGTAACTCTAGTTTTATATATTCTAATTTACACCCCTAAATAACAAATTAAATTTCTTTTAACAATAAAAGACTAAAATGTCATATATGTCTCAAATTACTCAACCCCAATTCCATCCCAAATTCGACATTCACATAAATTATCTCCACCCTCTTCGCCACCATCCGTTTGGAGGTGATTCCCATCAATTTTCTCACCAAAATTGACTGGAATCATCACTTATCATTTTCTCAAGTGTTTTTCCAGCCTTGATAACACTCGATTTGACCTATTTTTTACGAATCTCAAACCCAACTCCATCGTGCACGACAGCCATTTTCGACCTTTCAGCATGTACTCGACGTGTTGGCCTTGCTGCACAACCATCTTCCTCCCTCAACCCTTTCATCAAAATCCCTATCATACCTTATGTTCACTCGTCAAATCGCCGGCCATCGAAACCTTTTGGGTTGCTACTTCTCAAGCCTTTTTTGGCAATCTAGACATTGGAAATTACTTATTTCATACCATCGTTTCTCCAACATCGCTCTCCAAAACCCTCCACCAACCTGACCCAGTTAGCTTGTCGATCGTCGTCCACCTCTCTAGTGATTTTTGATCTTAAAAGATAAGAAAATAAATTTGAAATATTTTTTTTAATATAGCTTATATTATTTGAAGGTCGTAAAGTATTCTGACTAGGGTTATAAATATTCTTGAAACGGCCCTGTTGCACCTTATATCAGTTGGATGAAAGTCGGAATGCAGAATGACAAGTGTATTCTTAGTATTTCACAGTTTGCACTCTATGTCAGTTGGAAGAGAAAGTCGGAATGCAGAATGACAAGTGTATTCTTAGTATTTCACAGTTGTATATATATTTGTATATGAATTCCTAAGTATAGAATATTGATGTATAAAGTAGTCGTACGGGAAAGTATAGAACAAGCAGGTCTTATGGGTGCGACGTGGCCCCGTCAAAATAGGGAGAACATTAGAACAGTCGCCAAATCCTGTATCAAGTGCTGTGAGGGAAACAACTGAACTTCTGGACCAAGATTATCTTCATGGTAGTGTACTGTACAAACAATGCATGTCTTCAATCACTTTCCAGCATCACTTGCCTCTATTACCTTCCAATACTTCACTTATACTAGCGGCGGCTTCAGACAATGCGCAACCAAAAGCCTCCAACTTTGGTCAAATCCCTTCATGGCTCTCTCTCAAAACCGTCCTTCTTCCCTGAAAACCCCGCAACAAAACCAGCCTGCAAAGTTGAGAACTACACCTAGTTTCTTTGTCCAAACAGGAGAAGCTCAAAGAAGCTCGTGCTTTTCTCGAGCAAATGGGCGACGCTGGCGTTTTCCGTCCGCCCCGTACTCCTTCGAATGCCTAGTCAGGTGCACAAGCAGGGGATTGCTGTGGGGAGGTCTTTGGACCTTAACAAATTTAATGGCTATGATGAATTGATTGCAGAACTGGATCGTATTTTTGAATTTAATGGTGAATTAATTGCTCCTAACAAAAACTGGATGATTGTTTTTACTGATGATGAGGGTGATATGATGCTTGTAGGAGATGATCCCTGGCTGTAAGTATATAAATTTAGTCTTCATGCATATCACAGCGTCTTCACTTTTTAATTTATTGTAATCTAAGCTGGTTGCTGTTTCTGTATGTTGTAGGGAATTCTGTAGTGTGGTCCGTAGGATCTTTGTTTACACTCGCGAGGAGGTTAAGCGAATGGATCCACGACCCTTGAATGTTAAAATCAAGGAAAATTCACTCACTGCAGATCCAGATGTTGGTTCGAAAGAGGACAAAAGATTGACACATCCTCCAGTAGCAAGTCCTTCGGAGGTTTAGTTGTGAGTTACATGGATGTGAATAAGGTTAGAGGTGCTACTAAGTTCTGCAGACGTTAGTTCGAGATTAAATTGTTTGGTCTGTTTTTTTCTTTTTTTACTCGTTAAATGAATCTAAGATGCAAAATAGAGATGGTATTCTAAGTGCCCAACTAATATCCAATCTCGTGTGGAATGATATTGAATTGACAAAGTATTTAGTTGGTATTGTCTATCTTTCGAATTTCTTATGGAATTGTTCTATCAGGCTTCATTTCACATGTTGATTTTGGTTTGCTATCGGGTAAGGTATTAAATCTTCATATTCTGCTTCTTGTTTAGGCTGTAAAACGGGAAACAGGTTAAAAGTGTGGTCTTCAGGTTTGGGATATGGTGGTTGCATTTAGTTTTGTTGCGCGTTTGTGTATACTTACTCATTGATGTATATGCTTGTGGCCAGTAGGAGTTGCACATATCACATTGTATTAAATTCTCAACTGCTACATAAACAATAAGGAAAGATTTCATCTAAATTGGAATGAAGAGATTATTTACAGAAGGCACCAATGTGGAAAGTTAACTACCTCCAAATATTCAAATAATTAAATCGTGATCGTAAAATCAGAGTTGAATATTTCAAGCCACCTTCTGCCCACTCTTCATGGTGGGAGCTGAAGACTGCACAGTGCACATCAGATCCGATTCACAAACCCAATTGATTGTATTTTGACTTAACAACTCGGTTTCACAAATGGAGCAACCAGTAATATTACACTTACTTTCTTTCATAAACATGATATGTCAACTTGTAAATGATTAGTTTGTAATGGTTCTTGCTAAACTAAATAAATTGCGAGCTATTATGTCAATGTTTGTAAAAGAACTGATCAATTGCAAGCTATTATGTCAATGTTTGTAAAAAAAAGTTATAAAAAGTATTTGTAAACCTACCTTTACTTTTACAACCGCAAAGACAAGCGTGTTTTAACCAACAAGAGTGGCTTCATTTGGGTTCTAGAAGCAGCTATGACAAACCAAAATCAGATAAGTCAACTCTGTACCAAACACAACAGACAAGTCTGTTTTAGGTTACTCACTAGAAACTCATATACATACTATCATTTGGCAAGATTACACCTATAAAATCTTCGTAAACAAATGAATATAAAATGATGTGTCATTATTTAGTAAATAAGGTATCAATTAATGAATAGATAATACTACACTTACAATCTAATCTCATAAATTTTCTCTCACAACTTCGATATGACAACTCACAATTTATTAGCTTGTAATCAGTTCTAATGGGTTCTACTTATTCAATTACAAGTTGTCACGTTAGGATTGTAAGAGAAAATTTATAAGATTGGGTCATAATCTAATTTTTATTGTTAACGAATTGATTTTATATATTACTCTACTATTTATATATTATCACAGGAAAATACTATATTTATCAATTTTGTATACTGACTTCTCATCCCGATTGAAGTGGAGAACGACGCTGATGTGGGTGCGACATGAGAGTTCCCATGCTGATCACGTTGCACTCAAGCCCGACTCAGGGGGTAGACAGGTGAGACCTACCTAAGGCCCCCAAAAATAGGGGTCCAAATTTTTTATAATTTTTTAATATATTACAAAAATAAAAATGATGTATGATTTTTTACAAGGTTCTGAAACCCAGACCGGACCGGGCGGTCGAACCGATCCGATCGGCACCCGCTTGCATTTCCGGTTTAAAGAGAGCAAATAATCGGGATTTACGATCAAACCATTTCAAACCGCAGTTGGACCGTCACACTATAGCAAACCGACTATCCAACCGGTATTAAATAGATTTCCGGTCCACATCCCCATCCGGTTTAACACATGAAATAAGAAAAAAAAAAATTTAAAAATTAAAAACCACAGTTGCAGAGTTGCTCACAGCCACACACACAAATTCAAAGTGTCAGACCAAACTCTCAAAATTTACAAATTTTCAATTTGCTTTTGAGCTACAGATACGGAGCCGTCTTGCCCCTTCATCAGTTTTTCAATTTTTCATCTTGGATTGCTACTGCTAGTCTGCCATTCGCGATCTCCTCCACTCTCCAGTCTATCACTTTTTCATCTTGGTTTGCTAGTTGCTACTGCCATTTGAGATCTCCTCCACACTCCAGTCTAGTCCTCCTCTTCGTGTCCTCTATTCGCGATCTCAGAACTCAAAAGTCAGATCTCCTTCAAGCTTTCAGCTAAGCTTTAGCGATTCAGCCTCACGTCTTCACTCTTCACTTCAGTCTTCAAGTCTTCGGTCTGCAGTCTGCTCTACTCTGCTTCAGCGCTTCTTCCTTGTCGTGGCTAGTCTGCTGCCTGCAACTCTTCATTCTTCAACTTCCAGTCTTCAACTTCCAGTCTTCAACGTGAACTCTTCAATCATCACCATCGCCATTGATATTACTTTACTTTGGGGGTGTTTGTTTCAGCCTATGAGAATTAGCTTACTTGTTACTTATAAGCTAATATTTGAAATTTTAAGCAATTACATGTTTGGTTAAAATATTGATAAGTAGTTGATATGTTTGATAAAATATGGCTTATAAGTATATTTTTATCATAAAATAACTAAAAAATGTACTACATTAAAGAAGGATATACTAAGAAATTTTAAAATTAAACAAAGATAATATGGTAATATACTTGATCAAACTAGTTTATAAGCAGAGTGCTTATAAGCAAAAAAAAAAAAAGTACCTCCCCCCTTAACTTATTATTATTATTTTTTTTTTTTTTTTTTTTTTGCTTATAAGCTTAAAAATGTTATAAACAAACAGGTCAGTTTAATTTTAGAGCTTATAAGCTAGTTTGACCAGCTTATAAGCTTAGACAAACACCCATTTTGTAATGTCTTTAACGTTGTTCGAAACTTTCGAGTTTACTTTAGACTTGAGGATTGAATTTGTAAACTTTAACTGTGAAACTTTGATGGTTTTATTATTGTTGTAGGGTTGGTTTGATGGTTTTTAAACTTTAATTAGATGGAGAAAATTATTTTGTAGGGTTACTTTTGATGGTTTTTAAACTTTAATTAGATGGGGAATCTGAATTTTTTGCCTTTTTTTACGTTTTTGCTTATTTCAACATGCTGATGTCAGTATGACTTTATGCTAACATCAGCATATTGACGTCACCGATCGGACCGGTCGGTCCGACCGGTCAAACCGTTGGAATCGGGAACCGGCCATTTGGCCGGGTTGGCTCCCAGTCCGGTTTTCAGAACATTAATTTTTTATCCAGGCCAAGGAGAAAAAAAAAAGCCAAAAAGACCCAAATTTATTATAAATTTTTTACATATATTCCCACCCAAAGTTTGATAAAATAGTAAGTTTGTACCTCTAGTTTTATATATTCTAATTTACACCCCTAAATTAACAAATTAAATTTCTTTTAACAATAAAAGACTAAAATAGTCATTTATATGTCTCAAATTACTCAACCCCAATTCCATCCCAAATTTCGACATTCACATAAATTATCTCCACCCCTCTTTCGCCACCATCCGTTTGGAGTTGATTCCCATCAATTTTCTCACCAAAATTGACTGGAATCATCACTTTATCATTTTCTCAAGTGTTTTTCCAGCCTTGATAACCCTCGATTTGACCTATTTTTTACGAATCTCATAACCCAACTCCATCGTGCACGACAGCCATTTTCGACCTTTTCAGCATGTACTCGACGTTGTTGGCCTTGCCTGACACCACCATCTTCCTCCCCTCAACCCTTTCATCAAAATCCCTATCATACCTCATATGTTCACTCCGTCAAATCGCCGGCCATCGAAACCTTTTGGGTTGCTACTTCTCAAGCCTTTTTTGGCCAATCTAGACATTGGAAATTACTTATTTCATCACCCATCGTTTCTCCAACATCTGCTCTCCAAAACCCTCCACCAACCTGACCCAGTTAGCTTGTCGATCGTCGTCCACCTCTCCTAGTGATTTTGTATCTTAAAAGATAAGAAAATAAATTTGAAATATTTTTTTTAATATATGCTTATATTATTTGAAGGTCGTAAAGTAATTCTTGACTAGGGTTATAAATATTCTTGAAACGGCCCTGTTGCACTCTATATCAGTTGGAATGAAAAGTCGGAATGCAGAATGACAAGTGTATTCTTAGTATTTCACAGTTTGCACTCTATGTCAGTTGGAATGAAAAGTCGGAATGCAGAATGACAAGTGTATTCTTAGTATTTCACAGTTTGTATATATATTTTTGTATATGAATTCCTAAGTATAGAATTATTGATGTATAAAGTAGTCGTACCGGGAAAGTATAGAACAAGCAGGTCTTATGGGTGCGACGTGGCCCCGTCAAATAGGGAGAACATTAAGAACAGTCGCCAAATCCTGCTATCAAGTGCTGTGAGGGAAACAACTGAACTCTCTGGACCAAGATTATCTTCATGGTAGTGTACTGTACAAACAATTGCATGTCTTCAATCACTTTCCAGCATCACTTGCCTCTATTACCTTCCAATACTTCACTTATACTAGCGGCGGCTTCAGACAATGCGCCAACCATAAAGCCTCCCAACTTTGGTCAAATCCCTTCATGGCTCTCTCTCAAAACCGCTCCTTCTTCCCTGAAAACCCCGCAACAAAACCAGGCTGGCAAAGTTGAGAACCTACACCTAGTTTCTTTGTCCAAACAGGAGAAGCTCAAAGAAGCTCGTGCTTTTCTCGAGCAAATGGGCGACGCTGGCGTTTCCGTCCGCCCGTACTCCTTCGAATGCCTCCTTCAAGCATGTAGTAATTTAAAATCAGTGTCAGATGGAAGATACTTTCACCATAGATTACGAGAAACAGTGAAGAATCCCTCTGGGTTTCTTCAGAATTCCGTGCTTCGTATGTATTGTGATTGTGGTAGCCTAGTTGAGGCGCAGAAGATGTTTGATGAAATGATTGAAAGAACTTTGGTTTCTTGGTTGATTATCATATCTGCTTATGCGGAGGCAGGGTTTTTGAATAAGTCTTTTCGGTTATTTTCAGATATGATCGAATCGGGAATTGAACCGAATTCGTTGGTATACAATGGTCTGTTAAAGTATTTAGTTCATCCTTGTTTTTTGGAACTTGGTAAACAGTTGCATTCTCATGTTATAAGAAGCGGGTTGAGTTCCAGTGTTTCTATTAATACAGCAATCTGTAACATGTATGTGAAATGTGGCTGTTTAGATGATGCTAAGCGTGTTTTTGGTCAGATGGATGAAAAAGATTCTGTAGCTTCGACAGCATTGATGGTGGGGTTCACTCAAGCTGAGAAATTGAAGGATGCTTTGAATTTGTTTGAGAAGATGGTAGTTGAAGGTAATGAATTGGATGAATTTGTATTCTCAATTGTCCTCAAAGCCTGTGCTGGGTTGAAGGACTTGAACTTGGGAAGACAAATTCATGGTTTTGTTGTTAAACTTGGGTTGGAATCTGATGTTTCGGTGGGAACTCCTCTTGTGGATTTTTACATCAAATGTTCAAGTTTTGAATCTGCTTGTCAAGCATTTGAGAGGATAAGAGAACCAAGTGATGTTTCATGGAGTGCTATGATAAGTGGTTATTGCCAAAATGGAAAATTTGAGGATTCTGTCAAAATTTTCAAATCTTTAAGGAGTAAAGGTCCGGTTCTTAATTCATGGATATATACTAACATTTTTCAAGCATGCTCTGCACTTGCAGACTTCAATTTGGGTGGCCAAGCTCATGCAGATGCTATGAAAAATGGTGTAATCTCGTACCTATATGGAGAGAGTGCTTTGGTTAGTATGTATTCCAGATGTGGAAGGTTAGACTATGCCACTCAAGCATTTGAATTGATAGATGCACCTGATACTGTTGCTTGGACTGCTATAATATCTGGTAATTCTTATCATGGCAATGCCTCTGAAGCTCTAAGGCTTTTTAGGAGGATGCAGGACTGTGGTGTGAGGCCAAATGCAGTTACATTTATTGCAGTTTTAACTGCTTGTAGTCATTCAGGATTAATTACAGAGGCCAAGCATTTTATGGATACAATGCTTAGTGAGTAAGGTGTGAACCCAACTATTGATCATTATAATTGTATGATTGATATTTACTCTCGTGCTGGGCTATTGAAGGAAGCAAATGAGCTGATAAAGAGCATGCCATTTGATCCTGACACAATGAGCTGGAAGTGTTTATTGGGTGGTTGTTGGGTCCATAAGAATTTTGAGCTTGGAAAAATCGGAGCAGAAAACCTCCTTCAGCTGGACCCCGAGGATACTTCCAGCTATATTCTCTTATTTAACCTGCATACTTCATCTGGGAAATGGGAAGAAGCAGCTAATATTAGGAAAACGATGACTGAAAGAAATTTGAGGAAGGAACTTAGTTGCAGTTGGATTACTGTCAAGGGAAAAGTACACCGGTTTGTGGTGGGTGATAAACACCATCCTCAGACAGAGGAGATTTACTCAAAGTTAAAGGAGTTTAATGATTCCATGTTAAACCATGAACATGGCCTTCTAACTGAAGAAGATTTATCAGCTAGTTTGCCTGAGCGAAAAGAACAACTTCTTGATCATAGTGAGAGACTTGCTATATCATTTGGGCTCATATCAACCCCAACTAATGCTCCTATTGTAATTTTCAAAAACCTTCGGGCGTGTAAGGACTGCCATGACTTTGCAAAACATGTGTCCGCGGTCACTGGGCGTAAGATTGTGGTTAGAGATGCCAGCAGGTTCCATCATTTCCACTCAGGGCAATGTTCTTGCAACGATTACTGGTGATCTTTCCAAATAGAACAGAAGATATCCCAGAATGTACAGCAGGCAAGCTTTTTCACATCACTGTTTCTCAGTTACATAAGATGCCATTACGGCATTCTTTTCTTTGAAATGATAGGCTAGTGGGGTAGGATTTTGGTGTCCTAGCGACGGGTGGCTGTTTGCACGCGTGAGGCGTGAATTTGCAGCAGGGTTTATCACTAAATCTTCCCTGCACTGTAGAGAAGAAATCTACAGTCATCACCTACAAGTGGAAGTGGGGTGAATAAACCAATCTTGGTTCGACAAGATTCATTGAAATATTGAATTATGTTATTGGATTGAGCGCCTTCAAGTGATCACAGCCACAGACTTAGTAGCCCACCTAAAGTACAAATGTAATATCATATGCGAAAGCGATGCTCTACAAGCTGATTAGCTGACACGTTGTTGCATTGTATCTTCCAATGAAACCAAAATTTCATGCTTGGTCTTCTAAAGTCTAAACCTTGGGTATAGGTTCAAATCCTATGGGACGTAATTCCATTTCCATATCATATTATAATAGGATTATTTTAATAATATTTAATATCCCATTATTTGAATATTCAATTCCGAATCATTCAATATTAGAAAGATTAAAAGGGATCAGTTTTTTTATTATTTATAATTATTCTTAAAGGAAAAAGTTTACATTCTTATTATGAGACTGTGTCATTCAAGCGTATCTAAATAGCCATTGGATGTTTTATTATTTGAATTCTAATAAAACATCCAATAGCTTTGATAATTCAAATCAAAGCTACTGGATGTTTTATTAGAGCCTATATGACATGATGGATGAATGGAAATACTCTTTTAACACTCCACCTTTATCAATTGGATTCTCCAATATTAATATATGGAAGGCATCTTTCGGGTAATTCAAATCGGAGAATTTAAAGGTTCGATTGAGATGTATATGGCATGACCGATCAATAAAAACACTCCACCTTCGTCATTTTCTATTCTGCAGATTTTCGGTGCTTGTTGGGAAATTATTATTGGGGTCCATGCCAGCGTAAATTAAGTCACCAAGGATGGGACGTTATCGAAGTTGAGCAAATTGAATGCATAAATATTGTAATCCATTTTCAAAATCCACAATCTCTGCCATTTCAATGAGCAGCTATAAATTTGCGTGAAAGTAACAATACAACATTCAACTTTGAATTGTAAGAGCCTATATTTTATTGGACACTGAAATCAAGTTGGAATAGAAAATTGAAAGGTAGATTAAGCGAGTAACGAGTTGGATTCCATTAATAAAATATGCAATGCTTCTAGGTAATTTACCAACAACAACCCACATATCTTTGCGTCTGTCATGTCCTCTATAAACCAGAAATCAAAAGAATTAAATTTAAGATGAGGAAGTGGTTTTACGAAGCTGTAGAGAATGACGGATGGTATTGTGTAATTATACTCGGTTGGCGCCAAAAACGATTGGTTGGATATATAGATAAAGTTTATCCACTCCTTCGACTACTCTTTGCTTTGTCGGTTCCTCTTCGTATATTTACCGACTTTCACTCACTTTCATACACAACTTGTTCTCATTTCTCTTCTGGGTTTCTGTCAATTTCTTTATATATAACTCTACCACCAAAAAGTTTTAGTCTTTGTTATCTTCAATATATCCTCACTTCTTTCTTCTTCTTCTTTGGAACTGCTTCAAGCACAACTAAAAACCTTGTAGCTTTTCTGGCTTATTACATTCGTACTATAAGGTAATTAATTTTTGCTTCTGCTGGTACATAGTTTGTTTATGTTATTTGTTTCATGGTTTTATTTGGGTTATGTGAGTCTTGGTTATTTTTGGTTCCTTTGAATGAGCTGAATTCGTGTTCTTGTACTTTGTGTGACGAATATGAACCGGAAATCATGCATGGTAGTTTAATTCTTGATAGAAATTTGAAATTTACTTAAACCCACTTAAGTTGTGATGGATCTATATTAAGATCATTTTGGCATCTCTGAATCTAGTCTTCTAAGAAATTAGTATTCAAGTTCAAGCACATATAAAGTCTATGGAAGTTGGAGAAACAAAATGTTCATCTGGCTATGGCAACCCTCCATGGACATTTAAAGGCAGGCAAGTGTAATTTTCTACGTTTCCCTCCAGGAATTTGATTATTCACCATCACTTTGATACGCTAATGATTTATGTTTTTCTTTTATTTCAGTGCACTATACCAGCTCCATCTTGTGAAAGCAGAAACTGCTCGAGCAGTCATCCCAAAGGAGTTGAGATTAGTTGAAGCATTTGGGTACTCAATACTTAACTTCAAAGTTATGGTATTGATTAGTGAGGTTTAACAGTTTCATCTTCTACTAATTACAAAAAACCTGAGTTTGTGTGCTGCAGATACACTCTTGGTGGCTTTTTCCTTGCTAGTTATGAGGACAGTCCAGCTGGGGCCTTTGATGAGGTTGTACACTTTCATTTCAGCCACTCATTACCATTATTGAAAAGTATAGAGCGTGCTTGAAGTTAATTCAATCAGTCACAATCTTATTTAACTTTTTATCCTTGTGTGTGTTTCTTCTTCACCAGCTTGTGGTGATTGCAGGAATCGTGTGGAATCCGCCGACATCTTGCGCGTATGTTCCCTATCTTCTCTTTCTATTTAGTCCATTGGTATGGACAGTTTGTTGAAAACGTGTTTAGATAAATGCACCCATATTTTTCTTAAAAAGTCCAGAGAGCTTTCAAAACTAACAAGTTGGTTACAACTTAGCTATCCTGATTTTGAAATTCCTGGTTCTGGTTCAGGTTCAGGTTCAGGTTTATAAGGGTATTCATAAACCTGAAAACCCTCATGAACTTTAAACTGGCTTATAATAATTATGCTAGATACAAGATCCTCCAGTTAACAATTCCTAATCTTGAATGTCTCACATGTGTTTATTAAAGGATACTATTATTTGAATTCTATTTTATAATTATCATGTTAGCTACAGTACGGATAGTTTCTGTAAATGGCATTAACAATTAGTCAAGTTGCTGTTGTTTAATGTTTATTCTGATTCATGCATGGGAAAACCATAGAATCAATTTGTTATAAGCCACCACAGTCATTTGCTTTCCAGCAGTGGGCCTAGCCGCCATAGCTTTAGTAGTTGTAGAGAAAATCTTTGTTGTAATGAACCATGTGAATCCGACCAATTATACACTATCTGTGTTGATGTGGCATTCTCGAATTGGCTGTTGAGAAGCACTTTTCCTCATCATATAGGTTTGGTAATGTCGTTTTTCTATTAAATTTATAAATTATGACTACAGGGTCAATGAACTGTGCAACTGTACCTTAAACTTTTCTCATTTCCTCCCCATTTCCTCCCCCAACCAAATGATTATTAGACTTCATTTTTTTTTGCAACAGATGGGCTGCTAGGGTGCTTGTGAACAGTGATGAGGCTTGTGATCATGGACGAAAGGTGGAGGTTACCAAATCCTCTGCACATTCTTATATTTTCAAGTTCATTTGATACCCAAGTCATACTATTTTGACTTCAATATCCCCCCCACTCACTATTTGGTAGAGACGGTGGCCAAAATTGTCATGCCCCCTGTGTATTGCTTGTAAACAGAATGCATTTAGCTAAAAAATTTGTCGAAAAATATAGAGTACATATAAATTAAACAAAGAAAGGAATCTATATAAGACTTTTGAACTATATAGCATGGCAACCCCATTGTTTACAGTCTCATGAACAAGATACATTTCAAAGGAATAGAAACAATATCTCTTATTTATGATCTTTTATGCATTTTTCCTTCTCTTGCAGTATGTAGGGCTTCCAAGTCAGGTTGCAAGATTTACAAAGGTAAAGCTTTGCGCTACATTCTTTATTATTAGGGCTTTTCAATTTCAGAATTAATAGATATTGGTATAGCTTAGCTCACATAATGTCTTTTAGTTATCAAGATGATTTATTGCTACATTCTAACCATTTGATGTGTGTATGCTTCTTTATAATTGCCAATCTTCTTCGATGGGGTTTCCTTTTATATAATTTTTTTTTGGCTAGGATCACTCTATCCAGTTGTGGCATTAGGCAGATTGAAAATGTACTTTGCTCTCCTTAATACGCTTAAAGCAAGTGCATATCTAACATTGTGTTTTGATGCTTGTTATAGAGAATTACTGCTGTTCAAGGGCAACCAAAGCGTAAATCCAGTAGCTTTCTGAACATGATTGGTTTGGGTACAACCACGACATGCACTCCAAAGGGTTTCATGGATTTACAAGTGAGCGAAAACAAGGGTTGTGTTGCCACAGATATTTGTAACATCAAACTAGCAACTATAGGTGATCTTCAATTTTACTGACTCTGTTACTTCTTGCTGGTTGATGTGGCTAATTTTTGTAGAATTTCACATTTTCTGGGAAGAGGACTTCACTCTCCTCTTTTATCTCTATTTTCCTGTGAAATTCCATACTTCTTATTGATGGCATCGTTTGTTTTTCTGATTACGAACTTGGTGATAGGGCCTACCCCGAAATTCGACCAGAGGATGGGGCTTGCAATCAAAATGTCACTGCCAAGTTTTAGGTAAAATTTGGCTGATTTTTTGTTTAAAGGATATAGAGTTGCACTTTGTAACAATGGTAAGTTTTTATGCTCTAAACTGCAGTGGCCATTCAGAGTATATTCCCAACCTTTTAAAGTATTCTTGCCATATTGAATGCAGGTATTTATGATACAGAATCGTTCTTAATATAAAGAAATTTTCATTTTTTTTGTTTCCCAAAGTAAAGGTTCATGTGAATGCTTAACTTTGTAGTGACAGACCTTTTTGAGTTCTAATTTCTGTACTTCTAAAGAGAAACCCCCCAGTGGGAAAAAGTAGATTACTGTAATTTTAATCTGGGTTGACTTAAATGAATGAAATGATTCCTGAAACAATACAGGGTGAGAGCGGTGGAGCCAGCAAAAGTTTCAGGGCCATCTTTTGCACCAAAAGAGGACACCGGGAACCTCCACCAAACAGCAAACTCTGCTACTGAAGAATTGATAGATAATGAACGTAACTTGAGCATATCTGTGTTGTTATCAAAGCCAATAATAGCTCTAGAATTCAATTGTTTGAAAATGCAAGTTGAAGCTCCCATTGTTGTTGCCAATTGCTCTAAAAGTTCTTTAAAAATTTCTTGATCATTCATGTACTGCCTCATTTCTTGATAAGTTAAACAAAAATTCCTTCACATGCAGTGTGTTAAGTTAATATTTGTGGGCTGACCAATTATTTGGATATATTATGCTATAATAAAACATTAGAAGTACACAAAGAACACATTTTTCCTTTCTCTGAAATTTTACAAAATTTTTGTACAACCATAACATGGACAATTACAAACTTGGTAAACAAGGAACAAACAAATGCAATTTCTCTCAAGGACGATTAACAATTACCTTTTTTAGCAATCAAACTTACTTACAATCCCAATTTGTATTCCCATCAAAGACCTGATCAGCAAATCAGAATGCTTCTGGTAGAGGCTGTCCATCTAAGAATGCCTTGAAAAGCACAAGTGATCGCTCAGGCTGAGAGAATGGAGCTTCATGGGATGCTCCTCTAATGGTGGCAAATGATAGGATATTACCATAAACTTGGGTCCATCCACCAACCTGGAGATGAAAGAAAAATTATGTTTTCACATGACAGTTCTCTATTAAAACTACCATCAAGTTTCTTGAACTTCAAGTATACACCAGAATTACCTGCTGCCCCTCAAACCATACCCTGTAAGGCACAGTGGTTCTGAGCTTCAATTGCTTTGCCAGTTCATTCACCAATTTTCGACTTCCAGTCAATGGGATAACAGAATCTTGGTCACCACTGCAATTTAAGAATACCAATATATATCATTTCTACAACAATCTTGATATAATATTCTTGAGTAAACTTCAAAGGCTAGGAATATTTACCTGTACACCAAAACTGGGATTCCTGCATTAACAAGTTGTCTAACAATTGTGATTGTCGGTATCTCCAGGTCAAGTAGCTCATAGTCTAGGATGCTGTAATAGTATGGTAGAGAGACAATAATTAGACTTCACAACTAAAGGATATCAACCTTTTTCCAGAAAATCCAGAACCGAAGAAGTTTCTACCTAATTACCAAATTTCATGGCCACATATTGATAATGTTCTTTTCTCTTAATACGTAGTTGTTTTTTTTTTTTTCTCTTTTCTTTCCTGAATAGAATACAAGAAGTAGGAAGTTATTTCAACAAGTTGAAGTATTCAATAGAGTGTGCATTGGTTTTTTCTTATTGTTTGGTCGTTTTTTTTTTCTTTTTTTTTATCTTTTTATATATACATACTAGCAAAAGAATTATTAAAAACAGAGTGTAGAATTACTTGCTGCAAACGTCCCAACGACGAACTCCTACAAGGCGTGCATGTAAAGCCAGCTGCACATCTTTCCTGTTAAGATAATTAACAGTTTCATCTTCCACACATACATCTATTCTTTCACCCATTTGCTGCGGAGCAAAATGATTGAAGAGAAAATTATTAAGAAATTAATTGTGATTTAGTTAACTTAAAAGATGGAACACAATCCATAAATGATGGATTGATATACAAATAATAAATGGCAGTCACCTTGGGAGTAAGGACTTTGGATTGTGAGAGCACAGATGATATACAAACATCAAGAGTGACATCATATTTGTCAACAAATCTACTGGTTTCTCTAGTCACTTGGCTCATTACCCTTGAACAAATGGGAGAGACAGAGCCTCTGTAATATTCACTTACATATCGGGAATAGTTGCAGAAAGAAGTGAACATTGTGTATGTGGAATCAGATATAAGTCCATGAGACCAAAAGTATTCAGCCCGCGAATTGAAATCGGTAGCAAATTCCAAAACTGGATTTCCCAGCTGCCATTAAATGGAGAGTCAGAAGGTATCTTAGATCAAAGAAAAGAAAAAAAAAAATGTTAAAATTTAGAAAAATTACTAGGAGAGGTGAAAGATTAAAAATCTCTTTATTTGACTACTCACAGCAATTCCTTTCAAATTGAACAAGTTCTCCTTCTTGTTGAACTCAAGCATCAGTTGGGCCAGTTGGGGTATATAGTGGCCTAGTCATATAAAAAAAGAAAAATAGAAGTAAATCTCAGTATCAAAATCATGGTTTAGATTGAAAGAGAAAAAATTACTTCGAGAAGCAAAAGAATACCAGCATAGCTCTCTCCTGTGATGAACAAACTTCTATTTCTGTATTGAGGAAATTTTACAAACCAGTTCTGCAAGAACATCATATTGTCCCTTGCTATAATCACAAAGACAAAAACGATGTTTCAGAAAGTTGAATGTGGCCTGTAAAGGTCAACTTTTTGTCAAATCAGAAAGAAAACAACAAAACAAGCACAGTAAGCATAGAACATTGTATAACTGTAAAGCAATCATAATACTAGTGCCAAGAACATGATGAAATATTCCAGCCATCATTCTATTTTCAAGATTCCGAAGGATTTACAAAAGAAAGAAAAAAGGGTAACCCAAAAATTTAGAAAAGAACAAAAGAGAAGTTCCATTAAAGGGGAAAAAAACAGTTAGACCTGAATACCAGCACAGAAATTTTTTGTTTCTTTTCCAGAAAAAACTTACATGAAGTAAAATTTGATAAGGAAAAAGAAATGAGTTTATGAGCATTGAAACGGTGAGAAATACCAGTAATCTTGTCATTAACGCCTTCATACGAGGAAGTGTCCCTTGAATAAGAGAACCCAACTCCAATTGGAGTCTCCAAATATAACATATTAGCTTCTGCAGAACAATGAGCATGTTAAAGATCAGCACTTTGGCTTCTTTAAAAGCTACACAGTAACGCAAAGAACAAAGTAGAAAACTTTTAACTCATCAGAAGGTTTGACTGTAAGTTTATATTATACCTCTGTTCCAGCTAAATTCATTCCTGACCAGCACCTCTCCGCTGGGTCTAAATGGCCCATTTTCAGAAAAAGCCCCAACTCCCAGAGAAGAGCAACCAGGACCTGCAAACAAAGATCAAGAGCAAACTATCAAAGGATAGCTGAGGAAAAACAAAGTTTAATGCTATATTTGTGATGAAGTGAGAGGTTTTAGACCTCCATTGAGCCAGAGAACAAGAGGCTTAGAAGCAGGATCTATTTCAGCTTCAGCAAAGTAGTAAAACAGAGCTCTCTGTTTCTTCTCATCGACGGTCACATAACCCGAATATTGTTGAAACCCGACTTGGGGTTGACCCGGTAACCAAGTGACTCTATCAAAATGAGAAGAAGGATTGGACTCCACTAGTATGCAAAAGCATAGCTGGAGCAAAATTGAAACCAATGCTACTACTTTCCAGTGTAGAGAAGACATGGCTTTTTACAGTAAGAGAATAAAGAAGCCAGAAAGAGAAAGAGTGTGCTTTTAAGGAGAATAAGAGAAAAGAAGAGCTTAGATGAAGACCAGTAGTAGCCAGTAGGGAGGGGATTATATAAGAATAATAAGAAAGGCAAAGCAATGTGATTTTGTTATTTTAATAATGGTATCTCTAAGGGAGACTTTTATTATTATTTGTGGGGGAGGGATCAAAAGTCACCGTTGAGTTATATTTGGAGCTGAAACAGATGTGAAATTAGTAAGTGGGTCTTAGATTTTGATTTTATTTTCTTATTTTTTTCATTTTTTTTTTTTCAATCACAGTGTCTGATAATGGTGAACTGGGTCAGTAAGCCAATGGTGGGTGACTGTGGATTGATAATGAAAAGACAGAATGTGCTTTTGATTCTGCATTGGCTCACGGAAATTACAGGACTGGTGTGTTTTTGTCTCATCACTATTTCCATTCCATCAGCATTGGTACCATATACTGCGTTGTTTTACTTTTACCTGCTCTCCAGGGAGAGCAGCTTTAAAAAAAAAAAAAAAAAAAAAGCTTGCTTCCTTTACACAAATTAGAACAAGAGTGTAACACTCCACTTAATATAAGGTTAATGACAATTTAAGCTTAGCTTATTGTGATTCAATTATAATTTGTTTAGTTATTAATTAATCCCTTATGGGTGTGACATAGGGAATCTCAACTATTGTAATTATATCTGTCAATAAAATTTTCAAGAAAATAAAAATTTGTTTCTGTTTTCAAAAAAGGGTATTGGGAGAATCATGGTTAATGACAACCATAACTTTTTTGTTTTCCCATAAAGAACAAACTTCCCAGTTGATTAATAACCCCGCAGATGCCCAAAATCATACAGTTTTTCCATGTGTTTTATTATGTTTTTGGCTGTTCTGGAGACAAAAAATGACTTAAGGAAGATAATCGCATATGTCCAAAAATTTAGTTAAAATGTAGGAGAGGCTTATTAATTATTATCACTAAACTTCGGGTGACCCACTTGACTTAATTCAAAGAAATTGTGTTGAAACACAGTAAATGATGATGAAAATTGAAGCTTTTTTATGGTGTCGTTTTGCAGATATACAGTCTGTTAGTGGAACAGACAGCAGTATTTCGATGCAAGTACCCGGTATATTTTCACTCAATTAGAATCTTTTGTTGGGTTTTGCTTTGTTTGACTTGTCCAGGTTAAAGAGTCCTTTCATTTTGTCTGATCTCTGCTTCAGTAATCAAACTGTAAAGACTCTTTCTTCGTACTCAATCCATCACCTCCAAAACTCTCTCTCACTTTCACTCTCAAATGGGGCCCTATCCACCAAGAAAGCTGGGCAATGGGCATTGTTCCCCAGCGAAGCTGAAAGTGGACTGATGGCAGAAGGCATTTTCATAAAAGTTACTCACTTTTATCCTCCCCTGGTTAATTAAATTATACTATAAAACTGTTTCTTCTTCACCTGAACAATAGAGATTTTACATTACATTTTAATGGGCAGCCGTGAGTTCAGAAATCAATGACGTGAAGAAATAGTGAAAGGCATAAATGTATGGGGATATGCATTAAATAAAAGAGATTACTGACTGGTGTTATGCATGTTTAGATTCTAAAACAGAAAAAACAAGATCTGAAATGGTGGATTCTACGTACAAGCATGTGAATTTTTCTGTTATTGGTAACAATGGAATATACAGGTCCTGACCCATTTCAAATCCGATGCTTTTTCTTCCAATTCTTTTACATATTTTTACTTCTCAACATCAAGATTTCAAGATTTTGTGCACTTATTATAGAATATCTTTTTTCTCTATATTAAGACAGTTGATATAGATCAATTGGTTCAGAGAATATTTGCAGAAGAAAGAAGCTTTTAGATTCAAATCGGCATTGAACTAAATGAATTTATATTTTTGAGTGCCCCACATAGCTACGAGATTGGCCTTTCTTCTTTGTTCCTTGCATAAGCTGCCATTAGCGACAAAATTTGATTCGTTATTCAATGTTTTTGATTGTTTCTTTCTTCACAGCTAGGTTAAGTCTCAATCTTTCATTGAAATTCAAAACATAAGGTACTTACACAGGCCCACCAAAATTATTTATAACATATAAAAAACTAAATACAATTTAAATGTTTTATGTGGATAACTTTTGGAAAAAAGAGCAAAATAAGAAATGGGTATAAATATTAATATTATGGTAGGGCTAGTTGGAGTTGGACAATGTGCTTGGAAAATGTGCAAGTAATGAGAATGGAGATGAAGTTCATGGAGTATATATATATATATATATATATACACAAGAAAGAGCTAGCTTTTAGAGGCTTGAAATGGAAGCAAATATAAAGTTTTCACCTTTTGTTTTTTCCTCTAAGCTGTATAATTATTTATATGATTATTATTATTGAATTCTACAGAGGGAAAAAGCTACCCAACTTTTGAATAGATTATTCACTTTTCATACCTATCTTTTACACCCATTAGGTTAGTGGTAGAAGAAGTTACAACTTTCAACTTACAAATAAATACCCAATTCAGATTTAATGCCAAAGACAGTGTGAACTAGAAGATAAACTGCAACTGGAACTGGGTTTTGGCTTAGTATGAAGATTTTAAACTTGAAAAATGGGACCAGTTATTGGCCATGGATGGGGAAGGTAGGTTTTCTTTTGTCTGACATTATGATGGGGTCAAGAGGGTAATGATACCCACTTGAGCATGTTTGGAGAAAAATATTTTCATCATGAGGAAGACCATGGCATGCTACAGTTAAATTTATTTATTTTTTTACCTGCAGACAAAAAGCAGAAGCTGTAGAAAAAAAAGGTAGTAAATCTCTCGTCTTTGAAACCCCTCAACCACCTTCTGATTGGCTTTTTGGTGGCCCATCTCAACTAACTTCCATACATTCTTTCCCAAATGGAAGAACAAAGAAGAAGAAGAAGAAGAAGAAGATCATCAAGAGAAGATATACATCAAGTATATATCTATCACCAAGAAGTTGCACTTAAAACATAATTGATTGTCATCATTTCAGTGTCATAATTACTAGGGGAAAAAAAATCAAAAGGAGACAATACCCAACTAGGGTTTATTCATATATTCAAATCAATGTAGTGGTGGGCAAGAGTGTGTGAGACGGAAGAAGATTTGAATAAGAACCAGTGTGTATTGGGGTTAATATTTTAAGGGGGAATGGAATGTAGGTCCAAGAGAGTAACAGAAAGTGAAAAAATGTAAGGTAAGGGGATTAGGTCAAAATGGCCTTTAGAATTTATTAGTGTCTTTCTTTCTCTTCTCTTCTTTCCCCATGCGCACCTTTTCACCAAAAGAGAGCTTTTTCTTCTCCACCGAGAAAACCCACTGTTACTATTATATTGAACAGAGCACATGCCCATCTTCCAAATACTTTTATTTTTATTTGAAGTTAGGAGAGGAACTGCTCTCCGCGTGCTAAGTGCCATAGACAGAGTGAAAGAGACTTGTTATAGAAATTGAGGGACCTCTTACGGAAGAAGCTTTATCTATAGATTCCAGTCTTTTAATCGGCCAATTTACAACCTTCCATTTGAGAAATGACAAAACTTAGTTCCAGGACTTATTCTCTTTCTCAGTTCTCTCCTTAAAATCTGATTGAACCCATTTTAGCCTCACCTTACCTCACCTGTGCGTTTTGTGGGGGCCTGCTGCTTTAATCTTTTATTATCACTCACTCCCAATGGGCTCCACTTAACAAAGCATATTAATGCATTTTCACTGAAGAATTTCCATTTCAACCATCTCCAGCTCAGGAGGCAGGCAATAGCTTGTGTAAAACGTTGCATATATTTTTGGTTTGGTTCAGTTAATAATGAAACCACACAGAAACCAGGAATCTTCTGCGCCCCCCGGCCCCTGCTTCATAATTTCTCTATCAAAATTTATTTCGGGATCCCCATCGCCATGATCACTTGCTTCAGTAAGTACATAATACAGATATGATTGTTACTGTGATTAGCATCCTTTTGACAACCCTTCACCCAAGACACTATCATATAGTCAACCACATTTGGAGGATCCATTTATTCTTGTTGGGCCGGCACTGAAGTACTGAACTACCCTTATTAAATTCTAAATACAGAACAACGAACCATCCCTTTGATTTAGACTTTGGATTTTGAAATCCAAGAGCTGAGATAATTCTCTGTTTCAAAAATAAGCACTGAACTCCCACGTGTTGCCCGTGTATATTAATTATTAACAAAAATTCTAAAGTTCATTAAATTATCCAACGACTAAGTGCACGGCTACAAGTGTGTACTCATACATATTTGATTGGGACAGTCATTACTCTCATTAAATACATTAACTATTGAATATTCAAAACTTAAATTTTCTCCAGCGTTTTGCGTATCCAACATATACCATATACGAAAGTGTCCAAGGGGAAGAAGAAACCCTACTCTACAATATTACAAATTACAATACTCGTTATGGCGCAAACCCATTTTCGTTTCATCCAGTAAATAATCATTGGGATGATCATAAACTGATGAAGTTGGAGTTGGAGGATATGGTAGAAGTGTAAAACTAGAATAAATAATATATTAAACAACCTTCTCAGGAGCTGAAACCTTCAGTTATTTAGCAAGTTTCCCGGCACTCGATGTGGAAGAGTCTAGATCAATTTCTTTGCGTGATGCTTCCCACAGTCTATGCTCAATCCCCAGTTTCCTTAGCTCCATCATACCTTGTTCAACTAAACAAGAAAAAACCATATTTTGTGAGCACATCAAAAGACCAAAAGTTAATATGCAGTCTTATTCCACTGGTTTTCATGAGATTGAGACTATATATTTCTGAAAAATGTATTTTATAAAAAAAGAAAAAATTTCTGAAAAATGTATTTTATAAAAAAAGAAAAAAAAAAAAAGTGTAATTTTACCATCTACAGCATCATGTGAACTAGGTGAGTGTCCGCTGCGGCTGATCCAAAACCGAAGTCGTTCTTTGGCAATGTCCTCCTCTATACCATGGGCTTTGGCTCTTCTCCAGAAGTATGTCAGCCATGCCTGTGCCAGTTCAATTTATGGTTTATACAATTGATACAGCATGATCTACACATCTTTTTCCATGCGTAAGATGAGACTATTTTAGTTTTCTCGACTTTCTTAATAGGTACATAAAAATATAAACGAGATTTTTATTTAATTTTTTTATAACATACCAAACTGAGAAGGTATATTAATAATATTACAAGAAGATTTATAAGTAAAAAAAAGGGTAAATTAACGAGATTAGAACCCAAGCTATCAAGAAAAAAATGACAAACCTCCTTGAAAAGAACATCCTCCGACTCCTCTGGGCTAAGTTCTGCAAGAAAACAGGATTGATGTTATACTTATGATCACATGACAAATAAGTCAGGATGCTATTAAAAATTAAAGACAAAAATATATAAATCTTCTATCACTTACTTCTGCAAGAACATCCTTGGACATTAAAATCAGATACACAATTGAAGCCAATTAAAGGCAATAGAAGTATATTTTGAAACAAAAACATTCCCTAAAATAGACACTTAAGCACAAACTTGATGTAAGAAAAGTTAATTACCATTAGTTTGTTTATGTTTGTGCATTTTAATATGAATGCTACCCATCCCAAGTTATGTGCCTTCTTAACTAAGTGCAATATAGATGGTGGATAATGTGGTAAGTAATTTATTAATACTAAGAATACTTGAAATGGGAAATTTAATATATTATTCTTCTAATATAAACATCAGCATAAGTAAAGTTATATATTACTATTGACAAGGTTGTACGATCGAATTTGTGAGCATATTAACATATTTTAGTTCCAGCTTTAGTTAATGTCTTCAATGTTCTTTCATTCCTTTTTATTGAGGGAGGGTTAGCCTTGATGCACGATCACTGTGAAACAGAACACATGAATCTTATTCTAGTTATGTCTTGGGTTTTTCACATGTTTTTTTCACATGAAATAAGAAACTTGACTTCAAGTGAATGCCCAACAACCAACTGTAGCTCTATGACAAACGAGAAGAATTAAACAAACATAATACATGACCAAATCATCCAGACAGATTGAACCTCTCAGAGATCTCCTGGTCACACTCTTCAATGATGAGAGATAATAACAGAGATTCTCTGAAGGATTTGGTGTTATTTAATAAAAGGAGTAATTTCAAAAGACTACTAACAATTAAAGAGATTCAAGACCCAGAAGTCAAAGATCCTCAAGTAGTTCCATTTTTTCCTTATTAAGCTCTTACATTATCTAAGCATAAGCATTCCACCAAAAAATGCGCTCAAGGCACAGAAACTTATGCTTGTCTAATCATTTTTTTTTCACTACTGACCATCAAAGTCACAGTCAAATCATTGGCCAAAGACTAAAAAAGGTATGAGAGTAATATAACTAAATTCCATGGTACAAAATCAGATTTAAAGTACTCTTTAGGTAACTGATTCATACAAAGTGAGTTCTGATCCAACATACTTGGACAACAGAAAAGGGAAACCACGTCAAATTCAATATTATGACAAGTTTTGGTAGGTTATCTACTATCTACAGCCAAGAGGTATCTGCTTTAGACACTTCAGATAACTAAGAGACCTAGGCAAATATCCTGTAAGCAAACAGGGACCACAATTCACACCAACTGTTTATGAACTATAAACCTAACAAATTGCTTCTGATGTATTGTTGGCAGAAATTCTAATCTTCAAAAAGAAAATGAACATTGGAGACAAAGCAGCATACAAATAATCACAGATGAAATAACAGAAAAATTTTCAGAAGCAACATTTTTGTGATGAAAATTTCTAGAGTACAATGTGTGACTTAACTGGGGAGGTGGTAGTTTTTGTCCGTCAATTACATGGTAAAATATGCTTCTTTTTACGAAATACAATTAAAATAAATAAATAAGTAGACACAAGATAGCAAATGCTGGCACAAAATGCCAACTAAAAATACTACTCACCAAATGCCTCCATAAACTTTGGATCACTACCAGGAGATTTGAGATCTGAAAGCAATAGGAAATAATGTAAAAATAAGCATCAAGCCTGCATCACTAAAGCAGAGATATCAAATTATCAATATACACACTGAAATGCAGTGGGTCATCAGGTTACAGAAAGTAAACCTGAGATGGATAGTCGAGTAGAATTGGCACGCCGTTGTTGGGCCAATGCAAGCACAATAGCATCTTCGACCTTGTAAGTAGCAACCATAAAGTATCACATATACAGCAACCCTTTGTGGCAGTGGAGACTCAAGCATGAAACTTGAGGTTAATAAAATGAAGAGTAGAGAAGAAGAATAATTCTGAACACTCAAAAAATGAATTAAACTATACAAAAGTAAGCAAATAAGGCATGAAAAAAAAAAAACCTTCAAGGAAGCAAGCTCCTTCAAACCCATTTCAACTGACAGCATACTCTCAATATTTCCTTCTCCAGTTAGATCGGTCAAGTCCAGAACAAGTTTGCCTCTCTTCTCACTGTCGTCGTCGCCTGCTCAGTTCCAATTATGAAAAATTTCAACACTGTCAATCAAATTAAGAAGCGCTGAAAAAGATAATCCAATTTTAACTACAAAGACCAATTTACTAATTACTAACCTTTTTCCCAACACTCTTCTTTAGCCTTTTGTCCAGCAGAAATGACAACCTCAAAAGGAAGTGGGGCCAAGGATGACCAGTATTCATACTTTGAAACTGCTACATCCGCACAGATCCCTAAAAGAGTAAGAAAAATTAAACATGGGGCAATATTGAATCAAATATATTAATTACCAGTATAAAACACTGTGAATGTGAAGTGAGATCATGTCTAATTAACTTTTTTTTTAAAAATAAAAAATAAAAAAAATATTATAGGATAAATCCCTGGAAATGATAACTTAGGAGGTTTTAAGATAATGTTACCAATCTGTATTGAACATAATAAACAAAATATATGAAATGAAAATTGGTTATAGCATAATTTGGTAATAGCCTCATGAGTCATGGAGAACAAGTCAACTTAATGAAGATTTATAAGGGGATAAATCTCCGTGATGAATTAGAAACGAGAAGTATCCCGTAAATACCATATTTTGCAGCTAAGCCCCAGTAACGTGCAAGCCAACACCTCTTAAGAACAACTTCTTCCTGAAATGAATATAAAGTAATTATATTACCCTTAGATGACCACACATAGGTTAATGGAAACTAAAGCACTAACCATCTCTTTCTGAGTCAGTATCATTCTTTGCGTCATTGAGCGAAGGGCTTTCACTTCAGATTCAGCTCCACTAAGTTGTCGTAAAACAGTCGCAGTGTCATCTTTAGTATTCTGATTCAAGCAAGAAATTAAAGCATAAAACAATAATTTGAATCAGAAGCCAGGAAGTATTTAATAGATTTAGCAATATATGAACAAGGATATGTAGTAGGATAGACACAAGAGAGGACTAACCTCCAGTTCAGACTGAAGAGATACAATTTCTTTGTTTACCCCACCCTTATTTTGTTTTACATCCTTGAGTGCAGCCTAAAGGAAAAAAAAAAAGTTATTTTTTCATTTTTCTCCAAATAAACGAAAATAAAACAAGAAGGCCTTTCCTGTCCTAATACAAGATGAAGAGGCCATTTTATCTCCATAGCTCAGAACTCTAAATCAAATAGCCCAAGCAAAAAATTTGCTCATCTTGTTGTCAAAGAACAAGAAAATTTTCCAGCACGAGTAAAAGACCAATGATGAAGTTAAGTTGATAAGCATAGGATAAGCCATTTGCATATCTAGAATAAAAAAAGAATTGAAAGTTTCCTTTGATACCTCTCTCTGACGCAATGCAGCCTCCTTCCTGCATACGGTAACTAAGTTGTGTAACAACAAAAACAATAAGGCAACAAAAACGAGCACATATTAAATTGGTTGAAATCCTAACTTACCTGCTCAATAGTTTAGCTTCCAAGGATACACCTTCTCCAAGAGCAGCAACCTAAAGACTCCAAGCAAGCAGCAAAATTAATACATCAGATTTGCAGCAATTCATATTCCTTCAGAAATGACAATGAACAAAAGGGAGAATCCCTGTGAGTAAAGAACTTCCGTTGATTTCAATCTTTCCGACTAGGCAAGTATTAAGCATAAATAACTAAGAACTATCCATTAACCTGTTTCTCGAGCTCCCTAACTCTGGCCTCCGATTCTTCACATCTCTCTTCCTCAAGTCTGAGCTGTACAGCAAATGCAGCAATGAATTTGCAACAAATAAGTACCATGAGTCGTATATTTGTAATAAACTTATCACTTTCTCAGCAGAAAAAAATTTAAAAAAAAAATCCGGTCTCCCACCTTGTTAAGGATATTGTCATTCTCTTCTTGTAGCATATCAAGCTGCAAGATATGCCTCAACAAATTCAGTTTTAACACCTATTTGAGTGTTAATGCAAATAAAAGTTAAGGTATAATTTACAATTAACATACATACTTCATCATGAAGCGCAGAAGCGTCACGTTGATCTCCATTTGCTTTCGCATTAAAACGTCCCATATCCGGTGAGAACCTGCCATTTATGAAAAAAATCAAAATTTACTTCTCTTAACCGTTAAAAATTTAAATAATACATTTGTTAATTTTTAAACCTTTTGTCTCTTGGAACATTTTTAGGAGGGTCAATTGGAGGCAAAGAAATAGCAGTCCTAAGTGGCGCCTTATTAGGCGGCAGAGACGGCGCCGTATGAAGAGACATTGAAGGCCGTCCAGCTGACGTTGATCTGACCGACGTAGCTTCTTCTCCTAAGTTTCTTCCTAACGACTTATAATTACAAAACAACACAATCCAATTATTTAACTTAAACACTCAACAAACATGAACAAACTCAGGAAATGCACCGCATCGTAATAAACTTACCGCAGGTGAAGGAGATCTCGTGGTTCTCGAAGACGTAACCGCCGGTTTATTACTACCAGTGGTTGCAGTAGCAGCATTTGAACCAGAATTAACGTTTCTTGACAGAGACAGTGACAGAGGCGGAGGAGCACTGTAACGGAAACCTAGATCATCGTCACCGTCGTCATCATCGTCAGCAGTTTGAGAAGCCATGACCTGAGCGAGGCGCTGAGCAGCAGCTTTAGCAGCGAAGTTCTGGTTCCTCTTAATAGTGGACATTCCACTAACAGAGGAAGAACGAGCGTGGTGGTGACGCGCCGGAGACACCACAGGAGAGGAGATGCTACCGGACTCGCTGCTCCATTGGCGCCCGTAAACGGGACTGTCGGTTCGGTTCCTGTCCATCTTATAAGAAAGAGAAGTCAAGTCAGAAATGGAAATGGTGATGCAATTGAGAGTGTGTCTGGGCGCAGATCTTGGTGAGCGAACAAGAGTGAGACACAAGTCAGTGCATAGTGGACAATGCTGTAGTGAGGGACTGGCGGAGATATCGCTCTCTTCTCTGCTTTCTACACAGTAAGTAAACCATTTTGTATAGCAACTCTTTTAAAATACAAATTTTGGAAAATAGGATTTAATCCAAATTAAAAATATTTTTTTATCTGCTCAGAATGGCTACAGTTGCTTATTAACTGAGCAATCAAGGCTGTGCAGATATAGGAAGGTTAATTAATTATTTAAGGAGGCGTTTGGTTGGGAATGCGAGGGAGTTCTGGGTTTAGTCATATTATATTACTTGATTATTTGTTTAGTTATCACGCAATATAAGATATCGATAATCTTTAAATATCAATAATGGTTACTATTGGAAATATTGGAGGTAATCTGATTACCTCCATTTGCTTATGTATTCTAAGATTATCAGGGTTTTCTTTCTTTGTTACAATTCTATCTCTTATTAATAAAATTTTAGGACAATAATACCCTTACTTTTAAATTTATTTACATGAATATGATTTTTACTATTTTCCCCCAATTAATTAACTTTTTGCACAAAATTATCCTTGAATTCAAAACAAATTACAGCCCACCCAAGCCACCATCCCCATCCACCTGTCGTCGCCACCGCCGTCGAAACTGCCCACAAAAGGCCGAAAATGGCCATATGGTGCAAGGAGGCCATTTCTTGCCTTTCGTGGCCGTTAGGTTTCTGGCTGTCGACGGCCTGCAATGGTTGCCAACGGTCGGCATTGGCTGGGTTGGTAGGGGTGCATTGTTGATTTTTCAAACTTTTATTATGGGGTTGTTTTTGCTAAGTTTTTAAATGCAGGGGTTTATATAATCCAAATAATAATCAATATTAAAAAATGATAGTAATTTAAATAACATATCCACCAATTTATTCCTCTCAACCAAACATATTAATATAATATACCTACTAATTAATCAAACACATTTTCTTAAAGATTCCTAATAAGCTTCAAGGTAATCTAACTTTTCAGTAATCTAACATTCCCTGAACCAAATGTCCCCTAAGAGTAATGTTACACCTATAGCCTCTTTTCACATACTTTCTCTTATAATGCTGATGTGGTAGCTCACAATTGGTCAGTTGTAATTTATTAGGTCAAACCTAATAAAATCTATTATGAATTGACCAATTATAAGCTACTAAGTTGAAATTGTGAGAGAGAGTTTGTTTGATGAGGTTGTAGGTATAGTATTTGTCATTATTTAATAATGCAATGGGGACCTAAATTTGTTATAATAATGGAAAATTAATCAGCCGATCATCTTGAATTCTTGATAATCGCATTAATTAATTGCTAAGTGAAATTTGCTTTTGAAACTTTCCCTCTTAATTTGTAATTAATTCGATTTAATTAACCAATAAAAAATCAGATACAACCAAAATAATCAAATATAAATTATTCTTGGGTGATCGAGTAAGACGATAAGAATTTTTTGTTGTACTACTTAAGAAATCTTGAGTTTTATTCAAAGTAACTATTGAAAGATTTATATAAATCTTAACTTTAAAATTCTAAAGATTAATTGAGGTATGAAAAAATTAGTTTAAAAAAAAAAAAAGCAAATATATAAAATACTTAATCAAATATATAACTGCCATTATTTATATGCAGATTGTTTTTTCAATAAAAACAAAAACCTTTGAAAAGCCAACTCAAGTCTTGAACCTTATGCAGGAAATTTTTTTAAATATTGAAGCTCGACGTGTTTGGTTTTGCTTCTTATCAATATCAACCTTATTAGTATGGCAGCTGCTTTGACAACTCTTCAAAGCCTTGTTCTCATCCATCAGCCTGTTGATTTCAGAATAAAGTTGTTCAATATCTTCTCTCTTCTTGTCATTTCTCTTAATCAACTGCTCCTGCTCTTTCAAGTTATCTTCCACTAGTTTTGACACCCTCAAGCTCATTTCATTCCACATCTTCTCCCTTTCTAAGAAAAGCATGGTTTGACGTTCATCAACCTTCGAACCACCACCACTACTGGATTCGATTTCATTACTTACTTCGTTGTTGACTTTTTCATCGTCATGATCATGAGTATTGACTATTAGTTTCATCTTTCTTGAGTTATTTAACATTAACTCAGTTTTCAGGGACTCAAAGTCCTCTCTAATCTTTTCTTGGTGGCAGGTTTGGAGTTGTTGAACTTGATTGAGGGAGTTTTGGAGTTGTTTAACTTGATTGAAGGAGGAGTTTGACGAAGGAAACAACTCTGGGTTGGTGAAGCGAAAAGAATCGGATCTGAGATTTTCATAATTTTGAGCTAAACAACGATAGGATTTGGTCAAGTCTTCCACCATCTGAACAAGTTCAGGTCTCTTCTTATAGTACATCTCAGCTCTCTTAGCGAATGAATCACTATCATCTTCCATTATGTCGAGCATAGCCTTTGTCTTGTTATCCAAATCTGCATATACACATAACCAGTTATTCAATTCCGTATCTATATAAATCGCTTTTAGGCAAAAAATATTCACATTGTTGAAGCTAAAAACAATGAATATCGTCGTTCTTAATCATCAAGAAAGCCCTTCTTTCCTCCGGGCTCCCTGAAATTCGCGACAGATCGATGTTCAGTATTACAGTATATGGCGCTATATGCATATAATAAACAAAGCTGACAAAGTAAAACTTCATCCTGAGGTCATTAATCATGCACAAACTGCCAAACTTGAAAGTTAAAATAAATACCAACGAACATCCCTTGTTTTTCTTAAACATAATTGTATTAAAAGATCTGAATTTTGAAAGTTCTGACTGATATTCACTGATAAAATTGGGATGTTCGTTTCACTTTGTTCAAGTTATGGACACGACGAATTATAGCTGGATGTCGTTGTATCCCCACACCTAATTCTAGTTTATAATCAAAACTACCCGCGAAGAATTTATTATAAGAATCCCAATGTATTGTATTAATATTTTACGAAAGAGTGCTGAAACCAATAAATCTAAAATAAATTAATAAATAAAGTAAAATCAGAAAACATCGATCACAGCCAGAATACATTCATGAATGTGCAACTGCATCGACTCAAATTAAGAGAGGGAATAAGAATAAATCAAATAATGACCTGAAAGAGTAGTTTGAAGCCATTGAGATTGTTGGGGAGAATTAAGGGTATCCCATCTCCTCGAACGAGCGGTATACCATCTGCTCGAACCCGCAGCAGCTTCATCGTTCTCTTCCACTTCCCCTTCCTGTATGTAATCTTTAATGTCAGTTGAAGCCATATCTTCTTTCCCTCAGAAGGGCCTCAATATCTTCAGTTGAAAAGCTTTTATATATGTCCCACGCACAAAGCAATCCCCAAGCTAATAAGAGAGTTACAGGGACCAGGACGTTCAAGAACTCTAGTTCTAGCTAATATTGAAGTCTTCTTTCTCAATCTAAAAGGGGACCCCCCCAAATTTCTTTGAGTTTCAACTTGACTTACGTAATCTTAGTCTACACGACAATCGTTCACGGATTTAAGAGTTTCTCCAAACTCCAAATACTTCTCCTTTCACAATCTTTGGCGACACCCCAACACAGGAAGCTGTTTTCTATTTGCTTTTTAATTAATTAGTTAAGACTCTTGAGAAATTAATTGCAGTAACTACTTTTACCTATCAAAACATTAAGTAATCACTATCGTTCAACTTTTGTTTTTTACAATGCACGTTAGTTAAACTTGTGTCTATGGCTGGTTGGTCGTGTGCAAGTATGTTGGCCACTTAATCAAGCGTTAAATTATAACCACTTAAAAATATCATCAGAAAATCGTCATTTACATTTACTTAAAATTCGAAAATTTTTCTGTACTGAATTGTATATGTAAATGATTTGACAGCGACGTAACGTTTGTAGATATACTGAAGACACCTGCACCCGTGCACCTGGTACTGGGAGAGGCCTAGAAGTTCTCCATAGCAGGCTACGAGAAAGGTTTTATTGCATTTCCCAGGCCTTGGTTGTAACTTGACACGGTTACACTCGGCAACAAAAAGGCCTAAAAATAGACAATAAAAATTTTGCCACATCTGGCTACTACGTTTTCCAGTCAGCTCTCTTATAATTTAACTTTCTTATTTTAAGCAATTTTATGTCACTTTATTGAATAAGCTCTATTGACAATAAACGAACGTTCACATTTTGGCTATTTCAATGATTGTTATTGTCAAATCTGATTGGGATTACAGGTTTCCATTTCTAAAGTATTAACACCTACAAATGAATAATATTTCTTTCAAACGAGAATTCTGGAAAAATTTAAACAGACTTGGAATTATTAAAAAGGAAAGAGGAGATTCAAAATGCAAGTGAGGTTAGATAAATTGAATCACTAAACCAGTGGACGCCGAAGTTAGTTTAGCTGCCCTCAGTAATGGGGGAATATGACACTCCGAAAACTCCAGCCTCAAATCGTCCAACCCAGAACGAAAACACACTCTAGCTAGACACTCAAAAGTTATAACAATCAGTCTTATCAACCTTTTCTTCACTCTTTCAGGTTAATGTTCCGAATAAAATTATCACACTCAAATGCCTTCATTACTCTATCCCGATGACAACGCCTTGGTCTGAGACATTCGGATATTGTTTTAGTATTTCTTTTACGTCCTGAATGTCACATTTAATGATCCCCCTCCTCCATGTCAATTAAATTCACTTGGAAATTTTCAAACTGTGGCTAGCCGCAACATGTAAAAACTTGGTTCAGCCACCACAATTCACCATATGATGAAGAGCCCTCAACTCAACCCAATTCGTTTTCCCTCAAAAGATATCCATTTTTAAACTTCTTGTAATCTTCTTTATATGCTTTAACTGTAACAGTTAATTTCAAAATCCTCTTCAGCATATTGGCCATTGAAGGGAAAAGGCAATGGGTGGTTTATGGGACTCAAAAACAAGTCCTGACAGGATCTCTCCAGTCTCACCCGGAGCTACCAAGTATGACCTGAAAGTTCCCTTTTCAACTTAAGTGTCTACTCGATTCAATCTTTATCATGTGTTATAATTTTACCAGAAGAGGTTAGGGTAATGGCTTGTTTATGTTTTAACAGCAAAATCATGCTCATTTGCCCTCCGATAAAGCAAGGCTGATGCTTCCACCCTGTATATATTACGAATGGTTAAAAAGAAAGGAGGACAAAAAGACCGTCAAATCCATAAACATAACGATTGCTAAACTGCAAGACATATGAAATGAAGAGAACAGACAATCTCACCAGCTAGGATAGACAACAAATCTTCCGGTGGATAGTGCCCAATTCACCTGTCAAAAGAGTTGATATCATTAACTCAAAGTCCCCTTATTTTGGTATATAGAACATTTTCCACCCTATTATACTTGAATGCAATACAGGAAAGACAATTTGCTGTAGAAGTTTTAGTGTACAATGATCTTCTTCTAGACATTTGATAAGATAACGTTCCGAATCTTCCAGAATTTATTTGTTCAGAATATCCAATTACAAGAAGTCCTAACACTTATGGAGGAAGTTGGGAGAAATCACAAAAAAGAAAAAAAAAAATGCCAAAAAATTACCTTATCAGTTCCAAGGGAATTGGCAACTACATGAGTAACCTGTTCATCAATCTGATTTGTGCATACAGCACCAAATTGTTCAGCTGTCTGCCACAGCGGATGTAGATGAGGATTGGCTTCACCAATTGGAATCACCCTGCTAAATACTATACGACAACCAGCCAAAATCCTTTTCTGCTCCATCACTAGAATACTTCTAACATCTGCATCATCTAAAGACTGATGGGAGAAAAAGTCCTGGTGTATTCTCTCAATAACCTAGTCGAAGCAAGCATATTTATTGTTATAACAACAGAGAGATGGTAAGCACGGTGAAAATCATTGGCAGACTATGAAATTAATGCAACTGCAGCCTCACCATCAAAGAAGATGCCAAAGTCCCATCTTCAGCTCTCTCATCTACATCAATTTCAAGAAGAGAAGGACCTGGAAGCCCAAACTGGCGCCTACTACAAGGAAAATAAATATACCTGCAACACTAAAAATTAGATTGGTGTATGGGTAGACAAATAAGATGGAACGAACTAAACTACAAAAGTGAAAAGGGATACAAATTTCATTTGTCAATAAGCAAATACTTACCTTTCTACAACTATCAAATTCATTTTGTGATGTGGCCAGACTCTAACAGAATCATCTACAATCACAACACCAGATTCCAAACCCAACACCCCTTCAAGATCCTTACTCTTAGGAGGCCCACCATTATCACTGTCAAAAGGATCTCCATCATCACCTCTAGAGATGACTCGTCCATTAAACAGAACCCCTTTAGGGTCAAGCACCTTTGCCATCTCCGTAGCATATAGCTTGTTCCCCATTGTATAAAGATGCAGCTCATATAGTTTACTAGCTCTCTCCAAAAATTTCCAGATCCCAGGCCTCAATTTGGTCCACATTGACATATGAGGAAAGCGGAACAGATGTCTCTGTGGTTTTTCACGATCCTCCTCCTCTTTCTTTCTCAATATCTCATCATGCACAGGATCTACTTCGTTGAACTGAACAAAGTGAAAAATTGTATAATTAATAAATGAAATAAACACTTCTTGATAAATCAGGCTAATACCTACAAACATGAGAAGAAAAAAATACTTTGCACAGCAGGAACCTACCTTAGCTGAATTAAGAAGAGTATGATCTAGATCCAAGACGAGACAAAGCTTCCGTGCAGCAAACATCTTCTTCTGTTCTTCTATCCTCCTTGTCCTCTCTCTTTGAATAGCGGCTTTTTGCAGTTCATCATATCCTTCAAAAAGATGTGCAACATCTCCCCATGTGTTCTGTACAGGAAGACCAGTGGGAGAGCTCTGTGGCGGAGGACCTACAGGTCCATCAGTAGCCGCACCAGCTCCACTTTGCTTATCATCATTATTTGGAGCTACAGTTGTCACATCTGTTCTTTCCAATTTAATCTGTGATGATTGACATGGAAGATTCTGTGAAACCATTGGTTGATTTGTTGATGCTTGGGACACAGACATAATATCAGCAAGATTCTTCAAAGTCTTGGTGAATTGCCGCGTAATATCTGGGGGTGGAACTGATTGAGATTGCACTTGTTTTGTTTCTGCTTGACCCTGTTGCTTTTGGGAATTCAAACTATCCTTGCCTCCCTGGGTATTAGAAGTCAAAGGTCCGTCAGTTTTTAACAGCTCAGGTCCCAAGCTCCCACTCCTTTGAAGTGAATTTCCATGGAGAACACGTCGAGGGTCACGAGGTTTCATGCGGACTTTTCCCACCTCATCCTACAAGGTCCATATATTATTACACATGCACCAGAGTTTACTTAAAAGAAAACAAAAATAAATTAATTAATTAATTTATAAAAAAAAAAAAAAAAAAAAAAAAAAAAAAAGCTTCCAAAAATAAAAGGGTCCACACAACAAACAACTAAATCCCACAATAGTGTCAGTATAGTTAAGACTGTCTCATTCAGAAAAAATATATAAATAGCACTCACCAAAGAAGCTGCTGGAGAAGGAACCTGAACTGTTCCTGTTGGTTTTGGTAAAACCACTGAGGGTGTTGACAGAGCAACATTCTCCAAAGGAACCGATCGCACAATCGGACTCAGACTTGGAGGATGCATCATACTTCTTAAAGGATCATTAGACTTCTGCTGGGCTTCTACTGTTAATCTCTGTTGTTGTCCCATCTTAAGTATATTTAGTAACACAGTTGGATTCACTGCAATATCTTTCAATAAAGCAGGCAAAGAGGCCGTGGTACTAGGAACAGTCACTGGCACTGGCTCATTTCTGCTAGCAACCACATTCTGTGTACCAACAGTAACACTAGGACAAGTAGTTCCATTCTCCAATTTCTTGGGATCAGAGACTGCAGATTCTACAAACTGATTTCTGTTTGGAATCTTAGGCCCAACCATATTGGTGTCCTCCAACCAGCCACTGCTTCCATGCACAGTTTTTGCTTCCCTACCAACTCCATAATTTTCTGTTCTGTGTCGTTGCCTTTTAGTTGCAGGACCCCCAAAAGAAGCCTCTTCCATTGTCTTTTGCTTTCTTGAACTCATAATTCCACCAACAGGTTCTGCTTTAGGTGCATTATGCACCATGGGTACAGGACGTTGGTTGAGATCCAATGCATCAGGGTTTGCAAACCGAAGCCTGGGGTCTCTACTCCGAACAGATGCTTTCACAATTGGATTAGATCCTGAGCTAACAGATGCAGTATTTCTAGCATTAAAGAATCCTTGAATGCTGGAATTGTCCATGCGTTGTGAAGAAGAAACAGCTTCTTGCACTGAAACGGGTGGATTTACAACTTTAGATTTATCAATGGTGGAGGAACTAGATATCTCCCCACCAGTATCACCATCCCCCTCACCAGACTCCTCTGACGGGGTCGGGCTTGGAAGTCTATCATTGGAAAAGAATGAACTATTACTGAATTTCTGTTGATAGGAAGAAACAGCTTTGAGGACATCAGTTTCATAATAACGCATTTTAATATCTTCTGAGTCATGAGCTGCCTTGGCTGTGGTCAACCCTGACTTAACCATACCATCTCCAACAGTCAATGCTGTGCGAGCAGGTAGAGATGGTGTTGTTTCCCTTGTGGGTGATGGGAGGCTGTCAGCATCATGGTCCTTATGTAGGTCAAGCAGTGGGAGCAAAACTCTACTCTTAACACCAGGTAAACCTGGTTTTGAAGCTTCCAGTAACATGTTATGCTTATTATATATCGAAGATTCAACAGGTAGCAACTTATGTTTAAGAGTCAAATCATGGCCAGCACTTTCAGCTAGAGCATTACAATCCGTTTTGTTCAGTCCATCTATGTCCATCATCTCTTTCTCTTTGTTGCTTGCTATAGCACCCAGAAAAATATTTCGGGAGTCCAGAGAGGATACCACGGCCTCTATCTGTTAGGAGAACATGTTTAAAGTTTACAACAATGATAAAGCTGAAACACATTTAAAGATTCCTGAACTACATTAGTTAGAACTTAGAACCGCACCTCTTTCATCTGTTCAGGGAGAAAAAGAGGAGGATAGTGGCTCTTGACAAGAGAAAGTAACCTGTTAACCAAAGAGATGACTAAACAACTACAACTAATGATAATCTTTATAATAACAAGAAATGAATATTACAAAACTGAACCTTGACAAAATGTCCTTATTCTGTTCTTTCAAATCATTATTCATTGAGCAGAACACCTGCAAACAAACAACCATCTTTATAAACAAGTACTGTCATGAATTTGAATTAGTCAATTCAAAGCAGAATTTCTAAATTAATAATTTACAATAATTTACAATCTTCCATAACTAAAGTTAACCATTTTCAATAATTAAAGTTAACTAGTGAGCCTTACAGAATTAATAGCTTGAACAGCAGAAAACGCTAGTTGAATGAGAGCATCTCTTCTGGGAAGAACATTATTGTCAAAAATCACTTCCCGCAAGCTCTCCAAAGCATTTTGAAGTTTTGAACAAACTCCTTGAAATGATCTACACAGCACAAACCATCAAACATCAATCCTGAAACTAGCCGAATAGTTCAACAATAATCAATCACATCAAATACAATCCAATACAATCTAATTCAATTCAATTCACGCCACTTACTTGTCAGCATCAATCACATTAACAACACTCTCCAAATCTCCTATAATAGACTCTACTTTCTTATCTAAACCATCACCATTAACTAAATCCTTCTCTTCAATAACTTTCTCAACCGATTCCAAATCCAAATCAATCTCCCCTTCCTCCAACTCACCTTCCTCCTTCTCATCACCACTATCATCAATCACAACTTTATCCACTTCCTTCTTAACTACTTCTTTACTATTAACAGACGCCACCGACGACGACGGTGACGATCTCTTCGACACCTCATCTTGTTCAACATCCATAACAAATATATCATTCAGAGGTTTGTTCTGAACCGCCTGGGCCCACGCAAGATTATACAAACCAGCCGACGCATATCCTCGACAAATTGTCGGATATTTATTGTACAGATCCCGCATCGTCCAAACCCTAGCAGACTCACCTTTCGGCTTCGATTCTTTTAAAACAACAACTTCCTGATTATTATTGAAAACATCTTCACTGATCTCTTCAACTGACGCTGTATCAGAAATTTCACCTTCCTCTAAGCCCATCCCTCAGCCAAAATTTTCCTTTTTCTTTTTAAATTATTCAACCATACTACCACAAACATATATGCATATTCAACCGATCGTTCAGAATAACTCTTCAATAGATCTGAACAATATTAATTAATCGTCTGTCTTTCTTTGACTAAGATCTAAATATTAACACACAAAAAAGTTATATGAGACCTTTGACCACGAGTTCTTACAAAACAGAAATTCAGTCTCTAACTCCGATTTTAATTTCTTTCCAAATCTCAGATTCAGATCTGTGTTTATGTGAGATTTTGCAAGCAAACACAACGAATTATTTTCTCGAGAAAATCAATTTAAAAGAGAAAAAAAAACAAACACAAACGCGTTAGAATGAAAATAAAAAAGAGACTTTTTGAGGAAATTTTGGGAGGCGAAAGGAGTTTTATAAGGGAGAGGGTGAATCTAGTACAATGTGTACAGTTTGAATCTGGAGCGTACACGTCAGCGATCCGGGAATGGAAATAATAACTTTTAATTGGTGAGCGTAACGTGTGACACAACTGGAATACTAGTGTGTAGTGGTGGGGGACTGGGAGGGACTAGGGAGGTGTGAGGTTTAATGCTGAGTCATAAGTTGTTGGATTCGGGTTTTGATTTGGATCCTAATTTGTGAGTTATAAAAAGAGCTACTATCCAAACTCCCTGACGTTTAAGAAAATATCAAAAAACCTCTAAAATATGAGAATCATACAAGAACCTACTCATATTTAGAAAAATCATTACTTACCTTCATTTAATCATGAAAAGTAAAACTGATTTTATGAAATGTTTAATGTGAAGAGGTAACTAATGTTTCTAATTCTTATGGGATTTGTTAATACAGAAATTTACGACAGTCAGAAGTACATGATTAACAGCATTAGAATCACATTGAATGTGTGCGTAATTTTAATGAATTAGTAATAGAATAATATGATTATGAATAAAGTAATACTAGCCTTACAAAGAAGCATACAAAGAGTCAAATCCATCCCTTGAAATTCATAATTGCCTCTTTCTCTCTCTCTTTTTCTTTTATTTCAAGGGTCAGACTTGACTCTTTGTATGGATCTTTGTATGCCTCTTTGTAAGATTAGTATTACTCTTATGAATATGCATGAATTAACACAAAATACAAAGAATAAATAGACTTTTTTTTATGTGGTTCGGCCACTTACAACGTAATGTCTACGTTCACTATTATGTTATTGTATGTATTGAAATAATATTTTGATTTACAAAGAGCTTGCAATTGATTTTCTGCGACCTATACTCTTTCTCTCCTTAAAAATATATTACAACTGGGTTTATATAGAGTCAGTTACACGGCTGAATTGAAGATGAACTCAAATTCTATAAAACAGGGAGTAACATGATTTTCGACCTTAATCATGGGATCTAGATTGCAAGATATCTACATGCAAAAAAAAAAAAAAAAAAAGATTTATTTGCTCTGGATTTCCCGCACAACAGGACCTTTTTGATATTTTCTAAACCTCAGGGAGATCAGCGTAAGAAGCCTTATGAAAGGTCAAAAAGTCAAAAGTTTAATCCAAGGAAGAAAAGAATATATACGGTTCACTTTTTACGGGTCTACCAAATTAGAAGATAAAATTAAAGTTTACGAAAATAATAAAAAATTGATTTTTTTTATTTCTTTATAAACTAAAATTAGTAGAGAAAAGATCTTCATAGAGTGAAAAAAAAAAAAAAAAAGGTCTCCAAGGAAAGCATCCGTAGCTTATAATAATAAAAAGAATTAAAGAACAAAACAAGACCTGAAGATATGGGCAATATTTTTGAAGCAAGGAACTTTAATGTTCGTTAATTTATGTGTGAATATTATTATTTAGGGAGAACGACATTTTCACACCCAACGGTTGACGAAATGTCACATTCTCGCCCGTCAAGTTTTAAAATGACATTTTTCCATCCTTCGTTAGGTTTTGTTAATGTTTTTTTGTTAATATTTAACTGAAAATAGGAAAATACCCTTAAATAGTTTATTTCTTAATTAGTTTATTATAAATTAAAATTTAATTAAGTCAAAGTCTTTACTCGATTATTTATTAGTTCAAGTGTAAAGATACTTTTTTTCTTTATTTATTTAATTAATTAAGAATATTGATTTTTTATATTAATTAGGAAAAATAAAAAACATTATAAATTTAATAGATTATTGAATAATAACAATGAGATATTGATAACATTATAAATAAATATTAAAATCATTTAACTTTAAACAATTTCATAGCATTACTCCTAGATGGAACTAACTACTTTTTTCTTTTTTGACTTTTTAGCTAATTAAAAATTTATAAAGTCAAATTTTTAAGGGTGTTTTCATATTTTTAATAAAATATTAACAGAAAATATAACAAAATCTAACGAAGGGTGGGAAAGTGTCATTTTTAAACTTAAAGGGTGGGAAAGGGTCATTTCGTCAAACCTTGGGTGGGAAAATGTCGTTCTCCCTATTATTTAATTATACAGATAAAAAATTTGGGAGGTTCCGTGGTTACCAGGAAAGGAATTCAATACACTTGCAGTAAACTTTATCTTTTCATTAAATAAACTCAAAAAAATGACACACCTGCGCTTGAAATCTAACAAGGGAGGAAATAAATTATTATTTCTCCGTATGATAATATAAATGTAATGATAAATCAAATTGTGGTAGAGCAAGACAGCAGAGCAGCCAACACAAAAGCTGGTGGTGGCTGCCAGATGCTAATGCAAAAATAATGACTTTGGCATGAGGAAAAGCTACTGCAATGGAAACTCCAGGTCTAAAGAAGCGGACAGCAAACTAATTATTAATAAAGTTGGACTTGGAAACTTCAATTTCTGCCTCCCCAACTGTTGCCTGTCGTGTAGAAGAACATATTAAATCTCAGACCCACATTCTCATTTGCTTTATGGAATTGACTTTTGGTGAGCAGGAATTTAATTTCCAAGTCTCAACCCCATTGACGGGGACAATTTCCAGGAAGTTACCTGTGGGATGGGGTACTAGATAGCGAGGGGCCAATGACTAATCTGAAAGCTATCTGTGTAAACCAAAGCAATAATGTGCCATTGACCTCATTTGGAACCACAAAAGAATGTTTAAGCTAATCTGGAAGTCATTGATCTCAATATCAATTACAAAAGAAAGCAAAATGAACTAACTACTCGGCTTGATTGCAGCTCAGCAGTTCAAAACTTGTACCGTGATGTTTAAGCTGCCTTCTTTTCCACAAGCTTCTCTATCAAATCAGCTGCCTCTTGGACAGTTGTGATGTTTTGGGAACTATCCTCTTCTACAGTAATTTCAAATTCTTCCTCCAAAGTCATTACTATTTCCACCTGCATTTACGGTAGTATTGTCAATCTTTATAAGATGGTCAATCATAGTATTCGAGAAAAATAAAAATTTTTCATTTCGATGTACCGTGTCAAGAGAATCAGCACCCAGGTCCACGAACTTGGATTCTGAGGTGAGCTGTGTCTCAGCAGGCAATGCAAGCTGTTTCCTCACTATATCACAGACTTTCTGCACTGTCTCAGGCTTGGCCTAGCACACATATTTACAAGCATTGTCAGCACAGATAGGCATGCATCTCCACTTCTATAAATTCAGTTTTTATTGAAATAGAAGTGGAAAGTGATTTTACAGCGCATGAGACACGGAAGCGATTGGTCTTCAAAGAAGGGAAGCTGCTCTTTCTCCAACCCACTGTAACCATCTTCAGATTTGAAGTCCTTTCAGTTATCTGCATGAAAGCATTTTAAGGATTTAGCATCCTACTAATACAAGCATTTGCAGCTGCCACTTCAAAAGCTTTTGAACTTCATTTACATGACACTAACAATTAACATAAACAGAACATTTTAAGTTTGTATTAGTCGTTTACAGAATCATCTGGAATATACAAGAAATAACATCTTAAAGTTACTGCCACTTCAATTCAATTCCTCCAAAATATTGAAACATAAAGATAACCAGAATCATTGTCATCATAAAATTTCAGATATGAATGGAACATGTTTATGTTAGAGTTGTCAACCACTTCAGCATTAATGGGCCACATAGGGTTCTCATTGAAGGATTTCTTTAAGTTATGAATTCTTTATTGGGTTTAGACTTAGGAATAAGAATACTTGTAATACTAGATTTTAGTCTTTTAAACCTAGTATATAAACATACTTTTCTCTTATAATGGGTAATAGCAAACAATAGAGCAAACTACTTTTATTGTAAACGAGAAAGGTGAGATAGTAATGAATAATATCGACTTAGTTGGACATAACATGTTAATTGGGTGAACCAAAATAAAATCGCACGTATTTCTTCTTTTTGTTTACTGTTTGTGGTTTGTGTGTATACTATTATATTGATTTTCGTATGTCTCTGTTCGTTCAGTTTACACATGAATCATGTAAATATGTAATGCTTTAAAAGTTAACAGATGCAGGGCATATACAAGTTCGAAACTAAAATGTAACATCACAGTTCAAAATTTTATAGATACAGAAGAACCACATTTTGTTAGACCTTTCATAGTAAGTAACAAATTAATTAACAAGCAAGCTATTTTCCAACAATGGAAACAAAAATCATGATCCAATTAACTGAAACTGAACGAAGAACTTAAACCCAGTAGCAAGAGAAGCAAAAACAGTAATTTCAAGTGACCAGAAAGCAAATTAAACATCGAAATATATACGTATAGAATAAGGAAGTTACCACATTATTCCTGAGGGAGAGCTTGAGGGAAGATGCAAAGGTAACAGAAGTTGCAGAGAAAGCAGCCATGGGAACTCAAGCTCAAGAAACAGGAGAGATAAGAGATAAACAGTGAAGTGAAAGTAATTTGTGAAGCAGAAAACACAAACTGTTAATATCAAATGAAGGAAGGAAAAGTTGTTGGGGGGTTTATCCTCTTACTGAAGCAGGGCCTGTTCAAGCTTTCACGCTGATCCAAGTGGGTGGGTTTTTTGGAATCTTGTATTGAGAGGAGTGGAGGATATTTGACTTGTTAGAATATGAGTGGATAGACTGCCACACATTTACTGTAAATCTTTCCAGCTATCGGCACATATGAGATGCAATCTAAATAATTTGCCATCTTGAGCTTGCTCTTATCTCTCCACCATTTAATCTTCCTAATTTAATGTTAATTTTTTAAAAAAAAAAAAAAAAAAAAGAATCTATAATTTATGCTAAAAATATATGAAATCAAGAAATCTAGTCATACCAACAAAAGAATGTGTAAACTTTGTAAGATTGCGAGTTTTAATGAACACAGGAGTGTTAATTTAGAGAGATGATTGTAACATATCGAAAGAGGGAAATAACTAACATGTCATTAGGGTTCTTCCATGTAGTACAACTGTCTGTCTCTAATAGTTAATCTGTAAATCAATTGCCAGGTCTTGGCAAAGTTCAAATTCCAGTCCAATAGGAAAGTTTCAAAGTGCCTAAGTAAATATAAAAGCGTTTAATATGATAACAAGACTGAGTTTGAAGATCCCATAAGTCAGAACTTAGCCTACTGTTAGAGGACAACTTACAAAAACAAAATAAGACCATCAGAAACTAACTCCTTGAGCTTTTTTGTTCACAGAACATAACCTATTCTCGGTCTACTATTGTTTGGGGATAAAACGTGTTCAAAACAATCCTCCCAAACATAGACCGTCTCCTCCAAGTTCCCCACGCCAATAACTCATAGTTAATCTCTTTTCTAGCTTGGGTACAGATCCCCTCCCATGCCATCTAACGCATTCAAAAATCTTGCATATACTTCTGAAATCTCCGGCGGAACGAAAAAACTGAGATTGAAGAAAACAGTCAGGAAATATTAACTTAATTAAAACCATTGGAAACTGAGGAAACTTAATTCAAATTTCAGTCCTCACAGATTAACTGCTGTGGGGATGGTCATTGATTGAGGAACAGAATATTGTGTCATTTGTGTAGTACAGCTATGATTGAAGTTGCAAGATTGATGACTGATACATTAATGCAACATTATCTAGCTTTTGCGATTTTGGTAATCATGGAAGCTCATGCACGAGTCATGCAGTTGGGAATTCTCTCGCCTTCTCGATAGATTTAACAAAGATCCACCACTATGGACGCCAAGGCAAAATGCAGCAACGACCAATGGATCTTGGGTTGGTCAACCACAGCTTTATGGAAAGCAAATATACTACCTGCAACACTTACACAAACATATCAAATACCAGGTATAGAAAAAGGAGAAACTGTCTTAGGTCACATAACACCCAACATCAAATGGTTTGACAGTTCACTACTAGCTAGGAAGGATTCTACCAACTTACATCCCAGTTCATTCAAAATACTAAGGACAGATTATTATTTAAGTCAAGAGGAAAATGCAAAGAAATGGAAATCATTTTACAAAGTATTAGACAAGGTTTGACAGAGCTTAAAGTTCCATGTTAAAACAATTGCCTCAAACTGATGATATGCTGTGTTTATTTTGTTTTAAACATGAAATAGCAAGTCTGACATTCCTAGATTACGAGAATGTTACACAAAATCGAAGCATAAACAAATTTAAAAGGTAACTCTAATCAAACAAATAAATACTAAAATAATTATCTAAATGCAAATCAAATGGTAACTCTTTTCCAAATGAGCCCAACATGCATAATCATAGCTAACATGTTGCCTGCAAACAAACTAATAAACCTCAATGTATGGCGACTAACCTTGAATTCCTGACATCATCTTTGACCATACAAGCAGTTCCAAGGAAGTTAAAGCACTTACCATAGGCTTTTATGGCACCGCCGATCTGGTTCCAAATATCTATCAAGGTTGGTAAACAACTTCTGCAAAACAAACCAAACTGAACATGTTATATCACCGCTAGAAAATTTGAACCTTAATAAGGACTAAAGAATCATTGAGAGAGATGAGACAAGTCAAATACCCCACAAGTAAAGACAACAAAGTGTGATATCAGCACAAACTCTAAATAAAAACTAAATATCTTCACATACCAGGAGCATGTTGGATTCTTGAAACCTTCGGAAACAAAGTAGATGCCTGTATGTACATAATATAGATGATTCAGAAATACAATATGGTACCTCATTACAAAATAATATCAACACTAGATGAGAAGTTTCATGCCTGGGTGGGGAGAAGTATCTTTAGAAGGCCAAACCTCCACAATAACCTCATAGATGCTTCTCCAGACCCAATGCTAAATAAAGTTCATTTCTGGAGGTTCTTCTCTACAGCAAATAGAAACAAAGAAAAAATGAAAATATAGTATAAATGAAACTATCTGATTGAGAACCAGAAATTTGGTTACCCTGTAGAGCCGCAGCACGGAGCAAGATAACTCTTTCAAGGACAGAGCTATTTCACTAGTGATCTGAAATCCTAATCGGCAGCAAGTCTGACTAGACGTAATATCGAGCTGTGGATTGAATGCTTACTAAAATCAGAGTCTTGACACGTAAGGTGATCAACCACTAAGTGGAAAAGAGATACTCACCACAGTCTTCAAAAGAAAGTTTTGCAGATATTATGTCCGCACCTAGAAACAGAAATTAAATAAAATGATAATTGTAGCCACAACACAGGGCTGAAACTAAAATTATGAAATGAAACCGTCAAGACACAGTGCATACTTTAGCTTTTCTAATGTCTTCAAGTCCCCCAAGATAGTCATAGACAATCTTTTTGCATGTATCAAACATCAACCTGAACAAATAGAGAAAAGAGATAACATGTAGAAATAAATTACATCTATGATGAACAACAGTGTCCTTAAATGATAATAAGTTAATAACATATCTAGTCAAAGTGAACTAGATATTGTAAAATCTATTAGACAGCCTAATTTCAAATAACAAGTATACGAACAAAACCCGTTCATTGTAAAGTCTCGCTCCAAACAGTTTCTCCAGCGATTATAATCACTGTCATTGCAGCCTGGTGGCCTTTGACATCATCTTCAACCAACCCACTAGCTTTAGGTGAGAGGTCTTGAAACTTGAAACCTAAATTATAAAAAAAAAAATGATATCCATAAACCTTAAGAAATAGAAAAAATAAAAACTATATATATAGATAGAGATGAACTTGCTAGGTATCCTATAACGACTAGAACAAAAAGATTACCTCCACAAAGGTATTGTCAACATGCACAAGACATATGGGAAACTGCTTTCCAACAATTTCACATTGATGAAATATACCTCGTAACTGCATTTTTTTGGATATTTAACTTGGTGAATTAGTACTGCAACCAGAAATCGATTAATACAACACAATTGTAAAAAGCATGAATGCCATGGTCAATTTTGCACAAATCATTTCAAGTTTATATTTTTGTCTAAGTCAGAATTATGAAGTAGATGACCAGCATTATGGCACGAACTCTGACATGGGACGCATGCCATACATGTAAGATTCACCTGCAAATTATGCTTTAAGACTCAAATCCTTGTGTATTTCTTCCTCATATGCATAATTTTCTGTATGTCCTTCCAAAAACCCTTATATCATAGTACATTTACCAGTAAATGACCTCAAATCACATATCAATGCAGTTATCAAAAATTTAGAGACATTAACTCAACATCACAACAAAATTCTAGCTAGATGACACTTAATGTAAAAATAGATTGAACATAACACGAATAGACAGAGAGAACCTGCTCAAGTAGCTGAAGTTATAATATCAAAGTCTCTGGGAGTCTCTAGATAAGATCTCGTACACAACCTCCAACAAGGTAACCTCATAACCTACAATTCATTTGAACAAAGTCATTTCATACAACACAAAATGAACCATGCATATAAAAAATGTAATTAAAAAGAACAAATGACCACCCTGCCAAAAACATAGTGCCCCAATTAATTAGCATTGTACCAAAATGCTAATTCAAAACAAAAAGTTTCTTTGATCAAACTTGCTTGTAACTAAGTGACACACAAAAATTATTATTTAATGACACAAGGACTAGGACTGCATAAGTTTATTTATTCATTTGTTTACATTTAATGAAACTTAATATAATTAGACGGGATACCAAACACAAACAATGATGCTCAAAGATTTATGTGAATATAATATGAAAAAAATGAATAAATCATACATATACCTTTTCCTTCAACTGATTGAGAACCACATTTGTAGGCTTACTAATCATTGATGTATCAATCCCCAGCTCTTCAGAATTCAATTTCTTCCATCTACCCGTCTCGCTATAGCAATTACCTACGTTAATTGAAGATCATAGTTAGTTTTCCGACGCGACATTGCAAACTAATAGTACACGAATCAATGGGTATGACACAGTATTGGCCATGGCCGGATGTTACCATTCACGCATCTTTCATCACTAATTATATTTCATTGTTCATTAATCATTACTAAAAACATTGTTTTTTAGTAACTCGAACAAATCCCCTTGCCTGTATTAAACTTTGGAATCGGTAGCTAATATGTGTACCGCTAGGAAACATTGAAGTCTGGACTTACAAGACTGTCTAATTCCCCAAAATTAGACCATTATTAAAAACCATTACCCGAAGCTGTGGTTGTTTCAGAGACATTTCTTTCCATTGCAACGCATTTCTCGGCCATGAGTTGGTCACCTTTAATATCAACAACTCCATTTCCATCTCCAGCCGGACACTTCATCATAAATGGAAGGTGGACACCACTCCATTCATTTTGCCTATCCACTCATACCCCATAATAAGATTGTAGGGAGATTCCATGTCATCTCGCATGTCGATAAGCACAAACTCTACCGTAAAGTACGACCAGGCGCGAAACGGTAAATACACTGATCCAATCGCGTTAACGACTTTGCTGTAATGCATTGCCAACTAGCGGCGTTTGTTTGGCTTGATGATTTCTAGGTCTAGTTCCATCTTGTTGAAGGTGTCCAATACATTACATTCGCTTTGCGTCCTGAAGAAATAAGCACTCTCTGGACTGCAAAATTGGCACTTTGAGTGCCACGACGGCGGGAGCGGCTTTCGTAAGGTAGTTGAATGTGATTCAAATCATATCACGAAACTGATTTCTCCCGATGTATTGGAAGCGACGAACCGCCATCATCTTATAAAACTCTTCTTACCTTTTTGGGGCGCCAGCGGTCATGTCCGTACTTTACTGACAATCAGCTTTTCCGATGACCGCTTTGGCGGCGGCTCCCTCCTGTACTGCATTGTTTGAATGACTGAATCAAAGAAAAGCTATTGAAACTTGTACTAGAGACTCTGAAGACCGACATACGGCAGAAGATAACTTCCTAGCAAGCTCTGAAGACTGACATACGACAGAGATAACTTACTAGACAGTTAAATCAATGGGCTTGGCCCATGTTTTATTTGGATTTGTCAAAGTAATGGGCTTTGATTAGAGCATGGAAACACTTTAGCCCAACTTATGTAATAGAAAAATCTGTAGTCTCAACTTATATGATGCTAAAGTTTAATTAAGCCCGGAGTATCATATAATGACATTGACAGAAGGAAACCTGCTAGTGCTAGACATTTAAAGCAATGGGTTGGGTATATTGGATTTGTTAAAAGTGTGGGTTTTCTATGAGTTAGCCCAATTTCTGAAAAGAATGCCATCAGGATGATAATTTTTTCGATAATACTATACTTGCAAAAAAAAATTTACAAGATTTTATATAAAGGTTATGGTAAAAAATGAATAAAGAGTGAAACAAAAAATCAAACTTATATATTAATCTCTATTCGTTTTTGTCACATCACTTGTACGGAGGTCTTTGTAAATTTTTTTTTTTGTAAATGTAGTATTATTATAATTCTTTTTACAAATTTTTGGAAATGTATTTTAAACCCCACTTAGTTGATCAACACTCCCCCCTTCTTATTCATATAAGAGGATAGAGAGAAAGAAGATGAAGATAAGGATAAAATAAGTAAGATTGGAATAAAACTTCTCTAATCTCCAATTTATATATTATAACATAGGCTTGTTTTCTTTAATGCTCAGATGGTTAGAGCGAATTGGGGATAGTGTGGATAGACACACAATCTCAAGTTCACTTTCCCATCTAAGATCCGTGATTTAAGTGAGGGATCGTGGTAATGGGTTGTTGTGCTAGTCTCCCCTGAGAATTAATCGATGTGCGCATAAGCTGGTCCAGATACTTTAATTACCAAAAAAAAATCTTTAAACCCAATTTAATTTCCAATTACAAGAAACTCTTTAGTCAAATTTTTAAGTAGTCACAAATAAATGAATTACCTTATTATACTTAAAATAAAGAAATCTCACAAATTTAATTTGTTCTTTGATTATTTAATTTGTATAATTATTAGTAAAATAGTCAAAATAGCCAATCTCACTACAGTTATTAAAAACACTGACCAGTCAGTATAAAAAAAAAAGACCAAATTAAATAAGTTTTAAGTCCACTTTGGATGGATTATATTTAATCAACAAATTAATGAAGTATCCGAAAAAAGAACTATTTCTGCATACTTTAACTAATCTCTATGACCATGAAACTATAATCGAATAAAAGCTCCAATGATCACCCTTATTAAAGGTCGTGGAGACTCGAACTCGAAAAACCTTGTTAAGTGAATCTTTCTCAACCTATCGGCTACATGTGAGATGCAATCTAAATAAATTGCAATCCTTGAGCTTGTTCTTATCACTCTATCATTTTATCTTTGCCTATTTAATATTTAATTTTAAAAAAATAAAAATAAAAAAAATCTATAATTTATACTAACAAAATATATGAAATCAAGAAATCTAGTCATATCATACCAACAAAAGAATGTGTTAAACTTTGTAAGATTGATGAGTTTTAATTAACAAAGGGAAGTTGTTAATTTAGAGAGAAATGATTTGTAAGATATCGAAAGAGGGAAAATTAACTAACAGTTCATTAGGAGTTCTTCCATATAGTACAACTGTCTCTAATAGTTAACCTACTGTTATAGCGCAACATACAAAAAACAAAATAAGACCATCAGAAACTCTAAATACTTGAGCTTTTTTGCTCACAGAACTTGACCTATTCTCGGTCTACTATTGTTTCGGGATAAACAGTGTTCAAAACAATCCTCCCAAACAGATGACGCGTCTCCTGCAAGTTCCCCAGCGCCAATAAGTCATAGTTAATCTCTTTCTCTAGCTTGGGTACAGATCCCAACACCATGCCGTATCCAGCGCATTCAAAAATCTTGAATATATCTTCTGAAGTCTCCGGTGGAACAAAAAACTGAGCATTTGAAGAAACAGTCAGTCAGGACAGTATTAACTTAATTAAAACCATCCTAAAAACTAAGGAAAACTTAGTTCAAATTTGAGTCCTCACTAGATTGAGCGCTTGTGGGGATTGGCTCATTGATTGAGGAACAGAATATTCAAGTGTCATATCGTGTAGTATAGCTATGATTGAAGTTGCAAGATTGATGACCCGATACATGAAGTCAACATTATCTAGCCTTTGCGATTTTGGTAATTCATGGAAGCTCATGCACGAGTCATGCAGTTGGGAGATTCTCTTCGCCTTCTCGATGGAGTCTAACAAAGATCCACCACTATGGACCGCGAGGCTAAATGCAGCAACGACCAATGGATCTCGGGGGTGGTCAACCAGAGCTTTATGGAAAGCAAATATACTTATCCTGCAACACTTAACACAATATCAAATACCAGGTATAGAAATAGGAGAAACTGTTCTTAGGTCACATATATAACACCCAACATCAAATGTGGTTTGACATTTCACTCCTAGCAAGGACTGGATTTCTACTAACTTACATCCCATTTCATTCAAACTATTAAGGACTGATTATTATTTAAGTCAAGAGGAAAATGCAAAGAAATGGAAATCATTTTCCAAAGTATTAGACAATGGTTTGACAGAGCTTAAAGTTTCACTGTTAAAATAATTGCCTCAAACTGATGATATTGCTGTGTTCTATTTTGATTTAAACATGAAGTAGCAAGTCTGCCATTCCTAGATTACACAGAAGGTTATACGAAATCAAAGCATAAACAAATTTAAAGGGTTAACTCTAATCAAACAAATAAATACTAAAATAATTATCTGAATGCAAATCAAATGGTAACTCTTTTCCAAATCTGCCCAACATGCATAATTATAGCTAACATGTTGCCTGCAAACAAACTATATAAAACCTCAATGTATGGCAACTAACCTCGAATTCCTGACATCATCTTTGACCATATCAAGCAGTTCCAAGGAAGTTAAAGCACTTACCATAGGTTTTTATGGCACGGCCGATCAGGTTCCAAATATCTATCAAGGTTGGTAAACAACTTCTGCAAAACAAACCAAACCTGAACCATGTTAATATCACCGCTAGAAAATTTGAACCTTTAATAAGGACTAAATTGAATCATTGAGAGAGATGAGACAAGTCAAATACCACACAAGTAAAGACAAACAAAGTTGTGATATCAGCAACAAACTCATAAATAAAAACTAAATATCTTCACATACCAGGAGCATGTTGGATTCTTGAAACCCTTCGGAAACAAAGTAAGATGCCTGTATGATACAATTAATTAAATGATCTTCAGGAAATACAATATGGTTACCCTCGTTTACAAAATAATATCAACACTAGATGAGAAGTTTCATGCCTGGGTGGGGAGAAGTATCTTTAGAAGTCCAAACCTCCACAATAACCTCATAGATGCTTCTCCAGACCCAAATGCTAGCATAAAGTTCATTTCGTGGAGGATTCTTCTCTACAGCAAATAGAAACAAAGAAAACATGAAAATATATTATAAATAGAACTATCTGATTGAGAACCAGAAATTTGGTTACCTTGTCGAGCGACAGCACGGAGCAAGATAACTCTTTCAAGGACAGAGCTATTTCACTAGTGATCTGAAATCCTAATCGAGCAGCGAGTCTGACTAGACGTAACATCAGAGCTGTGGATCGAATGCTTACTAAAATCAGATGTCTCTGACAGGTAGGTGCATCAACCACTAAGTTGGAAAAGTGATACTCACCGAAGTCCTCCTCAAAAACAAGTTTTGCAGAAATTATTGTCTGCACCTAGAAACAGAAATTAAATAAAATGATAATTGTAGCCACACATACAGGGCTGAAACTAAAATTATGAAATGAAACCGTCAAGACACAGATGCATACTTTAGCTTTTCTAATGTCTTCAAGTCCCCCAAGATAGTCATAGACAATCTTTTTGCATGTATCAAACATCAACCTGAACAAATAGAGAAAAGAGATAACATGTAGAAAGAAATTACATCTATGATGAATCAACAGTGTACTTGAACTTGATAATAACATAGCTAGTCAATGTGAACTAGATATTGTAACATCTATTAGACAGCCTAATTTCAAATAACAAGTATTACGAACATAACCCATTCATTGTAAAGTCTCGCTTCAAACAGTTTCTCCAGCGATTATAATCACTGTCATTGCAGCCTGGTGGCCTTCTGACATCATCTTCAACCAACCCACTAGCTTTAGGTGCAGAGGTCTTGAAACTTGAAACCTAAATTATGAAAAAAATGATATCCATAAACCTTAAGAAATAGAAAAAATAAAAACTATATATATTTATTTATTTATTTATATATGGACTTGCTAGGTATCCTATAACGACTAGAACAAAAAGATTACCTCCACAAAGGTATTGTCAACATGCACACGACATATGGGAAATCGTTTTCCAACAATTTCACATTGATGAAATATACGTCGTACCTGTATTTTTTTGGATATTTAACTTAGTGAATTATTACTGCAACCAGAAATCTGATTAATTACAACAACAGAATTTTAACCAAGCATGAATGCCATGGTCAATTTTGCACAAATAATCTTTAAGATTTCATATTTTTGTCTAAAGTCAGAATTTATGAAGTAGATGATCCAGCATTATGGCACGAACTCTGACATGGGACCCGTGCCATATATGTGAAGATTCACCTGCAAATTATGCTTTAAGACTCAAATCCTTGTGTATTTCTTCCTCATATGCATAATTTTCTGTATGTCCTTCCAAAAACCCTTATATCATAGTACATTTACCATGTAATATGACCTCAAATCACATATCAATGCAGTTATCAAAAAAGTTAGACACATTAACTCAACAATCACAACAAAATTTCTAGCTAGATGACACTTAATGTAAAAATAGATTAGAACATAACACGAATGTAGACAGAGAGAACCTGCTTAAGTTTAGCTGAAGTTATAATATTAAAGTCTTTGGGAGTTCTCTTTAAGATAAGATCTCGTACACAACCTCCAACAAGGTACACCTCATAACCTACAATTCATTTGAACAAAGTCATTTTCATACAATAAAAATGAACCATGTATTATAAACAATAATAATCTAAAAAGAACAAATGACCATCCTGCCAAAAACATAGTGCCTCAATTAATTAGCACTGTACCAAAATCCTAAATCAAAACAAAAAGTTTCTTTGATCAAACTTGCTTGTAACTAAGTGACAACTACAAAAATTATTATTTGATGACATAAGGACTTAGGATTGCATAAGTTTTATTTATTCATTTTATTTTACTATTTAATTTAAAGCTTATATAAATTAGACGGGATACCAAACAACTAAAAGCTGACGCTCAAAAGATTTATGATGATATATAATATGAATAAATCATACATATACCTTTCTCCTTCAACTGATTGAGAACCACATTTGTAGGCTTACTAATCATTGATGTATCAATCCCCAGCTCCTCAGAATTCAATTTCTTCCATCTACCCGTCTCGCTATAGCAATTACCTACGTTAATTGAAGATCATAGTTAGTTTTCAGACGCGACATTGCAAATTCATAGTACACGAATAAATGGGTCATGATACAGTATTGGCCCATGACCAGATGTCACCATTCACACATTCTTCACCACTAATTATAATTCATTGTTCATTACTAATTAGCATTTGTTTCTTAGTAACTCGAACAAATCCCCTTAGCCTGTGTATTAAACTTCCGAATCGGGTACCTAGCATAATATATGATTCGGACAAAGAGATAAACCCATGGCATGTGTATCGCCCACATAACATTGAAGTCTGGACTTACAAGACTGTCTAATTCCACAAATATATAGACCATTATTTTAAAATTTCCATTACCCGAAGGCTGTGGTTGTTTCAGAGACATTTCTCTTTCCATTGCAACGCATTTCTTGGCCATGAGTTGGTCACCATTAATATCAACAACTCCATTTCCATCTGTAGCCGGACACTTCATCTTAAGATGGAAGGTGGACGCCACTCCCTTCATTCTGTTTATCCACTCACGCCCCATGATAAGATTGTAGGAAGATGCCATGTCATCTCGCATGTCGATAAGCACAAACTCTACCGTTAAAGTACGACCAGCGGCCGAAACCGGTAAATACACTGATCCAATCGCGTTAACGATTTTTCCGTCAATGCCAACTAGCGGCGTTTTGTTGGGCTTTATGATTTCTAGGTCTAGTTGCATCTTGTTGAAGGTGTCCCAATACATTACACTAGATTTGGTCCCTATAGAAATAAGCACTCTATGGACTCGAGAATCGGCTACATCGAGTGTCACGACGAGCGGGAGCGGCTCTTCGTAAGGTAGTTGAATGTGATTCAAATCATCATCACTGAAACTGATTTCTCCCCATGTATCTGGAAGCGACGAACCGCCATCATCTTCATAAACTCTTCTTACCTTTTTGGGGCGCCAGCGCTTATGTCCGTACTTTACATTGACAGTCAGCTTATCCGATGACCGCTTTGGCGGCCGCTCCCTCCTATACTGCATTTTTTGGAACTTGAACTGAATCAAAGAAAATCTGTTGAAACTTGTAACTAGATCACTAGACTCTGAAGACCGACATTGGTACGGCAGAAGATAACTTACTAGACAAGTTAAATCAATGGGCTTGGCTCATTTTTTATTTGGATTTGTCAAAGTAATGGGCTTTTGATGAAGACCATGGAAATAGTTTAGCCCAACTTATGTAATAGAAAGATCTGACTTCTCAACTTATGTGATGCTATAGTGTTAGTTAATACCATGGACAGAAGGAAACCTGCTAGACGAGTTAAAGAAATGGGTTTGGGTCATAGTTGGATTTTTTAAAGCAGTGGGGTTTTCTATGAGTTTAGCCCAATTTCTGAAAAGAATGCCATAAGGATGTTTAACTCTATTTATAACTTTTTGGAAAGATTTTTCAAACCCCACTTAATTGATCAACATCAACGATCCCCCATTCTTATTCATATCAGAAGATAGAATGAAAGAAGATGAAGATAAGGATAATAGTGGTGTGTTTGTTTCTCTATTTTGGATAGGATTTTTGAAATGCTATTCAAAATACATATTTGTTTCCCTATTATGAAAATTTTATTTTATTCTATTTAACTTTTTAAACTCTCTAGGTTTGTTAATTTAACTAAACACTTCAAACCAATTTTTTTTTTAAAATTAACAAAAACAATCCCACCCACCCGCCAACAGTGGTGGCCAGCTGCCGGCTTTTAATGGGTGGGTGCGGTATTTTTATTAATTTTTAATGTTTTATTGTAGTGCTATTTAGTAAATTAACAAACTTATAGGGTGTTTTATTAATTTTTAAATCCTACCTCGTAATAACCATCCAACTCAACTTTTTCAAAAATCTTACCCATAATTTTAAAACAAACACACCCATCACAATTTTGGATGTAAAATATAATACTATTGGGAGATATAGATAAAATAATTATGATTGGAATAAGACTTATATAATTTCCAATATATATTATAACATAGGCTTATTTTCTTTGTCCATATGGTTAGGGCAAATTAGGGATAGGCGCATAATCTCAAGTTTAATTACTCATCTAAACATCTGCGATTTAAGTAGGGGTTTTGGCAGTGAATTGTTGTGTTAGTCTCCCGAGAGGATTAGTCACAATGTGCATAAGTTGGTTCGGACACTTTGGTTAAAAAAAAAAAAACTTTAAACCCAGTTTAATTTCCAATTACAAGAAACTCTTTATTCAAATTTTTAAGTAGCTTTAAAAATTGTCACCAATAAATGAATTACCTTGTTATAATTTGAAATAGAGAAATCTCACAAATTTAATTTGTTCCTTGATTATTTAATTTGTATAATTAATACTAAATTAGTCAAAATAGCCAATCTGGCTGCAAGTTAAACACAATGACTAGTCACTATCCAAAAAAGACCAAGTTAAACAAGTTTTAAGTTCACTTTGGATGGATTACAGTTAATCAACAAATTAATGAAGTATCATAGTATATGATTAATTAATGAAGTATCGTATATATGATTAATTAATTACTTGAAATAATCACATTATTAGTGTGTCTATATATATATATATATAGTAATGTATCCTTGAAATAATCACATGATTTAATTTCTAAAGTAAAAAAAGTCCCTTTGAGTACAAAAGTTAACCACTTTGTTTTGTTTTTTTCTTTTTGATAAAATTGTTAATTTGGCATTTAAAGAGCCATATAATGTTAGGATATTAGAGCATCTTCAAATGACTCTTTATATGATCCAAACTCTTTATTATAAAGAATTCAATTACTAAGTGAATATTTAAAATAATAAAGAAAAAAACAAAACAAAATAGTTAACTTTATATTTAAAAATTAATAAAGATATTCTTTATTTATATAAAAGATGTTTTTTTAAAATAAAAAGCACCATTTAGAAATGCTCTTATCATGTTTAATTACCAAGTGACTATTTAAAATTTTAAAGATGAATTAAACAAAAGAAACCGTGTGCTTCACCACAGAATTCTCTTTAATTTCCTTGGACCCATGCATCCTTAATTTAATTCTTCAACTTTATAACTCATCCCCGTAATTTTTGGTTAAATGATTGAAGGAGATGGATTACAGTGTAGAATTCTCTCTAAACTTTCTCTCCATCCAAACATCTATAATTCATATTACAAAATGGTTTAAACCTATAGAAAGTACGTCATATTCCCTACGCCATGCATGAGAACATATAGAAATATGAAGGTTCGTGTTCTTTGAAAGTTACGAAAAAGAGCCGTCCTTGAGAAGCCAAGCATGCATAAACACAGTGGACTGAGTGTGAAGTAATGTTTTTTGTTTTGAAAGATTGAAAATTTATGAATTAATATCCAAAAACGTGAAAGATGACATTCTTAAAAAGTGGATCCGGAACCCTCGTGCTGTCTTTTCTTGTTTGAATGCAGGAGGCCTAACATAATTTAACAGCTTCCCCGAAGCCGTCTCGTTAGAAAATTTTGGCAGGACCACAGGATTTAATCGTTTTACAGCGATAATGCTTTTAGAAAGGGAAATGCTGAATTCCTGGAGGTGGACGGCATGCTGCATGCACCTGGACACCATTCCATTCAGCTGAAATTTGTCCCCTCCCGTTCTAATTTGAGTGTCTAATATTATTATTATTATTATTTTTTTTTTTTTTTTAAATTAGCACCGTTTACCATACCAATTGGGACGAGTTCCCACCAGGCCTGAAGCCATTGGACATTTTTTAGTCCCCTAGTGTTAGTATTACAAAGAACCAAGAAATAAAATGATGGTGATGGTACAAGGGAACCAACGATAATTATATATTTTGTCATTCAATACAAACTCATCAGTAATTTCGGATAATTAGTTTTGTAGTCAAAGACTTTTATCTCCATTTCAATGGACGGAAAGCAACAATGGAGCTGGCACAGTTTATGAAAACTACGACTGTTAATGTGAATCTTTTATTATTCAAATCAAACGATACTTTTCTAACATATTTAATTTCTAAACTTTACCAAGTTAGTCAAAACATTTAACGATACTTTTTTTTTTTAAAAACATATTTAATTTAAAAATAGTCACCAATAAATGAATTTACCTTGTTTATATGTAACTTGAAATAGAGAAATCTCACAAATTTAATTTATATAATTAAAAAAAAAATAAAAAAAAAAAACAAAAAAGCTATAAGTTAAGCACAATAACTAGTAACAGAAACATTCAGCTCTCGACCACATTTTGGTTGAAGTCCATATATGTTACTGTCCAAAAAATACCAAATTAAATAAGTTTTAAGTTCACTTTGGTTATATTTAAATCAATAAATTAATGAAGTGCCATATGATTAATTACTTGAATAATGGGATCTCACATTATTAAGATAGTAATACTGTATATCCTTGATTTTTAACACATTTTGATTTCTAAACTTTACCAAGTTAGTCAAAACATTTAAAGTGTCGTATAATGTTAGGATATTGACAAGATTAAATATGTTTATTGAACTTTTTATCATGTTTAATTACAAGTGAATATTTAAAATTTCCTTATTCAACTTTGATAAAAACAAAACAACAAGAATTAAAGGCAATTTAAACAAAAGAACACGTGTGGTTAACCAAAAAAAAAACCACATAAGTACATAAAATATATATATATATACGCGGAGTCCAGTCAGGGTTGCCAGCTTGTTTAAAATGAAAATGCTGATTGCTTTTGAATTCCTTTTTGTTCAATGTTAGCTTACAACTACTCATGCGATCTACTGGCGTAATATTAAAAATGTGTTCCATGCAGTTCAACGTTTCATCTGGTCCCCCAGACAAAGACACTTCTTGACAGAACAGAACATGGAATTTGAGCTTCAATTTATATGCACCCATTCATAACTCATCCCCGTAATTTTTGGTTACATAATTGAAGGAGATGGATACAGATGAAGATTGGGTCCAGTGTAGGCTGACTGATCCGAGTAGAACTCTCTCTAAGCTTTCTCTCTATCCAAACACGTACATGAAGGGAAATTAGCAATATAATTCATGCTACAAAATGGTTTAAACCTATAGAATAAAGAGACTGCGTTTGTGTTCTCTACGTCATGCATGAGAACATAAAGAAATATGAAGGTTCTTGGAAGCATTATTTTAAAACCCAGGCGGAGGGCCATTTTGCTGTCCGAATCATGGGTCAATCGGTCCTATCAGTTGTACCGATGGCATCAACAATAATTTAATTTTTAAAAAATTACATATGAATCCCTAAAATTTTAATATATTACAAAAATATCCTTAAAAATTTTAAATTAGTCCCTAAAATTTTTATTTATTTTAAAAATACCCCAAAAAATTTACCAATTGATCCCTAAACTTTTGATATATCTCAAAACACTCTTATAATTTGAAATATTATAATACCGCCTAAACCCTGAACCAGACCGGAGAAGCTACCGGGTCTCAGTCGAACCGGTCTGGTTCGGGTTTTAATGCAGAGCTTGGAAGTAAAGAGACTGCAACTGTTTTTGTTTTGAGAGAGAAATTTTTTGATCAATTGTCCCAAAAGGTCAATGAAAGACGAAATTCTAAAAAATGGGACCCTCGTGCTGTCTGTCTTTGTCTAGTTTGAATGCAGGGAGAGCTACAGTTGTTTCGTTTTGAATTTAATAAACACGTTATTCCAGTCCCACGTAATTTAACAACTCCCCAAGTCGTCGCTTTAGAAAATTTTGGCAGGAGTTATTTGCTTACAAGTTAGTGTATATGTTTCTATGGGGCTAATTAAGCACGTGGTTAAATTTATTAGCTTACAACGATAATGATTTTAGAAAGGGAAATGTTGACCTGGTGGAGATGGAGGGCATGCAGCTGGACACCATTCCATTGACCTGAAATTGGTGTCCTCTAAAATTAATATCTTTCAGTTGAACCCGTTGGACATTTTCTAGTCCCTGAGTGTTAGTATTACAAAGAACCAAGAGATTTATGAAGTGATGGTGATGGTACAAGGGA